GTCAATGTCTGTCAAAATGTCAGTCAATCGAGTTGGGCGTGCAATTTGCCCAACTCTGCAGTCAACTACTTTTTTATTTATTTTCAATATATTTTCATTGTCATTGGTGATAATTTTAATTTACATTCAACTCTTCTTTGCCTAATGATTTTGTGACTTTAAGAAAGTTTTCTTGTGAAGCGATTTTATTTTTAAGGAGTAAGCTTAAATATTTTTTCCTTGCTTTCTTCCCAATGATTTATGTAGAGGTAGGCCGTAAAAAGCGATGAACAAACTGGTTTTATGCAACGTAATAAAGCATCGTTTCATGAGGTGCTTAAGTCAAACAACCTTTTAAAATTCAACAGAAAATACGCCATAAAAAAGTATTTAAAGAAAATTCTCATTAGAGTTTTACGGTAATTGGCGTGAAAAAATTATTATGTTTGATTGACGATGTCGAATGTGAAGAAACATTCAAATGAAGATCTAAAAATCGAAACAAAAAAAAGGTCCAACAAATGATAGGAAATAAAAGGAAATTTTATTGAATCTCATTAAAATTATTATAGACCATGATTTCAGTCTTTCTTTTGATGGCATGTAAAAATGCAGTTAAACAAAGTTTAGGGGTTTCATTTGTCGCTGTTTATTGGTGATAACAATCATGGGTAAGAAAGGAAAATTAATGTAAATGTATGTGATGTTGTAACATAACTTAGACTTACAAAATGATATGATGCCCATAAAAGAGATTTTCTTTCACTATAATGATGGCAGTTTTCCTGTATAATATTTATCAGCAATGTGAATGGAATAGAGTAGAAAAATTGATGACAAGCTAGTCAGGAGAAGATACATGAAATGACGTAGCTGATTGTATGTATATTTGATCTTATAATTCATATAAATTGTTTATATATTTTACCGCTATGTGATGCTTATCATTTGTAAGTTATTATTAGTGACAACTTGCGCATCGTTTCATCCAGAAACTTCTTTACATTAGTGAACAACTCCCTTAATGTACAAAGCAGCAACTTCATTTTTTCACATTGTGTTCATACAATGCATTGTAATGTTGCTTAGATTGGGAGACGAAGATATGTATCAAATTAAGTTGCATACTATACAGAGCAATACTTTTTTGTTTTCCTACAACAATTTTCCATCCCTTGATAAATTCCAAAGACTTTTTCTAATTTTGTATGTGAGCAGCCAACGAAAGATATTCGATTGTTGCACTCTACAGCAATGAGTTTGTAGCTCAGCAGTTTTTCTTTTTTGTCCCTTTTTTTCAGGAAAATGCGAAATAATTTGCAAAAAAAAATTCAATTACATCTTCAAATCTTCAATATCATCGAATTGCAAATATTTAGATCGTGGAATTGTTATGAATAGCAGAAAAAATCGAAACTGAACACAAATTTGATGTTTTCTTTTCGTTTTCATGTTTGATGATTGAAAATTAATATCATTGCAAAATTGTTCTATTTTATGTTTCATTGCCGCCTTCGTTGGAGGAAGAAATTGAAAAATGATGAACTGAAAACTCATTTCGAGGAGTCTCATGTTGTTTGGGGAGAGATGTCTAATAGTCATTCAGAAGTTTATAATATTTTAAGTAATTTATGTTATCACAGCCTCGGGAAGGAAATAAATATACAATTCTCATTCGATAAATACTTTTAGAAGCAGGTTTTCTAATTCGTCTTCAATGTTATGAAAATGACAAATGAGAGGGACGACAATTCTATAACGTTTTAAACTCAATCACATTAGATCAAGATTTATTGAAGATTTCAATCGTCAGTTGAAATGAAGAAAATGTTAGTAAGCATTTTCTAAAACATTTCTTGTGCAAACGACATTGTCAACTTGAAACTTTGGAACTTGAACTTAATATCAAGTTTTCTTTCGATTTCAAATATCAAAAATTTATTCTCCTTGACATCAACTCAACAACAAATCTGAATTTAATTCTCACCGACACTTGATTTCAATTGTATATCGTTTCACATGCATGAACAAATTTTATGATTCTAATTCTGATTTAATGTTCAATGGCATAAAGCATGCAAAAGCTTTTAATGCTCATGAAAATAGCTTCGAATGAGTCTTCTCATCTTCAATACGGAGAACTAAACTAAATCAAGTCTCGTTTCGATGTTGAAAATCGAGAACGTAATTACACTTTATCGCTTTTTCCAAAGCTGCTCAAATAGCTGTGTGAATTGGCTTTCGGCTGATTATTGTTGTCGCCCAGTTGATTTAATGACGATTGCATTGGATGATGTCGAGGCGAATGATGATATGGTAAGTGACTTGGACTGTCATTGTTGCTGGGCGTCGTTGATGATGTTAAGGCAGTCGTTGATGGAATAGATTGCCAACTGCCATCAAACTTGGATTTCATGAAAAGCGGTTGTTCACTTCCTCGCCCGTCCTCGCCAAAGTTTATTTTATCGCCATAAGACGATAATTTATTGCTTTTTCCATTAATACTGTTGTTGAGACGATTACGTCTCATGGTGCTTAGAAGGGGAGTTTGTGGGACACTTTTCGATGAACTCCCGCTACTCTTCTTTGGAGTTTGATGGGATTGTTGAGCAGGCGGATTCGGACTATTCAAATTATTCATCAATTGCTCCATTTTGTTTTCGATTATGTTCATTTTCAATTGATTGTTTGACATCGGAGCGGCTCCATTACCACTTTGATTAAATTGATGTTGCATGAGTTGATGACTTCCATTTCCAAGTGAACCGCCGTTGTTAATGAAGTTGTTGTAATGAACACTGTTTGGTGCTGAATATGAATTTTTTGAAAATTGTCGACCAACGAGAGTCGTCGTAGCATACGCTCCAAACGTATCATAAGTTGGGGAGTTGGAATTTTTGAATGATGAACATCCAGCAACTTCCGCATAATCAGGCATGTTCAATGGACTCAATCTGTAATGAAAATATTTAGATAATCATCTAGTCAACTGGCATGAGTATTTATGCTAATTCATAATGAACAAGCCAAATTTATTTTTCATTATCTAAATGATTAGAATGTTAAATCAATAGCTTCATTATGTTCATTTAAACTCCAATTTTTCTCTATCTATTTTGGAAAACATTGATAAATTATGCTTTTCAACATTGAAAATTCCAAATTGATATTTGATTACATGAAAAGTTTTCCCAAGTCTCATAGGGAGAATAAATAAATGATTTGCATGCAACAACGATAGATAATATTTAGGGGATTTAAATTTAAATCCCCGATGGAATTCAAAGACTCATACAGTCGATAGACGATGAAAGAATCGCTTTAGCGATATTTAATTTAATTGAAGCATTTTGCGTCCGATGCGATATTAAAGACAATGTTATTATGATCATCAGTTTTTGTTGTTTATTGTCGCTATTTACCCCCTTTTAAATTTCCATTATATATTCGGATATTTAAGTCAGGGTTTGGAAAATCATGAAAATTTATTTTTAAGGGTTTGGAAATTTATGAAATGGAAAAATTCATTTAATTCAACCACAAATGACATTTCCAAGAAATTTCTCTTCATGACTCAAGCCCTGTTGAAACTTTCTTCTAGAGTAGCGAATAAACGTTTTCATCCTCAAATTTCATCATTTTGCTGTCCCTTTGCTTTCTTCGAAAAATGAAGCACTTCAAAATTGTCTGACTCTCCGTCTCCACCCAGAATTCTAATTAAATTCTGATACAATATTGTTCAGCATAATCATAATTTACGATGGGGAGGATTTTCGTATCAATTTATGCTTTAATTTTGAGGATTTTCGTTATGCTTGCTTGAGTACGTGAGCATTGGAATTTTTAGCTTATTTATACATTTTCGACCCTCATATTGCTGCGTATAAATGCGACAATTCCGGAGTTGGAAAAAAGACGCATGGAGCGAGAGAATTCCCTCCAATTACAACCACAAAATAAAAATTCAAAAGTAACAAAAAGTCACAAAATATTAAGGAAGAAAAAATGTTGTTAACTTACCGTTCGTAATCAGGAAGCGGAAGTGTTGGAGCAGCGGCTGCATAATCACCAACATTTTCGCCGGGTTTGCCATTTGGCACATTCTGAATGTCAGTTGCTTGACGCCACACACCACCCGTTGGGTCGATCCAAACTCCATTTGCATTCAAAGGCAGTGTCGGGAACTTTCTCACTGTTCCTATTGCGTGATTTCCTGCAATCATGTTACAGTTTATTATCGCCATTTGAGAAATACAGAAGAAGAAAAGTTATTTTATATTTCGTCGAGTTTCTTGTTTTCTTCATATTTAATTCTAATTGAGAGGCGCTTTGTGTTTCTGCCTTTTTTTTAAATAAATCAGTGAGGTGGTTTATCCACTCTCAGCAAACGTCTAGTCACGAAATTTATTTCGTTTATGCTCTTTCATGTATTTACATTTTGATATATGTTTGGGACTGTTCAACAGTAAAGGAAAAGTTGGAAATTTTCATCATTCATTCTTGCGTTTTAAGTTGACATCACTGGGAAATCCTTCCCTGGCTTTGCTTAATCATAAAACAAGCGTCGAGGCAACAAAAAGTCTTAAAATTTCATGCAGAGAGCAGAAAAAATAAAATAAAAGCACTTGAATTCACAATAGTGCCGTTTTGAGCTTTGTCAGTTCTTTTGTGTACAATTTCAAATGAATTACTAGTTTAAGAATTTTATGGAGCTAATTTTTTATTGTCTATCTAGGATGCTGTTTATTTTGATATCAAAAGCATTGTATAAATCAATGGAAGCGATAACAATAGCGACGAAGCTGCGCTTGATAGAAAAGCTTATCTTAAATTAAGATTGAAAGAATAAGCGCAGACTTATTAAAGATCTTGCTGATCCCACTGACTGTCAAGCAAACTTTGAACCTTTTTGATGTCATACAGTTCAACATTTTTGTTACCTTCTCTGAATGATATTAAATTTCCAACTAATAATTATATCAATCGACCCCACATTACAATTAAAAGTATTTAACAAGAACAGCATCTCATTAAACTTTCCGTTTCACATTTCATGGTTTGTGACCCCTCAGAGAAAATAGTCGAGTTGATTGAAATTTATTGATCCATTAAACGATATTTATGGAAGGCTGTGTGCGGTGGTGTCATTAAAGCAGCGAAATTAAAGTAGAAAAAATAAAAACAAAAAAGGAAAACTTACCATGCACGCTCGTTAGTGAATTATGTTTAATGTACTGAATTTTCCTGAACAAAACGGTTGCTCCAAACAGGAAAACTATAATCGCAATAATCGAGCCCAGAAGAACAATAAACCAAGTCTGCGTGATAATATCATCGGAGTAATCACGGTTGATTGGATATCTGTGAGAAAACAACAAGTAAAAATAGAAAATGAATTAAAAAATAATTAAGGAAAGTTTGAATTATTTATTTATCTTACCGAACGTAACCTTGATCGAGTTTATTAGTGCTTGGATCAAGTCGTAGAATTGAAGGTGAACTGTAAGGACCATAGCCGACTTTTGTCGATGCTGAAACACTCACTGAATATGTCACACCTGCTGTCAAATTTGCTAACATTAATTTAGGTGAGTCACCGTCAACAGTCATGTTTGTGAGTACGCGTGACATGTTGTACATGTCATAACCTCGGACGATTACGTGATAGTCTTTTAAAACGCCATTCAAGTTTTCGGACAGCGGTGGTTGCCATTTTAAATAAACTGCTGAAGTGTTCAAAAGAACTGCTTCCATATTAATCGGTGCTGAACTTGGCACTAATTAAAGATAAGATAAAATGATTCTTGAATTACGAAAAGAGGTCGAGAATATCAACACCTACCGTCCTCAAGTGTCGTTGTTTGTTTCAGGTTTGATGGCTTTCCCTCGATGCTTTTGTAGAAGGGAATCAAGAAAAAGTCGTAAAGTGTGTTCTTCTCTAATTGTGTTATTGTACAAGCGGAAGCGCCTCCACCATGCAGAGCTGTTAACATTTTATAGACGCCATTCGAGTTTGCCTTTATCGAGTAAATGTAAAATCCTTCTACGTACTGACCGTTAACAATCTGTTGCGAGTAAGTAAAATGTGTTTCATGATCATTTTTTATATCAAATAAAGAGAAGAATTCATTTTTTTTCAACTTACTTCCCACACAAGTCGAACGCTTGTTGAATCTGTTGCATTTGCTTCAAGTAAGTTTACAACTTTTCCTGTTGACAATGTCGCTTGAGCTTCACTTAAATTGATGTCATCAACAATGTTGTAATCTTTTCCAATGGTAACCGCTTCTGACATTGGCGACGGTGGACCGAGACCAAAAGTATTTTCAGCTCGTACAATGTAAATGTAAGTTAAGTCCTTGGAGACCATGTCATGTGTGAATGACAAACTTTCAATTCGTTGTCCAATCGTAAGCCAACCTTTTGTATTGTCATTGGGAAAGACTTCAATTGTGTAGCCAATGATTTCAGATGCTCCTTGCTTAACACTTGGCAACCATGAGATTGTGATTGACATGTCGGTGATGTTTGTAAATTCAGGTTTACCGGGTGAACTGGGAAAAGAAGGAGTTTCCGGTGCACGATAAAATTTGATGTTAGGATTTGTTGGAAGGTCAAGTTTTAGGAATCCACTCCAAGTTGATTTTCCACTTCGACTGCTTGCTACACACGTGTACAATCCTTGGTCGGTATTCTTATCAAGATCTGTGATAATTAAACTTCCTTGTTCCGTGATGTTGATTCTTTCCGATCTCACTAAAGGATTTCCATCAAGATACCATGAAATGATGGGTGTTGGAGTTCCAATCGCTTTGCAGACAAGATTAGCGACGGATTTTACTGGAAGTGTTTGATTAACAGGACCAAGAAGAATAATCGGTGGTGGTCGATCTTCTTGTGATGAGATTGTAAGACGTGCTCGAACACTAACAGAACCAACAGCGTTAACTGCACTACAAACAATCACAACACCATTGTCATTCTTTGCTGTTGCTGGAATAGTTAAAATTGAAGAACTTTCTGGTGTTATTGTCGTTTCGAAACGATCAAATTGATTTGGGGGAAAGATCAATGAACGATTGCCTTCGATCGACCAAAAGAGAAGTGGCTGAGGTTGACCAACTGCTTTGCATTCAAATGCAACATCCATTGGCGCTTCAACGACTTTTGGTGATGGACGAATGACAAGTGTTGGTGTTGAGTAAACATTTAAAATTCCTGTTGCTGTGATCGTTCCAACTGCATTGTCAGCCTCACAACTATATTCACCTTCATCCTCAATAATGACATCATCGAGTCTGAGACTTCGGTCTTCAAGAATATGAACTCGATCAAGTGGCATGTTTCCACCAGCTGCGCTTCTTCGCCAGAGAACATCTGGCATGGGATCACCACCTACACGACATTGAAATGTCACCGAAGAACCTTCAACAACGCTTTGATTGTTTGGCCCACGTATTAGAAAAGGTTTAACTGTGGATTACAAAAAGTAAATAAAAAGATTAAGTGGAAAATATTTCAAGTCAATCTTCTTACCATAAACTTTGAGAAAAGCCGCAAACGAATCCCGAATACCGACAACATTTTTTGCGACGCATTGATATGAACCTTCGTCAGATTGTCGAACGTCTTGTATTGCCAAATTAGCTCCATCAACAATACGAATCCTAAACAAACAGAAAAGACAAAAAGATTGCTGTCAATTATGATCGGAAAGAAATATTTTATGAGTTCTTTTTTTTCATCGTTTTTGTTTTTGATGTCATCCCCTTTCGCAATGGAACGAGAGGAAAATATTCGTCTAACGACTAATGAGGAAAGGAATTAATAGCAGAAACTAATGATAATTACGATAATTAAAAACAAATACAAAAGGCGCAACATTATTTGCACCTGTTTCAGTTTCAACAAAGCCAATAATAGAAAGAAAAGAGGAAAAGAAATGTGTGGGCGTAAATGGTAAAAGTTCACGTTAACGACGAAGTCTTAATTACGATAATTAATCTCGCCTTCGAGATGCTAAATACGTACGTAAGAAAATAATAAATTACCTCTTAGATGCGTCAGTCTCAAGTTTCTGGCCGTTTTTCTTCCATGAGATTGTCGGCTCCGGGGAGCCTTTAGGTGGTCCACACTCCAACACAACAGTTTCACCTTGAGCGACTCTCGTGTTTTGCGGTTCCAACCGAAACTCGTCGCGAAGAACTTAAAAGAAAAGGAAAACATTTTTACAAATTAATTTTGATTTTTTTCTTCTCTCCTTTTGCTCTGCCAAATGCTTAATGATGATTTAATTATAAGTCATTTACAACATAAATTTCTACATTTTTCTTTCCTTTTGAAAAGAGTTTGTTAAATGAAATATGATTTCATCATTCGTTGAGAGTTGTGGAAAGAAAGGAGAAGGAATAAAGCAACCCTCACTCGTCATTAAGATACTTAGCAACTGAAATCCTCTTTAAAGGTTATTGCATCATATTTTTAATGAGATTTTCTTCTTCTTTTTCTTTTCTGCTTCCTTTTAAGATTCAACAATTTTTTTTCTTCTCTCTCCTTATTACAAGTTGATATCTTTACACTGAACTTTTGAATACGTTTTTAAATACAGTTTTGAAAGGAGATTAGCAAAATTATGCAGGTTATTACATTAAACATTTCTTCATTTTCTCCCCTTTCACTTTAGCTTTCCTTCTCTTTTTCTTTCTCTTCTTTATTCTTGAGGATGTAATGTCGAAAAGGAACAGCTTTTGGAAGAAGATATGCTTGATATGTACATAAAAAAAGACCCAGGAAACGAGAGAATCTTCTATGTATGCTATTTTATTGCTTGGGTAGCAAGCATGCCTAATTCGAATAAATTTTATTTCCCAGAAATTACCCCCAGACACACAGCATAAGAGCATAGATTCGTACGAATATAATAATCATCATACCATAATCATAAAAGATAAAATTCATTGTTAATTCCTTCAAATATAAGGACGAAGGAAAGAAAAAGAAAAATCCGACGTTTTTATGAAGAAATGATTACACAACCAAGCAAGCAAGCTCTTTTCTTTCTTTTCATGATGGAGACGGAAATAGATGAAGGAACAATAAAAATGGGATCTAATATGAAAGTTAACCTTTGTGCTCAAATTGTATTATGATGAGATAAAGCATTATGAAGGTATGCAGATAAGCTAAGACTCTGCCATCGCCATTATTTGCCTTGAAATTTATGTGAAATTTCAGATCCGTAACTTAATGTCGTAATCTAATGAATTCTGACAAGAGAATTATTCATATGGAAGAGAAAGGTTGGAATAAAAAAACTCATTCAACATCAATAAGTTGGTTGTGAATATAAATCTTGAAAGTGCTTAAGCTTTGCATCGTTTTCACTCCCACGCACTTGTAATTCTTCTAACAGAAAAAAACGATGATGAATATCTTCAATATCGTATGATAGACGACGAAGAGAGATAAAATTATTCAAAGAAATTGAGTTTCTTAGGAGATGACATGACAATAGCAAATCCACCCACGAAAATTCTATTATGAAAAAGCTCAACAATCCACTTTTCATTTCATGAATTCTCGTATGAAAATCGGGAGATGAAAGCAAAGTGAGTCACAAAAAGGTAGACCATGATTACTCAACTTATTACCAACTGAAAGGTCTTTGACAAGAGAAAAAAATCTCTTAAAAGAAGAAAAAAAGGATTCGAATTTATAATTCATGAACTCAGTGAACTTCAATTTGATGTTTGCCTTTTGTGAATGAAGATGGAACCATGCTAGAAGGAAACCCGAAGCGGAAGCTTTTAAGATGATGTCGAGTTTCGATTCATTATACAAAAATCAAATTCTGAGTGTCGGCACATTTCACAAAAGATTTTCATTGAAAAACTTTATAATTTAGATTTTTTAGGAAATTTTTCCGAGTGGGAAAACTTATTGTTATCAAAATCTCTTCATCGTGAAGGGTTTTTTCTTTCATTATTACCAACAGAAAAAGATTGTTGAGCTAAAAAGTTAGTAATTTCCATTCAACATGTTCAGTGAACGATAAAAATTGAGAATATCAAGCTTCAACTTGTTTCGCTTCACTGCATTCAATCTCACATTACTGAAACTAATTTTCATCACACTTCCATCTCAAGACATAAATAAAGAACGTCGTGATATTTTACATCCTTGGCAATTATCCTTTGGGGAATGACCGTAATAAAATTTAACGAGAATCGAATTAAAACTAAAGCGAGCACATTACAGGTTCCTGGATAATGAATCGTAGTACGTTTCCTACTGATATCTAATGGTTTTAATTAAGATTTTCTGTTCGTATTCAATGTCCCCGAGTTCGCTTAATATTATTACTTTTCTATAAAACGCATTCAATAAATTCTTTAATGAGAACGTGTTTAATTTAAAAGTCTCATAATTTTCATCCCAGACGATGTTTTTCGGGACCAGAGAAACTTTCAGTCTCGTTTAAATGTTCTTCCTGGAATTGCGAAAGTTGTACGTGTTCATCTAATGAAAATTGATTTTTCTCGATGAAAAAGCGTAACCAGTGGAAAATGTAAAGAGTGGGAAAATGAAAATCCATATTTAAATGAAAAATGCATAAATTAAGTTGAAAACCAATTTAATCGAGATTGTGGAAGCTTTTTTGTTCGCTCATTTTATATTGAAATTAGATGAGAATTATGAGAAATGTAAGTGAATGGAAGGAAGCAAAGGATATAACTTCATTTCGATCCACTTCTCTATTTCTTTATATCGGATGTTTAAATGATTTTCCTGGATAGATTTAAAGTGAAGTGAGAGTGCTATGAATGGTTTTAAGAAGGAGAAATAATTCTACAATTTTATGAAAGCTCATAATCAATTTTGTCCTTCTAAAGCTTGTCGCTTAAGCAACAGTGAACATGAGAAGTTGAAATGCTTTTAAGCCTTTAGAAACATTCAACTATGTCTGTTAAACTTGTTCATCATTGGTTTCAAAAGCATAGAACTTGAAAACTTTTTAAAAACAACACAGACAAAAAATTCAACATGAACGATGAACACGAAAAGCTTAAAAAAAAACTCGAAATCACAATGGAATAATTATTCAAATGTAGGTATTTAAAATTCTAGTTTTATCATTTCTACGGAAATTTCAACCATTGCATCCGTTCTGTTTCATTCAGTTTGGTTGCTGACTGTAAAGCCCGACGGGAATTGTAAATATGAATAGCGAACAATCATAAAAATGTAAAATTCACGTAAAATGCTTTAACCTTCGCTGTTAAAAGTTCCTTTCATACAACTATTCAAGGAACTGTTATGCCCAGAAACGATGAAATAAATCGCTGCAAAAAAGCAGTAGTCAGTGAAAGCTTTCATAGAAGTCGTTCGTTTTTATGCTGCTACAACAATGATAAGTATCGTCGTATGAAGTGGACAAAGAATTTTCCACATTTGCTGCGATGAAATTTCTTAACACTCTGTACGAGAATTGATTTTTTTATTGAAAATTTTTAAGAGCTGTTGAAACGAAAGGGTTTCAAACTCCAAATTCACGTCGCTTATTGAACTGTGTATGTGATGATAAAAATTGAAATCGAACATTTTTCATTCTTAACATTGCAAAACGAGCTTTTTTTCTTGCAGTGACTTTAAAATATTTTCTTACATTTTTTGGTGAATTTATGAATGCTTAAGTGCTTTTCAATGAGAAAAAAAATTCAAATTTATTGCTGTTTGTGTTTTTTTTTCGTTTTTTATGCCAGCAGAAAAAGAAGGAAAAACAGGCTTTGAAAATCAATATTAAAAATTGTATATTTTATTGCCAGTCAACATTTCGGTTATTTGCATAATTTTTCCTGTTTATGTCGACTTTCGTATCGAACGAGAGAGAGAAATCCAAGCGCTTCACGATTTAAACAGTTTCGAAATAAATTTATAAAACCTTAGCGGATCTTATCGATTGAACGGAACATAATTTCAACAGAAATGTTCAGCTGATTTATGCTTGTGCTTTGAGCGGGTTGTAATCGCACGTAGTGAGTTATTGAATTTATTACCTTTCAGCCCCTTTAAACATGCGAAATTGAAATCTTGCATAGACAAGTTTCAAAAACATGAAATCACTTCCGTGTTGCACAACATTACACTTTTCGTTTAATTGCAAAAATCATTTTGTGATAAGAAAGAGCTGAGCTATGAGAAAACGCACGACAATCGAGGTGTAATGTCAGTATTAGTTGTATAAAACATCCAAAGTAGACGAGTTTAATAGAATTAATTAAAAGCGTTGATACGAGGAAATGTACTCACTTTCCACCCTCAATAAAAGTGAAAGATCGTAGGAGAAACTTTGAAATATTTAATCAACACATAACATGAGAAAGGTTGAAAACTCACCTGCTACTTGCAATGTCGCATTCCGACTTCTCACCGACCCCACTTCATTTCTAGCCTCACACCAATAAACTCCGCCATCATTTTTAACAGCCTTGTTAGGTTGGTGAATTAAAATAGCACGAAGAACGGCAGGAAAATGCGAGAGAGAAAAAAAAGAGTTTTATAAATGAATTTTAAACATTTAAAGCAAAACATTTTGTTGGAGATTGGATTTCCTGGAAGTTCTTTTTAATTCTTTCCCTTGTCAAATCATCAGGCAATCCAAGTGCCATTTTCACTGCGTAATAAATTATTTAAGGAAAATCTTCTACCTGAAATATTTATCTACCTAGCAACAATCTTCAAACGCACTTGCAACTTTCTTTTTAAATTTTTTAACATAAAAAAGATTTAAACGCTCAAGTTTATTTTTAATTAGTTTTGCTTGAAAATGAAAGGAAGATTGAGGGAGGAAAAAATTATTCAACACAGATACGATCCACGAAAACAACAGAAAAACATAAAAGGAAGCTGCTGTTTTCAAATTAATTTATTTTTATTTATTTACTGTTCCAGCATTTTAAAAAGTAGGAAAAAGGAGAGACAGAAAGCGAAACGTGTTGGAATTTTCTTTTTCCCTATTTCAGCAATGAAATGTTGAATTTTTATTTTTTTGGATCGATATTCGCTATATGGGAATTGCTTAACGTTTTCTAAGGGATTCTCTTTTTACGAGGGCATTGAGAATTATAATTTCTTGCATAATTTTGTAGCTGGAGAGAGAATGTTGAAACTCATCCGGGTTGTGAACTCGACAAACGAAGGGAGGTGAAATAAATCAATTTCAAAAGGGAAATTAAGTTCGTTTCGAAGCATTCATGCATTAATATTTAATTCTTTTTTTACTTTTCATTCTTTTTGATGATGGAAAGTTCTCCGAATGGGTCAAATAGAACAAGACAATTAAATAAACTAACTAAACATGGAATATTAATGTTGAGAGTCAATCATCTCTACATGTTATGAATTAATTTAATGTACAAGAGATGAGATTTTTTGAACGATAATAAAGCTGGGATGGAAATCTTCATCAATCGGATTAAATTAATTTGCGAAATGATGTCGCAGTGGGGAGTGAAGTTACGCAAACGAGATGAAAAAAAAGGTTTCCTTTTATATTTAAACCAAAGACACCAAATCATTTTTTTGCTTTGCGTTTTTATTCATCTCGGAGGACTTGTTATGGAGGAATAAAAAAAGTTTTTTTTCCATCCTCTTGCACAGAAACACTCTACGAATCTCGAAGGATGAATTTCGTCGAATGATGTTTCCAGTGTGTACCGAGGGTTGATGTAAAAGAAACTTAAGTCTCTACTTTATCATGGAAAAGAATTTAAGAGAAAATCTTACAATCTCCGTATGATTTTTCATATCATTTTTCTGTTAGTCTTGAATTATTATAAAAATGTTACCTTCAGAAAAAACAAACTTCCCGCTGGCAAAAAGACTCGATGTTGAGTAACTTTAAGTGGCACCCCGTCTTTGTACCAGACAATATTTGGCTCCGGAATGCCCTCGGCTTTGCAGTTTATCGTCACGGGATCATTTCTCGGGACTGTTGTATCAATAGGATGTTCAACTATTCTTGGAACTTGGAAGGCTGCAAAGATAAAAATAGAAGGAAAAGGATGAGATAAACATCAACAAGGAAAAAAAAAAGAAAGTTTCTGTTTTTTTCATCCACACAATCTCCATTTTAAATTTAATTAAGCTGAAAGTATTGTTTTCTGTTTTTTTTCCCCGTTTCACTCTGTCCATTCATTCACGCTTTGTTCTCTACACCACCTCACGCCACAATCAAATTATGGATTTTCAGCTTCGTCGGTTGCCCAACCAACAAAACACCAAATGGCATTAAACATTAAAAATGACTTTCATCTCTGGCGGCTTCGAAACGGAAGCAAAAAAAATTAATTTAATTGTACAACAAGACAATATTTGACGCTAATTAGTTTTTTACGGTAAAATGGCGAAGCTTTTATACGGACTAAAGCAACATTTTTCATCTCATTTTTCACACTGCTAATTCGCACTTTCAAAGCAGAAATTTCTAGGTAAACCGGTGTACATGACGTTCCTGAAGTATAACAACAGCATCCACCATGTGTAGCCTGAAGGAATCTCTTTTTTACTGTGTTTTTCGCTTGTTTATTATGTTATAATAAATGCTACCTAGTACTCCCACGCAGCAAACTTCTATGCCATATTTTAAGCTAAACAAAGCACAGATGTAACTGAGTGCCGTTAAGCTGTGTTGCCATGATGTTGTAAATCAACGGGGATGAACGCTGAACATGGAGAAAGGTAAAGAAGAAGCTGGCAAAATATAAGCGAAAGTTACGAGAAATTTTAAGCCATAAAAATGGAAAGTTTAGGAACTTTACAGTTCCCTCGTGTAATAGCAAAAACATCTTAGCGTTAAGCTTACATTTTTAGTGATGCGAACAAAACAGAAAGTCTTTATGCTTTTAAAAGAAATAAATATTGAGGGAAATTATGCGAGGAAGCAACAGAAATGTGAAGCGGTAATTTCTGATGCTCTGCGATTTAAAGCGGAAAAGGAGCGGAGCGGAAACTTGCATGTAATGGTATAGCGGGGGAGTTGAATGTTAAATGTTCTACCAATTTTTGTTATTGTAATAAAATATCATCCCCCCCACGCACTGTTTTAATTCCGCTACGATACAATAACAAACAGACACAAAATATTCCTAAAAGCATTAAAATTAAAATCATAAAATAATTAAGATAAATAAATTGTTCACTTTGAATGTTTAATGGTTCAATTGTTGGGGTTGTTACGCTTTCTAACTGTTCTCATTTATATGACTTTTTTTTTGCGCTTCTTTACGTCAGGTGGGGAGCCAACAAATGTGTAAAATTTTAAATGAGAGTAAAGCATATGGTAGCAATTATGCTAGCGGAATTTAAAACGCCAGACATCATGACGATAGCTGCTTACAGAAGAGGGTTAGGAAGGTGAATCCAAAATGAAAGTCATTAATTTCAAAAGCAAGCTAGCAAAAGTTATGTCGATGATTTATTGGTGAAATGAGGTTTGTTAACGCTTGTAATTGCCATCATTATGATCAGAAAAGAGAAGAAATTTTCACTCTAAATTTAAATATAAATTATGATGAGTCAAATCTTGATAATAAATAAACAACAAAACTTTAAAAATGTTTCTTTTAACTAGAAGAATTTTATGCATTTTTAACGATGTAATTTTGTGCATTGTGAATAACAATCTAATGATGTTAATTTCATTGAAGATTTTTCCTCAGCGCTGTTGTTGTCAGTTTTATGTAATTTGAAGGAAATGAAGTTAACGAAAGCTTACAAAGCAAAAGATGGAAAGGAAAATATGCAAACAATCTTCCGCATCAGTTGTGAATGAGATCGTTATGAGGTGAAAGAATGTCTGAAGACTCATTTCATGAAATAGTGAACTTCTGAGCGGACTGTGACTGAAGGAAGGATGAGGAAGACAACTTATGATCTCATCATGAAGAAAAACTTTTCCCATTAGGAAGCCTTCAGGTACTTTTATGTTATTTTTACAGCTTTTCTCTTGAAGCTTATATAGGAGATGTCTGGGAATTATAATCAAGTTTCTTCGATGTACAACTGACGAGATAAACATTATGAAACTGTAAATTAAGTTCATTCCTGAAAGCGTCTTTGATGCTTTTGACATTGAACAGAAAATCACCGGAAGCAATTTTTCATGAAGCGCACGATTTATGTTGTCAAGTTTTCAATCAACGATCGAATCTTTTTTTATGTTCTCTTCTTTTGATGAGCAAACATTACAAAAACTTCCCTCGAGAGACTAATGATTTGTCTGCCCATCCTATGTAGCTGATAGCTTAACAAATATAGCTTTAAAGTTGCGATAATGTTATGTTACTTTAACTTGGGGGGAAACTACCGCAATGCTAGTTTGTCTGATGTGTTTAACTTCGGAAATTGATTCTGACATGAACGATGGAAAATTAGCGCTTTAATTCTTGATGAATTTCATGTTCAACTATCGTGTGAAGCGTAAAGAAGTAGGAAATTGCTTCGGTCTGCTGAACATTTCGTTGTCTGATTTACACATCAAAATGTTTGATGAACTCGCAATAGAAAATGTTATAAAATTTGTCTGCTATTTTTGCGATTAATTTACCAAAAGAAACTGAAATATTTACTGCAACTTCCATTTTTCGAAATACAAATAACAATTCAACGTGAATTTTATGTGCAGCTTTTGACTTTTTTCTCCTTAAATCTTTAAATCCTTGCAACAAATCCCTTAAAACGTAAAAGATTTCCATTTTATTTCTTTCAAATCCGCAAATAAAAATTTTCTGATCGACAAAAAGTTTTCATGAAACTTTAAATTTGAGTATAACATTAAATTTTTTTATTTTTACAGTCTTTGCCCTGCGGATTGTAAAGCATAAGGAAATTCATCAAAGAGAAGAAATTGGAAAGACGAGGCGAGAAAAACAATATTTATTATTCCCAAGTTGATTTCTTTGCACAAGATAAATTGAGTTAAAAACTTTTATATTCGAAGATACTTTCAAATCTACGAGATTATTTGAAGATTTTCTTTTAAAGTCTTATTGGATGATTCATAAACTTTATTCAACGTGAAGGTTTATTAAACTAACATTTAATCAAACTGAAATATTAAAAGGAAAATCATTTTAACTTGGCTATTGCTATTTATTTCTTCAATTTCAAACAAACCAACAACCGTTTGTGAGTTATCTACAGCCCCAAGCATTGTTGGATCTTTTCCTGGGTTCAATAAGCGTCATGGTAAAAAAGCCTCAATCGTGTCATGAATAACAATGAAATTCTTATACAATATTCTGATTCGGAATCTCCCCTCATCACATTCATTGGCTTGACATATGTACGTTTGGAAAAGAGTTTTCACTGCCGCTTGCTATGTTATCAATGTCTATTGGAAAGTGTATTGGTGACTCATGTGACATGATATAGTCAAACAATGATGAGACGGTTATTTATTTTAAAAGCCATCAAGTCACTCGCCCTTCGACTTTTCCAACCAACCAAATTTCCATAAAGATAAGCAAAACATTGACATTTCTTCTTAAATGATGGAAATTCGATTGAGACGGGAAATCATTTTGATGGAGAAAAAAGAAATTTTCTTGTATCTGATCCGGCCTTCAAATTTACATAATTTTCATTTGATTTTCCAATGCTTTAACGATTTATCCATTTATGTTAAATGGTTTCTTCCTAAAAAAACGTCTCAACAAGACGACTTTTGAAAATGTTTATAAAGGAAGGAAAGGAAAAAGAAATCACTGGCCGAACAGACACAAGACTTCAGTAATTTTATTACTTTCTGATCAAACTCTTCCCCTAAATATTTTTCGTGTTTATGCATACATTATGGACGTCATACGATTATGTTTACTCATAAGAAGCATAGAAAGGATTCACCAAAGCCCCTTTTTTTAACATAGCGTGTAACGAACCAGAAATAAAATTCGACGAAAAGATTAAATTGAATAGATTTTCCAGAACAGAAAATTTGTGGTATGATGTGGGGGCGGATTGAAGAAGGAAAAGATCTGGCAAGTCACAAGGAGCAGCTGTAGTCAACGATAAAGGATGTGTATTATGCGTCTTATGTGAATATAATTTGTTTTTATGTTTCGTATCATTTTAAACTCCCCAAATATGCTTCATTTTTTTCTCTCTCTTTCTTTATCGTGAACGGTATTAAAGGCGTGGATGTGTGCAATGATAAAAAGACGTAAGAGGAAAGTCAAGTAAAAGATTAAGCGTTGGTTGTATTTGAGGATGAAAGGAAAATAAGGGAGAAGTTCACTGTTATAGCTGCTATTGTGATTGTGACTGTTGATGTAAAATACGGGTCGTGAAGAGAGTAAAAGTTTTATGTCTTGAATGTGATTAGATATCGCTATGGAAGCGTGTGGAACACAATAAAAAAGTCATATTTCTTACTGTAAGTAGAGAATGAAAAAGGCAACTGTCATTATAACATAAGTCGTGAGTAAGAAGCTCCAATAGTGATCGTTATGGGCTGATAAGGCTCAATTTGCTCGAACATAAAAGATTTCGTTATCAAAGACAGCAAAGAAGAAAAGAAGGGACTGAAAATCAATAAACCGATGTCGTAAAATACTGAAATGCGATGTTTCTCCAGAGGATGCTGAAAGGACTTACACAAAAGGAAGATTACAGCCATTTTTGACCCTTTTTTCCTTTGACTACAACACGTAGAAGTAGATATGCTTGAAGCTTTCCATTTTCGTCCCTTTTTCACAATCATGGAGAAGAGAAAAGAAAATCGTTTGGCACGGAAAATGTAAGCAACACGAATCCAATTAATTAGTGGAAATATTAAGAACAACACGAATGTCGAATGTGGAACACCGGAGGATGAAATGAACAGAAGCAAAACACCAAAATCAATACGTGAAACATGTCCGAGAATCTAATTTATGAAATTTTCCGCCTACACACGAATAAAAACATTGTGATCGTAATTAATGAATCTATCAGGAGAAATTATAGTCTCAAGACGTTTCCCAGCTTCTTTTTCTCCTTTTGTTCCATCGTTTTTCTATGAAATATTCTGATATCACCATGATTGTGTGGTTAAAATCAATGGAAAAAGTTGTAACGGGAAAATGAAGAAACAAGAAAGAGAAATCGAATGAATAATGGAAAATTATGCCAATCGAACATGAACGGCTCCATTCTTGTGTTTTGTTTTGTGTTGTTGTATTGTTCATCGAAGTGAATATCATAGTTTGCGGATAACAAAACAACATCCTTTAAGCTTGTATGATGTTAGAAACCTGAAGCTGAGTCCCAACATAACATGTCATAAATCCCTGGCATAGCATAAATCTCTTTCTCCATTTCCTTTCACGATCTATGCTTACACATGAACAAGAATTCGAATTCACTTACTTCATCGAATGTTTTACAAAAGCCTTACATTACATTATCTCAAATGTAAAGCGAGAAAGCTTAATCAGCAGGAATTATAAAAGTTTTTTTCATTCGATGCTTTCATTTCAATGAATGTTGCTTAGTGATTAATTATATTTCTTTTTTTGTTCTCCCTTTAAGGAAAATTAATAAATTTCCAAACAATGAAATCATTTTTCTCTCATGTGCTTCGTTTCGTGAGAAGACGATTTGTAATATCCTGAATAATACCGCGATGTTGTGTATGTTCGTATTCCAATTTTATCGGAAACCATATCAACATGAGTGTTTAATTCAATTAGTCGTTGAAATGGGAAAATTTCAATTTATTTTCTCTTATCTTACGAGATGAAAATGTTATTGATTTATTGCATAATTTATGTTCTTTAAATGTTCATATTGGTTGAAAGTTGAAGGCATTCTGAGTTGGTGAAAGAATAATCGTCATAATTTCTCAATTAGTTTCACCAAGAAACTTCTCTTCCATTAATTGATCTGATTTACGACTTTTACTAATTGCAATCGTTAGAAAACAAAAGCTTCGCTCATGAATGCTTTCTTTCTATTTAATTATTCTTAAATTATGGAAATTGGAATGAAAACATGAAAAACATAATCAGGCAAGAAAATTGTGAATGGCATTTGCCCATGAAAATTATGAATCTTCGCAAGCGATAACATGTTGTTTAAGGTTTTTACGATTTTCTAACATGAACCAATATTTTTCACTGCTAACTTCGCTCCAATTTACTTAATTGCTATGCGAAAAGAAAGGGAAAGAGAAAAATTGTTTGGAAAAAAATTGTGTAATCAATTTTTACGATTATTATCGCTCGTGGCACAAAAGCGGAATCGAGAAATTAAAAGTCATTTTATTCATGGTACTTGGTGTGTTGTTTTTCATTTTTCAACAACAAAACTTCCCCATTAATGTTTTATGTTGTTGAAACATATAATTTTACTGCGTCGCTTTTATTTTTTTTTTGCTTATTATCTAATTAGGAAAATTTCTTCAAATTTAACAAATTTTTGGCGGCGGTTGAAACAAAAGGAAAAAGGGGGAAAAAGGAAAAGTCAATAAAAATGTAAATGAAAATGAAAGAAACGATTTTCTTCTAGTTAACTTCGTCGTGCGTCAGTCCCAAGAGACGTCGAGACGAAAGATTGAAATTGTTAGAATTGCTTTTAAAATGGCACAACATAAGTTATGCTATTTTTTAAGTTAGAGAAAGATTTGCCTTGTACACCAATGACTTAGGAAGGGCGACAATGAAACTCTCTCCAGGCATCAATTTTATTGAATTTTTTACTCTTCCGATGGAATCTTTTATCCCTTAACTTAAACCTACAATAAATTTCATGCTCAACTTTTATTTCTTCAGTCATCATCATTGAGGGATGAAAAAAATGCAATTCACTGGAGACTTACACAGCATAAACTTGCGAGCAAGTAAAAAATAGGACGCAAGAAGAATTATGGAATTTATTACATTAAGCTTTCGTTCACACAAGTTGCACTTAATTTTTTTCATTCTTTTCATTTTTATCATGTAATGCTTGATGTTATAACATTTTTCTGTCGTTTTGTTTTATCTTAACAGCCCGAGTAGCACTAATAAAAAGCAAGTTTATCATGCATGCAATGTTAAACATAAATGTTTTTATGCTTCTAGTAGTACATTTATAATAATTTCATATTGTTCCGGGGTGAATGCCGTTGTAGGGTTGAAAGAAATATTTCAATAATATTAATATCTAATGTGAAGTATAAGGAATTCCAAGAAATATTTAATTGCGGTTTATTATTGGTTGGGGTTGATTATGAAAGCATAGAAACCTCTCAACATGAGCTTTATCTTTGTGGTTCCTTTAGCAACATTCTTCACTTGTTTATAAATAAACCTTTCATTAGATTACATCAAATGAATGTAACGGAGCGTCTCAACCATAATTCAAAACTTTATCTTCACATAAATCGCTGAAAATGTTCATACAAAATGTTTGATTTGTGAAATTGCGAAAATTTTTATTTGTTTTCTAAACATTTTACGCCTTCCTAAGTTTAAGTTGGAAAATGTCTTCGCCTTTTCATTGAAGTTAGAGTAATGACGAGTGAAGAAGAAGGCCAAAAGAAAATCATGCTAATGCTACTTTCACATGCAATCCATTTTTCGTCGTCTTGTTACCTTGTCTTGCTACATAGTCGAAAGTACGTAAGTAGTTTTATCGAAATGAGCAAAATGTAACGTCTGTAGGCAAGAAAGAAATGTCGTAAATCCGTGAACGAACGTTCGTTGCATTAGAACAAGAATGGAAAAGGTTTTCAGCAAGACGTTTACGTCTCTAAAAAGCAACATTTTACATTTAGTATTCAGAAATGAGCATTTAAAATCAAAATGCCGTAACCTAGATTCCCTTCAACCACCTCAAGCAGTTTTTCTTCTTTCACTTTTCGTGCTCAATTTTTCTCGATTCAATTTTGTGCAGTTTTTTGTTTCGTTCGCTGGCGGCTTGGCGCGTATTTACGACTTGGCAAAAAATGTAAATTTATTCAATTTGGTTAAAAACTCTTTTTTTTTTGTCTCTCTGTTGATGTTGTTGATGTTAAACCCAATTTCGACAAGACTTTTGCGAGAAAAACGAGAATCATAAAAATATTTATTTATTTTTCTTGTGTTTTCCGCCAGTGAATGAAAATTTCATGGAGAGAAGCAAGCAGACACATTCGCAAATGAAATGCTTCAATTTTTATTTCATTTTCTTTTGTACTCTCTATCCGCTGCTTGATGTCTGGTGAGCATAAAAAAATATTTAGTTAGCTCTGCATTTATTTAAGCCTTTACTGACTACTTTACTTTATACTGTACAATCATTCAACATGGAACAGAAGAGAGAAATACTTTAAGTAAACACAAATAAAGGAAGGAAAAACTTTTTAATTGAATATTTTTTATTTGTTGTGAAAAGCTAGAAGCTTAATGTAAATGGTGGATGATGCGAAAGCACAATTCAACAATTCAAAATTAAACCCCCGCTTGGGCTTTTTTTCTGTTGTCGTTGTTATTGAAATTTGAATGAGCAATTTAACTTGAAATGTTTGCCGTAACGAAAATGTTTAAATATTATTTTAATCCCAGTGCTTAATGAAATTTCCTTTCCATCACAACATCGAGTATCGTTCTGTAAATGATGATGAAACCTTTGTTATGTCTTAGAATTGTTTTTGCAATGACTTTAACGAAGAAAGAGAAAACTTTAGAAAGTCAGAACACATTACATTAAATGTCAACAGAGAATATAAGTTTACACGCTAAGCATACATTTAAGTCCCAAATGAAATGAAAATCAAAAAGAACTTGAAAAAAAGGGAACAAATAAAAAAAGATTAAAACAAATAAATGACGACAAAATTGTCATAATAAAAACAGAATTAAAACTTGGCAGTTGAAGAAGGGAGAGAAAAGGGATCATTAAAGTTTAAAACTCATTCAGTTACATATTTCTTGGAACTAAAAGGCGACATTTATTATCGAGCCTCGTAGCAAATAAGTCAAGAAAACGAAACAATTTCCGTGAGGAAAACTTTCATGATCGTTCAGGGGAAAAAGTTTTAAATTAAAGGAAAACAAAGAGTGAAAACAGCTCTATTTATTTAAGTTTCTTTCAAACTCCTACCCCCAACCCCCCAACCCACTTCATCTTCATTGTTATATTGTCTTTTCCCAGAGCTGCCATTTCCATGATATCCTAAATAAGTCAAATTGAATTGAAAGACAAAATTGACTTGGAAAAAGCTATTCTCATCAACGTCACAAGAGACTATAGTTGTAGTGTTTTGTAAATATTTAGAAACATTTATCATCGTTGGTGATGAGAAGGGCGGATGATATGATGTTGTTCGCTTTCTGCTTTGGATCATCAGTTGAAGATAAGCTGAGACGAGTTTAAAATATGGCTGAAAATATGGAGTGAGACATTTCGTTCTACGTTTAATGATGTTGTCTTTTGAGGAAATGGATTTTGTGAATAGATAACAGAAAAGACTATCATGATAACTCTATCAAACATGTCTGGCCCATAACGCCAAAAGATTAAAAGCTCTTTCGTCATATCATATCACAAAATGTGCTTTCATCAAATATTTGAATGAAGAAGAGACATTTTGAGTAACTAAAGTACTTCAAACTTCTATCAAAGAAATAACGAAGCATATCAAAGCATCATTTATTTAATTAACTCCCCACTGACTTCCTTCAAAATTTCAATGAAGTAAATATTCGTTAACTTCGCATCACAACACATCGCAGCATCCCGATGGGAGTGAATTCAAAGCATACACAAGGTACTTACTTACGCTAATTAAAAAATTCATGAAAAGGACTGAAAAAAAAATTTACATCAAAAGTCAGAGTCATTTTCAAATGGGAAAATTAATCAGAAAGCAACGAATGAAAAAAAGATCATTGAGCTTTGCGATGTAAATGAAATAACTACATTAAAAAAATTAAAATATTTATCTCTTCTCGCATTTCAAAGGGAGAAAAATATCGAGCAACATAAACAGAGCATGATGTGCGAAATGTTATGCGGGAATGTGAAAATGTTTTTCCCCAACGTGTGCTTCACAGCCTAAAACAAATTCATTGCGTTAATTGACATGAAAAAAGATGAAAGAAGATTCAAAAAAATAATTTTGCAAAGAAAATTGTTATGATAAAAGCTTTTCCAGGCGTCTTGAATCTTCCAGAAAAATGAAATTTTGATTTGACTTGTGATTTTAATTTAAAAAGCTTGTTGCAGAGTATCAGTTGAGATATCACATTTAAAAATAATTTCCCGTTTTTTTCAGCTTTCTCTTATTCATTGCTTAACATGATGCTGAAAGTCCAAACAAACCAAAGTTAAATACGGTACGATATGTGGAAAAAAGTTTCCTTCATTTGAACAAACAAAAAAAATTTTCTCTCGTTTTTAAAATTCATTAAAAATTTAGAATCATCGTTTTATTTAAATTTCTCTTCTTCGTTTGCTCCATTTATTTGTTTATAAACTTTCAGTATAATCAAACTGGTATGAAAAGAAAAACATTTAATTATCCTTGTTAGAAAGTTTGACTAGCATATGCAAGTCTTTTTATATTATTCGAATGAATGAGTTTTGGGACTCGAAAGTTGGGCGATTTCCAAATTCCTTCGTAGCATAAAAAGATGAAGATGAATGAGATTAAAATTCACAGTTGTCAGAACTTGGAAAATTGTGATTTCGATTTATTATTCGAATAAAATTTCATTTAGTTTCTTTGTAATGTTGTTGCTTGATTTAAGGGACTCGAGATTCAAATAATTTCTATTGGAGATTCACTTTTGATCATAAATCTTTCCAACAAGCTCTCCCATAACTAGTCAACCCGTCCAAGAAACGTTTTTTTCTCTGTTGTAAACACAATGGTTTATGGCAAAAGGTTAATTTGATTTCATCTCCATTTAAATTTTGAATTTAACATTGGGAATCGAAAGCGAGAGAAAAATTTGTAGTTTTGAGGGAAATGAACAAAATCCACCCTGGAGATAGCGAAGAGGAAGAAAGGATCCCATTGTGTGTAAGACGAGAATAATTTATTTATTTGTGCTATTTCTGTACTGGTTTTCTCCATGTGCAAGTTCTCAAATGGAATTTATTATGTGGGTAGTTTATGGGTTTTGCATTCATTTGAACTTTAACGATTTATTTTATTGGAAATGACTGAAAATCTTCGCAACACGGGATTGCACAATGGCACGTTTAAATTTAGTGTTTGGGAAAATTCTGAATATTCTGACTCGAATAACAGATTGAAACATCAGCGTGTCGTGACCAATGTCTGGAAAATAAATTTCCCCTTGCATTGTTTTAATGAAGATGAAGTTTTAATGTACGACGTTGAAGATTAATGATTGGCAAGTGATGGAATTGAAGAGAGGAATTCCGATGGTCAAGCCAATAAATTGACATTTCACTCTTCCATCCGAATGCTTCTTTCTAAACCCTTGAAAATCGATCGATTTCTCCCAAGTGATTTAATTTAACGAGAAAGCTTTTCCGACAGAAATCGTCTTTGATAGGAAAAAAAGAAAAGTTCAAAATTTTCCTTTTGCGCTTCTCGTCTCCCCAATGACGATCATCAGATGGAAGGAATTAAATGATATTTAACGGGTCAACACACAAAATTTTCAATTGAATTTTGTTGAGGAAAAATCATCCCATGGGAGCATGAAGATGAAAATTGGAAAAGCGATGGAGAGGAAAATTCCATCGCAAGGCTCATCTGTGATGTTCAAATTTATGTATGAAAAATTTCTCCAGACAACATAGAACTAAGATGGATAAGTAACAAAAAAACTCTCGTTATGTATTTTCCATTCCATCATTTTTGATCTAAAAGCTTTTTAAAGTTTACAATGGAAAAAAGCGCATGAAGATTTAAAGGCAAAAAGAGTCAAAATTAAAATTCTTTGTTGAATTTTGTTGAAAACTTTTTTTAATATAAGTAAAAGCGAGCTTTCATTGTTAGAGATATTCCGTAGGGTGAAACGGGAAAAAGTTTCTTAAACTCCACGAAGGCATTGGAGAAAAAATCGATAAGTATGAAGGCTTCGTTGCTGAGTTTTATGTTTAAGATTTTGCTTTAAAAAAAACTAAAATAAATGATAAATATCAAAGTCTGAATAACTCCGAAGTCTAATAAATCGTGGCTTCTGTTCATTGTGTTAAACACTTGTAAATTATACATTTTATTATGATAAAATATCATATTTTTCATTCTCATATCGTGCTGTGAAAATCTGTTACGAATAATTTTTATATTTTTCCCTTCTTAACTTTGTTTTTTATGGAAAATGTAAAAATCGTCCAATTATTGTTATTTTCATTATGTTGGGAGTAAATTAATGTATCAAATGTCATACGAGACTTGTTGATTTGTCCTATGATGGACTCGAAAGAAATTCATATCAGGGGAATGTCAATAAAAGTAAGTCGAACGTTGTTGCTTAAAAGCTCCAAATGTCCGGTGAGACATGCACGCGTGGCCAATTAGTTAGAATGATTCGTTGAAAATATTCACAATTTTTATATTGGAACGGAGAAAGTCGATGATGACGCACAAAAATATTTCTTGGGATTATGTATTGCGATGAATTGGAAGCCCGCAGGCGAATTTATTTCTACGGATGAGAGAAATGTTGGAAACAGCCTTCACGTGAATGACAAGGCATGTTTTGTTGTTTGTTCGATTCTTTGCTGCATGAATTGATGCTCGTTAATTTTTTTAAAATTTAATTTACAATCCGGTGAAATATTTGTTGAATCAGCGTTTAAATAAAAGAATCAAATCAGACAGTTGACGTGAAAGCTTTTGATATCATGCCAAGCTGAAATAATTTTCATTGCTCTCATTAATTAAATCATCGATTTTCGTGTCATCTGTTCTAGAATTCGAAGTACGAAATCGAATCAATCAATGAGTGTAATCTTTGTTTTCTTCTTTTATTTATTCAATTTTAAACGACAAATTTCAATTGAATTTGATTATCGTTCGTTCGCTGAATTGGAATTGCGAGGGAAGATATCATGCAGTGGCGGGAATATTTTCCAACTGAAATCATTTCGATAATTGCATTGTTGTGTAATTGTCATGTCTGTTATTGAAATTTCTGTTTAGCATTAAAACTACGACGACATAAATGGTTGAGAAGATTCTTCTTCATCCATCAATTGAACCAAACAACTCAAGATACACGCAAAATATTTATGAAGAAGATGAAAATAGAAGCATTAAGGAAAGTATCGATTTCCCAACGATTCCAGATATTTACAACCACACAGAGATTATTATTTCATCGTCAAACTTATGAGATTTTTCTCAAATAAATATGTTCAGTCAGAAACATGCTTAAATCATATCGAATGTCGATGAAGTTATAACTTGTGAATGAAAAAAGTTTTCGCTAGAGACTTGGGAAAGGAAGAAATAAACATATTTTATTACTCATGTATCATTTCATTGCAAAAAAAGAGAAATAACTGGCGCGTCTTAAGGAAAATCGATTTTCCTTTTAATATTAGCTTTTTGTTTCTCGGAAAATTTATGAGAGTTTTGATGATTGTCTTACTAAATGTGGTGTTGAAGCCAACGTTGAAATGTAAATTTCCCTTTGAATTGTGAATAAAATTTTAGATAAAAGCAAAACCACCTTAATTCGTATTCAATTTCTATCATAAATATTTAAATGTTATTCAACAAACGAGAAAGTAAAGATTTTCTTTTCCTAATGGTTACGACATCGTTTTTTCACCATTAAAGATTTATGTTCAAGCTAAGCGAGAATTAAAGATTAAGAGGCACGTAATCCTCATGTGAAAGTAGATACTTTCGAAAGCTCGTGATCTTCCCGAACACTTGTTTTTCTTTCTATTTGAATTTCATTTTTCCAGGGATTTCCTTTAAGGATTCTCAAAGCGACAGGATGATTAATTTTGCAGGATCTTCTTTACATAAGTGAACAGAGAAAATGAAATGTATTTAATGTTTTGCGTTGAATTTCAAATGTTTTATCATCGAGATTAAAGTGAAAAGTTTTTCTATTTTTATCTGTTTTCCCCTTTTTCCACATAATGTTTAATCACATCTCTCCATACAGTTATCCGCCTCCACAATAATACAAAGCTAAAACTACTTTGATGCGAGGGTGGTTTTGTTTCTATCGAAATCAGCAAAAAAAACTGATGTCGTTGTTGTTGTTTCTTTTTTCTTCTACTTTTCCCTCTGCATCACATTTAAAGGAAACTTCTGTATAATGAAAATTCCTTTGATATAAAACAAATATTTACTATTGATTTTTTCTCTCTCATCTCTCTCGTTTACTGGAATCATCGTTTTATTTGTACACTTTTTTTTTGTTGCGATTCAGTATGTTCCCATTTTATGTAGTAGATACTTTATTCCTGTCTAAAAAGGAACATGATGTTTGTAACAAAAACATGAGGAATGTTTAATGTGGTGATAGGGTTGATGTTGCTATTTGAGAATGTTGTCACTTAACACTTCTTCAAATGTCACAAGTGGGATTGAAAAACAAATTCTTTCATACAATGTAACTTGGCCTTCTCTTAAAATGATCAAAATCTTTTGAAAGATGAAACCAGCTCAAGGACTTCAACCATACCCTATGTCAAAGACTTTGAATTATGGGAAATGAAGAATTTTCCAATATCAAAAATAAAAAAAGATAAAAGTGAAAGCGACTCACTTTACTCTTCCATACAAGAGTTAAAATCGAAGAAAAATAAAAACAATTCTCCACAACAAGTAAGAGGAAGCGAAAAATTGCTGAATTTAAATTGGCTAAATTGAAAGGCATTTACTCAATTTCCCTCTTTTCGTGCTTTTTACGCTTTTTTTTCTTTGCTTTATAAAAATATTTTTTGTTTACTTGCGCAAGAAAAATACAAACAATCGCTTGGTACTGTAAAGAGGAGAAGTGAAAAGTTAAACGAGGTAAGAATAAACAATTCGTTAAAAATTCTTGGGAATGCTTTTTAATCACAGTCGAGAAGAAATTTCTTCATCGTTTATTCATTTTCAAGTTTGGTGAGAGTGCGAAATGCTTGAAGTTAATAAACAGTTTCAATCATCAAATGAAAGCTTTCTGTGGCATTCCTAATCAAAGTTGAATTAACCCGAAATTATCTTTAGTGACGCCTTTGTTTCCTTGGTGTTAATTTAAGGAACTTACTCAAACCATTCATTAGGCAATCGAGCCAAGAACTCAAAGTGCTTCCCATTTATGATTTTTTCTATGTAATTTATGTTTCTCTTCGATGTTTTCTCAGATATTAATATTTCTTAATAACCAATTTCACGTTCAATTTATCATAGTAGTTTGTAGTTATGGGGTGAAAAAAAAACATGGAACAGAAACGTTATATCAACAACAACGCAATGAATATCAAAGCACACAAAACCTAATTATGGTTTAATGTGAGTTTTTCGTTTTCCTTTCCCGACGCTTTACCGATTATTTGATTTTCCAAACCAGCAAAAATTTCACCAGCCAGAGGCAAACGCAAGTGAATTTTCTTCCACATTTTTAACGTGAAAATTTCAACCCTGTTCAAACAAGTAAATATTGAACATGAACTGAGAAGAGTTGGAAATGTTTTTCAAGAGGCGCACGACAGCACAGCAAAAAAAAATAATTGATTAAGTGAAACTTCTCTCTTTCTGACACCTTGGGGCATTTTTGTTGCTTGCCATCTCGGCCCATCCAGTTTACAAAATTGTGTGTTAATGTAGCTAGGAAATTTATTTGTTTGCTAGTCTGACAAGTATTTAAGTAGAGAAAACGACGAAAATGGAGAAAAATTCGACCGTCTAATGTCGGTAAAAATGAAACCCACGACAAAATAAAAAGAAAAGAAAAGTTTATGAAGAAATATTTTTAATCATCATAAATTTTCCCTTCGAAAACGGGAAGAAGGTGTCAAAAGGAATGAAGAAAAGAAAAAGCGGAAGAGAAAAGTTTTTGGGGGTTCAACGTAATTAAAAGTAAAATGTGAACAATTATGACATTAATAATGAGTCATCGGTAGAGGTGAAAAAATGTTTATGCTGTGTCAGAGATTATCGATCACTTAGAAAGTTTGTCTTTGAGTGATTAGGGTTTGGAGGGTTTGTTTTTAAAAGAGGTGAGAAAGAAGTCGTACTGTTTTACCCGCAATCTAAAGTCACACTGATTCCTTAATAAGTATGACGAAATTTTCAACGAAAATTTATGCAAAAATATTTCCACTTAATTTCCCTGGCGCAAAAAACAAAAAAAAAGTTTTGCTTTCATCGAGGCCTTAAGGGAGCTAAATTCGAAGATAAAAAATAATTTTCAGAGTCCCGCTGAGGATAATAGAAGAATATTATTCATGAATGGAAGCGCCATATGGTGCAAGGAGTGCCTCGATATTGTTTCAAGTAGAATTATTAAAAATAAGTGATGGAATTTATCTTTTCATATTACATTCTTCTTCAAGAGAGTCAGAAGATAGATAATTAAAACATTTTGAAGTCATTCATCTCTTCAACAAAAAAAATGTACAGAAAGAAATGAAAAGCTACAAAAATATTTAAATTAACTTTTTAATTAATAATAATTACATTTTCTCGTCTTATTTTATTGTCATTGCTCTTGGCAAAAGATTTAAAATGATTTTCGGACTATTGCGACATGTAAAAGAAATCGTCGAAGTTTGTCGGGAAAAGTTTTTGTCTCAGCTGTTAATGGAAGAATATTTCGAGGAAAATAAAATGATGGAAAAGTTTCAGTGCTCTCCAAACAATCTGCTCAATCTTGAAAATTTATTTCGAAATCTTTGCTTTGAAATATTAAAGTGGTGATGGAGGGGAACCATGGAAAAGACGAAAATCTTGTTGAAAAGATTTCCCAGAAGAAACTTCTTTGGTCTTATCCAGAAATAAACATTTCGTGACATTTTCTTATTTTCATCCATTGTTGAGAAGAAAATTTAACTTAAAACAAAAGCAAGTAAGAAAAATCTAAAATCTTGGCATGTATGTTGGCAGAACAGACAGAAACTGTCTCAAGACAAACTTTTTCATCGCTTTTTATTTACACACACTGCGAAGCTGAAAGCAGATTAAACTCAATAGATAACCCGCAATAAACTCTGCCATTTTTCACTGAGACTTTCGAGCGTTGCGTTGGTGGTATTTTTATACTCGATCAAGATTAAAAATCTGTGTCGTTTCATTCCCTCTGGGAGTTTCGGTCTCTAGAAAAACTTCCGGGTGACTTTTTTTTTCTCTCAATGTCAGAAGCATGTAAAAAATTTCATCTCTTTAATCACAAATTAATGCGATTATGTAGTGAGTTGGGAAGAAGACCGCTTCCAAGGATTTCACTAAATTGCTTCATTGTAGAATCACCCGATAACAGAGAAAATACTCATAAAATATTAAAGTGCACACTTCTCGTGGAGTAATTAAATATTCATTAAACTTTTTTCGTTTGTTTTGCTTCACTTATATTTGAGGAACGATCCAAGAAGACCCCTTGTTGATACGTTAATGCGTTTTCAATCCGCATCTATATTTAATGATGTGTTTCATTCTTTGACAAATCCTCGAGCGAGTTTTCGAATTTTCAATTGTCAAGAGGCAATTAAGCTTCCATCTTTTCACCCTCAAAAATTGCCGTGTATGTGCTTCAAAAAAAGCCACATTTTGGTTGTTATTGTCGTTTCAATGGAATAAAATTAAAATAAGAATGAACGCAAACAAGCGACGTTGAATTTTACTTCCGATATTATTGTTCAATGGCACATTAACACGTTTTCAATAAATTTTATTAATTATCCTTTCACGATGTCTCGAATAACAATAAGGTGGAAATTCACTTGGAAAATGTGATTAGCTAAAATTGTGTTCGACACATAAACTAAATATTCTCTAATTACCTTCGATTTGATGTATGATTGTGATAATTGTGCAGCATGTTAAAATTAATTTATCCATATTGGTGTACGCACTTTGAATTTCTAACTATCGAGAAATTTTCTTTCTTTTCACTTGAATTTTTCCACAATTAATTTTCTCCGATTTGACTTCACTGATAGTTTTTTTAATTCAACTCTTTATGGACAAAACACTTTAATTATCCTAAACTGGCTTTCTCCTCAGAACAACACGAATATTTAGTAATTTGTGGTTGAAATATAATTTTTCATATTCTTCACGTCATATGACTGCTTGTCCGACGTGATAGTTGAGTGGCTTTTTGCCATCACACACAATTTTTATTTCCTTTGTCGACTTTTACTTTTCATTTTTCACTTTTATTCTCTTTTGTTATCAAGATTTGTGACGATATGGAAATTATGTATGGTAGAGTTTGAAATTCTTCACTGTTTGAATTCCTCTACATCGGTTTTATATTTAGCTTAAAATCTAAGCTGATGGAAGAATTCCTTCAAGTCTAGTTAACTCTCTTAAACACTAAATTCACCTTGAATTAAATTTCATTTCTTTTAATGATATAAAAGCAAATCTTTCTAGTCAAAGTCACGCGAGAGAAACGTAAATCTGCGACCGACAATCAGAAAATACTCCACTGAATTGAAGTTGCGAAGGGAGAAATATTTTTGCACAACCAGCATAGAAATGTTTCCTCTTTACGCTCCCCAATCCTCTTCCGTTTTCCGACTTCGTAATGTTTTCGTGGAATGTTTCGTTGTTGTTGATTTCGATTGTGCGCATTGTTGACACAACAAAACATTGGAATTTTCATACGTTTGATGTTGTGTTATTGTTTTGCTTCTTACAACCGGTGCACGTTAAGGTGATTCTTGTGTAACAAAAAATCTTCTCCCCCAATTTTTCTTTGATAAAATAATTTAATGTTTTATGAGAGCAACTCGTCATTGTTTCATGATTGTTGCTATTAATGCACTGAACATTATTTTGAGCGTGCGTGATATCTTTTGTAAATTGTCATGGTGAAGAGCGATTTCATTCTTCTGTTGTGCAATTTACAAGTACAAAAACTTTTTGTTTTCATTTTTTCTCTGTGACTCAAAAAAAATCGGAAACTTCAGATGAAGGCATAACAGGGAAAGTTAAAAATCTCTATCCAGCATCACAATAATGACGAGAAACAACTCATGGAAAATTTACATTGCAAGTTTTTTACAATCGTTGCAAATTGGTTGAACAATGGAGCAATAAATTGTGAGTATTTAACTGCTTTTCACTTGAGGTAGTGTGGGGGTGGGACCGGATGTAATTGTATAATCTATGAATGAGACTGAGACACTGCCGGATCAAATGCAGTCATTTTCAATTCAATCAATTATGCTATGTTGGAAAAACTGTTTGACTTTTTTTTCCTATTCAAAACACATAGCGAGGGTGGTTGAGATTGATTACGATAAGGGATGAAATAGAAAAGAGAAACATTGCGTCACATAAAAGTATAACAAAAGATTCTCATTTTCAAACGTGCAGTGAAAAACGGAAATTCCATTACAATTTTCAACAGAATAAAATTTTTAACTTCCTTTCATCGTGTTGTTTGATTTTTTCCTGCTGATTTCCTGTGCAGAGTGCAAAAAAAGTTTTAATGCAGAAATTATGTAATGACTTCAATTGTTCACCCCACTCGAGATGTTTATTTCTTTGTGGGTGTCGTTTCGATGACTTTTATTGAATGTTTTAATGCTGTTTGCATCAATCTCCCCTTCGCAAATATGTTTCGGTGAAATTCCTTTCCATCGTACCAACGTCGTTTGTCGTGAAATGGAAATCATTAATGGGATTAAATTTCATGCGATAATTTCTTTTGATTTCTTTTCTCACTTTGGTCTCTTTGTTTGCTAGTCTCATAAATAAATGAAGAGAAACGAGGGAGGAATTGAAGAACTTTTGACAAAGACTTTCAAGTGCTTTTTATAGCAAAGACTTCTTGAACAATTTTTTCATCCAATTTTTCGTCTTTTAAGAAGTTCAAGTGGTATTTTTACAGTATCTCGTAATTCATCATCACAATGGTTATAAAGGATTTCTTTCTCGTTTTTAAGTGTACGTTAACAATTTTTGCTTTCATTGTCATTTCGAAAACAGAAAACTTTTGTTTGACGAACACAGTTTTCGTTTCAAAATTAAACACATTTCTTGAAAGTTTCTTCTGTTTCTCAAGAATTTGTTGTCCATTGTTTGTTGTTAACTGGTTTGAATTTTTAATCAACAAATAAGGATTCTCGAGATCGTTTCTCGTGCTTGGTTTGATAAGTCAGTGATGGATTGTTCTACGTGAATTAGTTCAAAGTTGAGATTTAATCTTGTGACAAAACAAAGCCACGATACCCTTCCTCGTGCGACTTAAATTTATATATTTTAGCATCGAGTCAAACATACAAATATTCTCATATGAGTGCGGGGGCGAAAGAAGAAATAACATAGAAGGGGATGAAATAATTCGAGCACCATATGTACTTGGGTAATTCTTATGTTGCAATCCAATAAACGAAAGAAATGTTTGGGCATAATTTTTCATCATTTATATGTTGAATATTTTCGACAATGTTGTTTCCGTTTCGTTTATTTAAGTGAGAAAATCTTTTCCACCCTTTGGTTTTTATTTGACTTAAAGATTTTTCTTCTTTTCTCTTCATATTTATGATTGTCAGCGCAATGCAAATTGCATGATCTCAAGACCCCATTTGATAAAATATAAAAATTTGATTGTCGGGGTTAAATGCTGATAAATTTGAAGCACTTTTCTAAATATTTAGAATATATTTTTAAAAAATCCTTTTGAATTATTTAAGTAAATAAAACAAATAAACATTCACAATAAAGGAGGAATTAATCAACTTGTCATATCTTTGCCCTCTAATTTAGACAATTCAAGTTTAATCAATTGCATTTTATATGTTTTTGGTTATTCAGGATGAAATTGAAAATTAAGAATAGAGAATTTTGTCATCGTAAAATCCATAAAAAATATAAAAATCAACAATTGTTAGTGACAAAAAAAAAGCTGAAGATGAGAAAAATCAATAGAAACGAGCCAACAAATTTGTTCTGCTGTCGATCACATCACAGCATCGTTTCCATTCTAGTTTACATTGCTTACAAAGCATTTAGATACTTGTTTCCTTTTTGTGAGACTTTCAAATGATTTTCTCGTTGTTGATTCTTCATAGAATTTTCCCATTCATTTTATTTTACTGAGATTTGTAAAGAAATTGACGTCTGGTATGTCAGATATTTTTTTATGACAATTCTAAGGTGTCAATAGAACTATAACACGACATTAACATCGACAATGTATGGTTTAAATAATGAATTTAACTTTTGTAAAAGGGTTTCGGTTTATAATCCTTCTTGCTTCTTGCCTTTTATTATTAATATTTAGACTCTGTGCATAAGTTTTTTTTTATAAAAAAACATGTAAAATAAAGCTTTCTCTTGAGTAGCACTCTCAATTAAATTACATTAAGCCAAAAAGAAATAAAAACAAATTAAATTAAAATAGTATGGTTAAGATCAGAAATGAAAAATATCGAATTGTTAAAATTTGAAGTATTTTGAACATTCACGCAGCGACATCTTGTGCAAATAAATGGAAATTTCCATAATTGTTGCCAGTCGAAGTTTTCATTTGTTTACATCCGGATTAAAAAAGTTTTGTTTTTAGCTAAATGAACCGGTAACGTTTATTACTCTTACAGCTTTATCATTTAGAAATGTCAGCTCGTAAAGTTCAATCAAGCCTAAACCTTAGTGGATTTTCTCCTATTCAGTGTAAGTGAAATTGTTTTTGATTAAATTTGAAAATTTTTAATCTGAAATAATGAAATTAAATTAACTTAGTGAATACAAGAAGTCCAGTGTCAGTGAAATCTCCTGGTAAAGATTATGGAATCAATGAAAGAATTGAGAAAGGAAGAGAGAAATTGATTGCAGATTTCGATCGATGGAAATTGGCTGAATCCAGCTCAAATTTAACTATAAATTCAATTCATAATTTAAAAGAAAAATCAAGACAAAGTGCAAGCGATCCTTACCCACCTGAATTAGAAAACTTCTGTCAAAAACTGAAGACAATTTCTACAGTGTTTAAGAATGTTATAGATAATGCAATTTCATTTAGAAATGAAATGAAAAGATCGATATGCATTCTTGAGTCCATGAATGACAATGACGAGTTGATGACGAAATTGAAAGCAGTTCAAGAGTTTCTTGACTCTCTTATAAGAGTTTATGAACACATCTTTAGTTCAAGGAAATTTGTTGTTGGTGAGTTTAGAGAATGTCTTGAAAAGTAAAATTAAACAAAATATTTCAATTATATAGAAAATATTGCTCATGCAACGTCAATGAAGGATTCCAATCTACTAATCGCAGCTTGGACGTTTAATTCTAAGAATCAAGAGCTTCTGAAAATGATTACACAATTAAAAATTTCACCAGAAGATTATCAGTGGAAAATAAGATAATTAAGGAATAATTAATAATAAAAAAGTTGTGAATACTCCAAGAAAAAATCATTGGAAAATTTATTCATTAATTTATTTATTTATTTACATTTAATTGAATTAAGTGCTAACAATTCTTATCACAAAAAAGAAATCGAAAACCTCAAATATTTACTTAAGCAGTGTTTCGTTGGAGAATTCAATTCTCCTTTTTCATAAACATTTAATGAACATTATTGATTCAACATTAGGCGAAATTAGTTGATGCCAAAAAACTCGACTAGATTTCTCATTTCAAAACAATCGATGTTGATTAGCGATAAAATTGTCGTCATTAATAATTCATAAGAAAACTCTTCCAGCGATGGAATGAAAGGTTTTCGTTGTAATTTTCAGTTCATATTTTCAAATAGTGCAAAAACTTGTCAAATTAATAAATTCTTTATCTTCTCGATCCAGCACTTTAAGATTCATTGTTATTTCATTTAATTGTTCGGTTATGGCTGCGATGAAACAATTAAAAAGAAAAAATTAAGTAAAATATAAAAAAACTTAATTTGAGCATTTAAATTATGCTTTTTTTAATCTTCTGGCTGCCATGGGAAATTATTGCAGTAATATTAAAATTTCAGTTTTCATTAAGTGGAAAAACTTGCATAAAACTAGAAATTCATTATAATCGCCACGGAATTTTAATGATTTTTGTTGGGTTCATGGTCCGAAACGCTATTTAAAATCGATTTACAATATCCAAATGAATTTATGAGCTTAATTTTCCCGCGCTCATTTTATGAACATCAAACCACCCACGTAATCCTTTCCACCTCGATTCAGAATCTTATTTTATGTTGCTTTTTCAAAACATTTAATTGTTGGAATGGTGAAAAACTATTTGGCAACATCGAACGTGATTGTAATATGAATTTTCTCTTCAAGCTCTTTTACAATCTCCTTAATTGCACAATTATACTGGGCAAATGCCATTAGAAAGATGCTTCGTCTTACGGCGATTGTAATTAAATGAAATTAATGATTTCATGAGTCGAATTGTTTTTTACTTTCACATCCTAATAGATCTTCCAACCGACGACAATGAAGTTGAATGCTGTTTTCTAAAAAGTACTTGGCGTCGGACAAAGTAGGTGACTTTTAAACATCACGATAGTATAAGTCTCTAACATTTTAAATTAATGACAACAATTTTATCTTCTCACGAAAAATTAAAAAGAAAATAACATGAGAAATGAGACAAAGAATCTTTTACTCTCAAACATAGACGACGTTATCGTCACCAATTATTCAGATCTCACTTTCGTCTGGTCCGATGTATATCACAACAAATTCTTCTCTCACTTCACGTACGTCGTACGGATGTTATAAACAGAAAGTTAAATATTTAAAATAGTTTTTGTTGCCTTAAAATTTAAATGGATGGATTAATATTAATGTCGATTCAAATGACAGTGAATCAGCTTGGTGTTATCGAGTAAGGCGGTGGTTCACTTTTTTCAACTTTTGCTATCATTCCACTTGTCGATTTAAGTTTATTGATGATCATGGTGCTAGGATAAGATGATGAGCTGGGCCGAGATAATTCATTTGATAAACTAAACGCATTATTAGCCGTTCCATTAACGGGAGTTTGAGGTGGTAAAAAAATATTTCCTTGCGTAATTAAAGCCGTTGGATCAAGTTTTAAAGCTTCATCGTAACTAGGAGGTAAAGATGTGACTTGATCATAATCTGGCGGCTTCTCGCGACGTCTCTCATCCGAGATTGTTATGACATGAACTGGATCGGTACTCTAAACGACAAAAAACAATTCAATTAGTCTTTGAGTTTTCATTTCTTTCTTTCCACCAATTTATGGAGTCATTAAAAGCTTTTTTTCTTCCCTTTTTTTCATTTCTCGTTCAAGTGATAATTATTGGACATTAAAAGCTTTGTAATGAGGCTTTGATGGTGATTTATTTAAGTGAGAAAATGAAAGAAAGAAAGGTTGTTGAGTGTTAATTACCTCTTCAGTGGCATCACTCGTTCTATTTGGTGCTTTCAACCAACAGCACATTGCAGTCATAATTAACAATGCGCCACCTGAAAATGAAGACTTTCTTAAATGAAATTTAATTTCAATGATATTTTAGAATGTTCTTCTCACCGAGAATGCATGCAACACCTAAATATCTAATTGGTTCAGCATTTGGTGTTGGCTCTGATATTCCCAGCCAGTTTATGAGTGCACCAAGACATAATAAAATCATTCCATAGCGATAAGGTCGCTGAGTTCTTGAATCTTCCATCGTCATTACTGCAATAAATAAATGAAATGTTACTCAATAAAAATTTACTAATTAATTTGTTAATTTTTTCATCTTGTTACATCAAGTTTTATTTGGGTCAATAATTGTCTGAGACATAAGAAACTTGTCTTGTCATGAAAAGGAATAAACTTGCATTGATGAAAGATAAACTTTTCCCAAACAAAGAACTTCTTTTGCAGGTTTGTGTGTGTATGTGTTATGAATTAGAGTCCATTAAGGTAATTGAAATGAAAAAAATTAAATAACTTTCTTTCTATGTATATCATAAACTTTGGTAATGTTTTTGCCTCCGGGAGATCGAGAAACTATGAATCAGTAAAGTTTTCATTGAACTTCTTTTGCCTGGATCATTATGAACTCATTCAGAATATTTAATTTCCCTTTTTATCCCTCTCCTTATCACTATAACAAGAAAGGATTAATTTTTGTGCAAAACATTTACTTTTTCATTTTCCATCTCGTCTAAAAGCATAAAAAGCCGAAAGTAAATAGTAAAAAATTTATGATCTGATAATTTATGCAAAGGGATTTATGTTTGGTTTTTATCAGAGATTCCTTTCGATATTTATTACAGGTTTTCATCGGGAAAATTTCCTCTTCATCACAAAAAATGTTCATGGATATCAAACTAATTTCAAGCTAAAATGTGTTGAATTTTCATTACAAAAACTGACCGAATTTTATCACATAAAACATGTAAAGTTATAAAGCTTAATGGACGAGTTTTGATCCCATAACTCGACTACGCTTTAATGCAAAATAGAGCGAAAGATTTTTTTTGTTTTAAAATAGTTTAAAATAAGCTGCTTAAGGTTAAAATTCATTGAATTCTGCTATTTGTGGTGGTGATGGTAGTGCTTGAACATTAAGCTCGAAAAAATTTAACATTTTTTTACATGGTCGTTTATCTCATCCTTTTCCTACAATTCTCGTAGGTTTTTTTTTTCATTATTTTGCTAACACATCCTGCTCTCTAACTCTCAATGGCTTTTAATTAAAAGAAATGCTAAGGGTGAGGTTGCCAATGCATATTTAATTTAACCGGTTATCAGACACCCATTATCCAACATGTTTCGGCTTCCTATTGTGACGACACACATTAAGAGAAATTTCACTAAAAAGAAAGTGAAGGGATTCATTGCCATGGTCACTTGTTAATTGCACAATAAAAGCCTTTAAGCTTAGAGAATTATGGGCACATAATCTGGGGAAAATGAAACGAATTTAGTGTGAAGAGATAAACATAACAAAGTTTCATTCCCTAAATGTTAAATAAATAGAATGCAAACATTCTTTCAACTTGCCTCAACCCACAAACATGTGAATGTTCCAAAAAATAAACAAATTAACAATTGTTCACATCAGATGACGACGGCAGGCTGAGAGAAACAAATGTTCAGCTGTTCATGACAATAAAAGCTTCTCGCTTTAGACGTTTCATGTCATGAATGGGAAGAAAAAGTTACAATTAAATTGCTTATGCTTACAACTCTTTCTGGTATCAAAATATGTAATTCTTCTTCTTCTTTTTCTCAGTCTTCTCCTTCATGAAAACACAAGACATGCATTGTTACGCAATTTCAATGACATAAAGAATTTGTGAAAACAATAAGCGCCCCACTTTTTTTACGAGCATCGCATGCTGATTATGGGCCGAAGATATTAACATTCATACTTTATAATCATACATTTTTCATTTGTAGTGCTGCCCTGAACTAAAATGGATTCATTAGATCTCAATTAACATTTATTGTTGGGCATGTTTTTTTAATTCAACTAAATATTTTAATGAGAAAATAATTAATTTTTGTTGTTGTTGTTTAGATTGAGTTTGAAAAGATATTTTGAGTCTTCCGGTAGTAGCTTGAGAGACATTCAATCGTCGTTTATATAAATGTTTCGATTTCAATAAACATTTAGCAGATGTGATGTTGACGCATCGTTTAGAACGTAAAATAAATGGAGCAGTAAAGCCTTGAAAATGTAGTTTTATGTCGCTCATTTGAATTTATGATAAAGAAGGCAATTTTATGTTCAAACCCGTTAACTTATTGCAACGGAACAATTATAATGGAATCATTGTTAAACGGTTCGTGACACTTAAATCCTACACATAGATTTATGTTGCCTATCATGAAGTTTGAAACAATGGACAAACTTGCATGATTATAAATTATTACAATTGATGCCAGACTAAAACGCATTCGGTGCGCTACGCGAAATTGACGACCACGCCATCAATTTTCGTATTTCATTTGAAAGATATCAAAAAATTTCTCTCGAACATTTGCCTAACAAAGAATCAGTTCATTTGGTTTTAAAAGAAAGTAAAATTTGTGTCTTCATTGACCTTTATGCTTTCTCTTTCTTTAATTCAATGCAAAATCTTTCATCGATGTCATGAAAGTTTCATGAAAGCTTTTAAGGCGAATCCGTTTACTTGAATGTTCATTCATATGAGACAAGAGTGGGTTGCTTCCTACTTAGTAGTAATCTACATCTTTCCGTGTCTTTTCTTCACAACAAAAGCCGTGTAGGTGAACTTGAAGCAAGGATTTGACATGAAAATTGAGTTTCGAAAGTCATTGAATGGGACGGGTGCGAAGAAAATCTAAAATAACATGAATGAGTTGAAGTGGCTGACAATGTCTATGAAAATGGCAACATAATGTAACAAAATAACCTATTCATGTGTGTTGATGTGGAAAACCAAAAGACAAATACTAAATTATTCAACTTTTCATGAAGAAGATTGGCGAATGAATGTCATGAAGTTCACAACCAACGTCCAGCAAATCTTGGTCTGAATTGAAGAAGTTTGTGGACGAAAAGTTTTAATGTCAAAGTGGAATAAGCAAGTGAGCAAGCATAGGTTACGGTTAAGTTCATCTTGGGTTCAATTAATTAAGGTTGAGTTACTCAAACTGACCTAAGACATCGAGATGTTTAATTGACAACAAATAGAACGAACAACCTCACAGATTAATTACTTAACAATGAAAGTCAATTGCAAATTATAATAAATCGAATTTTAACGAGATCGATGCCTTAATTTGTTTGAAGAATTAAAGTCGATGACATTTCGTTTAGATGCTTGTGCTGATATTACATTACTGCTTGATTCATTTACAAAAGAAAGAACAGAAAACTTCAAGGTCGTTGAATAAAGAAAAAAAAATTCTTGCTTTGTTTTGAGCTTGAGAAAAGTTTAAGTCATGGTCATTTTACTTTGTTTTGTTTGTTATGAAATTAGTCTCGCTGCGCCTTTAATATTTTTTCAATTCAATTATTTTGTCTTATGACACGTAAAAGGCAGATGCAAATTTATGAATAAATAGGAAGTCACTGCAATCTTTCGATGGATGGCTAAAGTTCTGTGAAATGATGTTTAAGCTCGTCGATTTTCAACCCTGACAAGCAGTGAAGGTACTTGAAGAATATTAATGTTCACCACTCTTAAACAATTAAAATATTTAAAGACGGATTTCTCTCTCAAAAGTAACCAATCTGCGGTTTTGTTGAATTTATAAAATATGGAAATTGACGGATGTTGAAGAAGCTTTAACATTGACCACAAAGAAGATAATTGAAAAGCGTCTTCGACTGGTCGTTGATGCGAATAAAGGAAACACAAAATTAAAATTATAATTGGCATAAAAATGATAAACTTATTGCCAAGTTTCATTGAGTTACGCGAGGTGTGTAAGCAAGTTTGTGACTCAATTACAAAATTAGTTTCAAAGTAGATCAAAGCAGAAGGTTGATGACATAACATTTCATATTATCGAAACTTGTCATAGCAATAAGTTGTTCAGTTAAGGAATAACTTCTAACTTCGTCGACAAACCGCGAAGCATCTTAAGAATATCATTTCACGTTTATCTACATATACGTGTACTCAAATTAAATGTAACACAACTTGTTACGGTATATAAGTTTTCTTATGAGACTAAATACATCCGAATGGAAGATGAAAGAAGATAGAAATCGGTTTGAGTTATTTATTTGTGGGAAAAGATAGCTGAAGACTCAATCTCGTTCCTTAATTGATTCCATTATCCTATGCGCACCTTTTAACCGGATTAAAATGTAAAATTTTCACTTCAAATAAAACTGAAATGGATCCCGCAGAAATGTAATGAACATGAAATGTGGCAGAGAAAGAAGTGGAGCAGACATCATTCAATGTTTTCTCGCTTTCTCGCCCGGGTTCAGAACATCTTACTTTGTTTAATGCTTTTGCCATTGAAGACTGAACAACAACATAGGTCGGTAATGATGCTTCGAGATGTGATTATCTTCTCACAGCAGTTTGACTTGTTGAATGTTGAATGTTCATCAAAATCATGGAGCGAAGGAGGTCGGAAGAGTGAAAATGTGATACGATCCAAAGCATTTCTTTTCTTTCAAAAACCTTCGCTATCGCTATGGAAATAATAAATAACACAAAGCACCATGTATGAAGTTTATTAATCATCTTTTCACGAAACGGCTTTTTACTTCTTCGTCTTCTTACTTTCAGCTTGCGGAAACGCAAAGAGCGAAAGTATCTTAGACTGTGGTGTTGTTTTGCTTCTTTTCTTTTCTTTCTTTTTGGAGATTTGTATAAATGATAAATGATATGCCTGCAAAACTGTTCACTTTCCCGAAATACGACTTAATACAAATGCTCAAAAATAAGATGATTTTGTTGCGTGAGGAAGATAAAAAAAAATGTTGCCATTGATACGACTTTTGTTGCGTAGGAATTGCTTTAAGACTCAAATATATCTTAAGATGTTTTCTGATTCTTTTTTTGAAAGACTCTCATCTAAATGTCAAATTATCATTCATTTCTTTATTTTACTTTTTTGAAAACATGAGAAAATAAAGAAAATCTTACAAGCTTATCATAATCAGAATGTAAACACTTGTATTAATATTCAATGGGATGAGTCAATCTTGAGTTGTTGGCTTCGTTTGATTTTGTTAGAGAAACGTGGCCAGCAGTCATGCCAATCTAAAAAGTACGAATCTTGAAACTTGTGAAACCAGTATTTAAGTTTGTCTGTCATTGAGTTTATAAAATTAAAATTTAATTATATGCTGGATCAGAACATTTGGATATATTCCAGGTATTTCTTACTCACATCCCTGACACAACCTTAACGACTTGTTACTTGTAACGTGCCTCGTTAAATGCAAACAAGACATTCACTTGGAAATAGGTCACATGAAGAGTTCGTAAACACAGTCGAAAGAAACTCAAATAAAAGAAAGTTTTCTATCTTTCGAAATCTTTCTGGTGTGAATATAAAAGTTCAAACTAAACATTCGAGTACTTGCTTTATGTTTAAACTTTGAAAACTGCACGCTTTTCTGTGATTATTTCCCTTATTAGCCAATCGTTCATTTGTTTGCGGAAGAAATTGAAATAATAATTTTTAAGCTGAATTTCAAGCATTTTCATTTATTTATTTTTCCTTCCACGACGTTCTTACGTTTTATTCTTGCGAAACTTTGCGAATATTTTCGTTGTCATTGACAGCGATTTCTTAAAGCGGTAAAATTTACGCATTCAATGTTAACCACACAGCAAATGATAACTGTTCAGCTATCCATTCATTAAACCATTCAGCTTAATAGAATTAAACTTTTAATTTCGTTTTTTTATACTTTTTTCTCTCTCACTTACTTTACAGTTTTGGTTTACTTCTCGAGTCTATTTGTATTTGATATTTTCATTGAAATCTGACAAGTTTTTGTGTCGTTCACTGATCATTGTTAGAATTGACACTTGAACCAACAAGTTCTTGTGAAAAATTAACAGCGATGGACTAGTCAAAGACAATGTTTCATGTTGTCTGATATTTAATTAATACTTGAGGGTAAAAGCGATTCTATTTCCGAATAATAACCGGCATTGTGTGACAATCTCAAGTAATATGAAAAAAGACAAATAAAAACCGGTAAATTCCTTCTTTGTTTATCGAAATAATTAAATTACAAGCAAAGTAAACTTGTCAGCAGCAGGAAGTTTAAAATTGCATTTCTGCTCGTTATCAACAACAACGACATTCAGAATAATATTTTGTTTCTTAAATTTTTGTTTGTAACTGACTGAAAAGCAATATCGGTGAAGCTAATTTCACTTCATGGTCAGCTTTTCAACCGTCAAATATTAATAAGAAAAGAAACGTTAAAATTGAATCTCACAAACACATTTTAAGCTTCGAAGTTTTGAATATCAATTCACAACGCTTTGCTTTATATTGAGAATGAAAATTTTCAGTTTTTGATCACGGAATATTAGCGCGACTATGAGTCACGATCTTCAACAATGTTACTTACTTTATGACGAAATTGGTTTTTTTTGCCTCTTCACCTAATTCTGTTGACTCACAAATCACTGAAAGAAGCTTTCGGCGATGTTTCTTAATGGTTTTCTTCTACTTTACTTTTCAACCAGTAGAAAATCTTAAAAATAAAATTCACACAATATTGAATGTGTCGCAGTTTTATTCATGAAAACTGTGCACAATATTTGTCGATGTTTATCACACAAATCGTTTTTCGCATATTTGCATATTACGTTATCACTTTCAACTTCCACTTCAAAAAAAAAAAAGAAGAAGAGAAGGAAATTATGCAAATTGATGGCAGTTTAATAAAACATCATCATCCATGTGAAATGTATGCGACGTGAGTAGGTTTCCTGATACAACTGATGTTGGCCCTTATTGTTGTCAATGGGAAAATGCTCAGAATTCACAAATAGGAAACAACTTGGATGGTTGGCTCGTTTCAAAACAGTTTAATAGTTCGATATGGGTTCGAAAAATGTGTCACTGAATATAAAAATGAAAAGTTCAAACCACAAGATCTTAAATGCCACAAGTAACAAAAAGCAAGCACTTTATGTGGGTACAGTAAACTCGTTGTCTGTCTTACTGGATAACTTTGTTTCAGATGATCTGCTTTTATATTTTTGGAAAACGAAAAATCAATTCTGATTCACTGACTTGCTCCGAATTTTAAACTTCTCTTAAGTCTTCTTTTTCTATATTTAATTAAACAGCGCCTCGCTTTGAACGAAAAAAAAAACTTTTTTTTTAATTTTTCTTGCGATTGCGTTGTAATCCCACACCGTTTGCGACCGAAAGGCGACTGATCGGTTGAAGTTTTTTTTCTATATTTTGTGATCATTTTACAGTTGTTTTGCTCTCTCTTTTTTTTTATTTTATTTTCTGTATGTACGTTATAATCGCATAAGTTTCGTTGGTGTTTATTTCTGTAGCTGTCGAAGTTTGAGTAGCTTTGCAGGTGTGGGTGTTAATCAAATGAGTTCTTATTATAAACAAAAGAATTGAGATAGCTTCTTGCTCGATTCAAGTTCTATAAATTGATCATTAACGCAGCTAAGGAAACGCTCGAGTTTCACATAATGACTGGTTGAGGGAATTATCTTGAAGATTATTATTGTTTATTGTTTAGCATCTTTTCATTCTGGTTTATTCGCATGAGATTTCTATCAAATTCGTTCTACTAAATATGGCTAACAAGCGTGAATGTTGAGTTCTATTCTTTTCAATATATTTGAAAAGAATTAAAATATTCAAGTAGTTGAGCTTGTGCAATGTACATTTGTATTTATCTACGCAGATACTTTAAGTAGATACTTAGAATAACTGAATCTTCTCACAAAGCTCACGAGCTAAGAAAGCGACTGAAAATATTTTATTTGAGTAAACATAATACAATCTCATGTAAGGTATCTACTCAAAATGTATACTCATATAACACTTTTAAATACTCAGCAGCAGCTGTAAATATTATTAAAAATAAAATATCAACTGTCGCTCGCTTCATTTATCTCTCTCACATAACTGCTCTTCTTTTCCACTGAGTAATCACATTTGATGTAATGAATAATTCATTTATGATTCTTCTCAGTTGTTTACCGTGTTCGCACTTCGTAGATATTTGAAAAGAAATTATGAATTAATAATGAGAAACTTTGAAAACTGTAAAAGAAATTAAAGGTTCAAGTTCTTCGAATGCAAATTTTAAACAATTATTTCAATTGCTCATTGACGAAAATAGCGAGGAAAAAAGTAATCCACGTGATTTACTTTGACATTTGATACGACTCGAGATTTTATTAAGCAGAAAATCGTGCGATAATAAAAATCACAAGAATCTTTATTTAAATCGTAGAAAAAGATTCGAAGGAACATTTTCATAAATATAATTAGATTTGGACGTGATCGTGAGCAAATTTCAACTTACTCATACGAGGACAAAACGCCGATAAGTTTGTTTGTTTTGAAAAGTTTCCGTCCGCGTCATCGGTCGTCGATCATTTAGACTAAAATTCTAAAAGAATTCACAAGAAAGCAAAACGTTTCTACAAATTGCGATAACCAATTTTACGTGAATTGCTTACGTTTTTAAAATTTACAGATTTCTGACGTGATTTCTCACTGTGATTGTTTACAATATGAAAAATGGAGCTTTGAAGACGAATTTCTTAGAATTTTTTTGCAACTTTTAATTACACTGAAAGTTGCTTAGTTATTAGAATCAAAGGTTTTTGAACTCACTCAATTGAATTGTTTCCATTCTTTATCAGTTTGAAAAAAGTATTAGAGCAAATCTCTCTTGAATACACTTCTTGACGTTTATAAAGACAATTTTCAACTAATTTTAATTCATAATAAGTAAAAATTCCGGATGATACTTGTCTCATCTTATCAGTAGAATAAAACTGCTAAGACTGTAAAATTTTATAGAAAAATCTTCGCAGGAAAATTTTATCGCCAAGGGCACTCGGAATGTTCATTTTATGGGTCGCTAAGTTTCTAGGCTTTAGTCTCGTGATTTATTAAAGATTCGTCTTATCAACGATAACAAACCGTACAATCACATCTCGTACCTGACAGAAAGATTTAAAATTTCAAATAAGCGCAACAATTTTAATTATCAATGGAACTCTGAAATGTTTTCCTTAACCTCCGTAATTTAACTGGCGGCATTCAATTATTTAATTTCATTGATAATTTCAATTTATTTTTGTTTCTTTTGACACATCTGCTTTCATGAATTTCACAGACGTGCTACGTAATTATCAATAAGCAGCCAAAATAAAATCTTTTCATCATTTGAAGGGTTGAAATAAATTTTTAAAACTCCAAAACCAAACCGCGTAATTAAATTTCCGTGTTTTTCATTCTCATCAGCAAAGGGAATGTTGAACTTCGTGTTGGCAAACTCTTTGCCACCTCCACACGCTTACAACTTGTTTGTCTTTATTAGTAATAACTCGAGATGTTCTTTCTATTCATTTTTTTCTTACTCTAAGATAAGGAAATGAAAAACAAACGAAATGAAAATGAAATAATTTTTAATTACAAAACTGAAAGAAAAATATTTAATTTGCTTTTGGATGGCTGAAAAGTTTCTTTCTTGCCTTCTTGTTGTTCGAGCCACGCTTCTCTTTGTACTTGTTAATATAACAACCGTTCAATAAATAAACAATTAAATTATCGCTTGAAACGAGCTTGGAATTTATATTTTGTTGACTCTTTTTCTTATTCTTGTAGAAAAGTTTTGAATTTAATTGGAATAAATATTCTTCCAATGCTTTATTGTTAAGACGCTTTGGAATGTTCACTTCAACTTGCAATCACACCAATTTCAGTTTCTCTTAAAACCAGTGCCATGACTTGACTTGACTAGCCGACTTGCGTGGTCTTCAATGACTCGACTTATTTCCTTAGCTTAACTTGAAAACACTTTTTGACTTCTCTTACTTGATTGACTTTAAGCGAAACCAAAAGCCCTGCTGAGAACAAAGTTTAAGGTCAACAAAAATCTTATTGGAGAATTAAATAATTCTTTTAAGAGGATTTACATTCACGCGTCATTTAAGGAAAAATAAATTTATATTTGACACCAAGAACATCAACAGCTTTCGTTTGAACTAAAACATTTCCACGCATATCCACTCAATTAACTTTAATCTTTTAATTCTCGTTTCTCATAAACCACTGAAAGCTTTCCTTGGAAGCCCTTTTGTAGAATACAAAGATACGACAACGGCAGGTTTGAAAGCATTTCTCTTTTAATTATAAACTTGAATCGTGAATCTTAACGGTGGATTACCGCACTGAAATGTGCAAAATTTCCATTGAGGTTTCTTCATGTTGGATAAATAAAATGAAATGGAAAACTTGCTGGCTGTAACATTTGCAATAACAGGAAAATCTTTACGAATAGAATTCTCTAAGCAATTCATGATGATTTAATGCATTTTGAACGTTTTAAAGGAATCTTCAAGCTGTCGAAAATCAAAATGCTTTTCCGCTTTAATTCATTTCTCGTTCATCGCTCTAATTCACTTCCACTCCTTTGCACATAAAGTCAGCATTAAAATAAAACGAAACAATTGAAAATGGAGAGGAAATTAAAAACGAATTCACTTCTCAGCTCATCGGAAATATGAGACGCCAGACATTATTGCACAACCGCAATTTTCTCAATTCATTTCTAGTGACAACTATAAATAAAGGTTGATGGCCTTAAGTGCCACACAAATGATACACCCAAGGATGGATAGAGATTTGTGTCGTTAGAATGGTTAACTTGGGCAGCAAGTCTCAGAAATATTTATGAAAAAGTTCAACAAGATTCCTTAAATTCCAAATCAAGAATTAAATTAATTCATTATAAATGCTAAATTGATTACCTCATTCCAATAACTCAAATTGAAATTCCTCGTAATCGACAATATTTGCATTAAAATTCTTCTTCAAGTTTTTTTCATTTGCTTGAAAAACTTTTTCTGTATCAATAAGCACAAAATTTATCATCCCGAGAGAAAATGATGAAAAATGTGAGTTTCTTAATCTCTCGCCAGAAATCGCTTTAAAACTTTTTCGATTTCAACAGTAAAGTTCGACAAAATGTCGCGATATTTTCAATTTAAGTCGCGAAGTGAAGCCTGAGAGGTTTTCTGTGTGCTAAAGTTCTTAACCGATTTCAATCGTAGCGGGAATAGAATCTGATTTATTACATTTCACTGGCTTCTCTTTCAGCTATAGCATCAGCGTAAACGGATCTCATGTAATTGGAAAATGTGTCTGAATTAATTCAGGAAAACTTCCTTTCCCACCTTTTAGCGCTTGCAAAACTTTCTTATTCGCCATTGATAAATGTATTCACATTAATTATAAACGATACAATTTACGTTGCTTTACTTACCTCCACAACCCTCGAACGCGATAACAACAAAAGACAAAAAATCTCAGCCATGAAAACGTAAACAAGATTAAATTAGAATAATTTCTTAGCGCTTCGTTGATGACATAACGATCTATCATCAGTTGAACTTTTCTAAATTAATTTAACCCACTTCAAAAAAAAATTAAATGAAAATTTGAGTAGATCAGAGGTGTCGAAAAGAAGAAGAAGAAGTCGTTTTATTATAATGAAGTTAAATTGTTGTGAAATATTTAGCCACAAAATGAAGCGAGCGTCGCTTTGTCTCTGTTGGCTTTTAATTAAAGAACAATATTAATAGTTTCTAATTAGATTTTCATGGCAATTGAGGGGGATAAAAAGGTGAAAACTCTTGAAAATAATTAGTTAGTTTTCATAATGCGCCTGCAATGAACGATGCCATTTACAATTTTATACAGAAGAATTAATCTTGAAAATCTTATCATGTTATTACCGCTTAGCTTCGAGCTTGAGAGCGAGACTTGAATTGCCAATTATAATCTAAAAATGTCTTTAATTAAAACTCTCTGATAAATCATAATCGCTGTCAGGAGGATTTCCAGATATTTTACGCCTCACTTCTTGTTTGAAAATCTAACCGAAAATGTTTGTTTTCCATTTTCCACTCCCACAACTTGTACCACAAAAAAAATGTCGCACTAAATGCGATAAAGCTGTTTGTAAAACAAACTTCCCACTGTTAATCGAAAGCAAAAAGATTTGATTCAATATGCCAGATAATAACATCACCGAACGTGAATATGTCTCGAAAAAGAAGAGAAAAAAAGTTTAAATTAAATTTTTGTGTTCATTCGTGGGGGATTTCCCACCAAGCAAGGAAAATTTTCATACGGACGCATGATAAATTATTAATTCTCTCGTTGGAAATGAAAATCGGAAATGCGTTTATTCTGTTTCATTTTTTAAACTTCCGAAAAGTCTAATAAATTATGACGACTTTTAAGCTGCGACTGTTAGGGTGGAAAATTTTCTTTTTCCATCGATTTTCAATTTTAAAATTTAGGAATCATTTACAGGTTATGTCAGAGTTCATAGCTAACGTAGAAACATTCAAGAAAAAAGAGAAAAAACTTTCGAATCTTCCCAACCATACTCGTATCTCACCCACGCAACAAACACCATTTCTTGTGTTTCTCCTTTCTACTAGCACGTGATTTATCAAAGATTGCGCGAGCACCAAATGTCCATGTGCAATAAATCAATTTATGTTCAATTTTTTCTTGCTTTATTTTTATTTTAATGTCGAAGTGACAATAAGAAAACATTTATCATTTCTACAACGTTTAAAGGAAATATTTGCTTACTTGTAATCGTATTGTTAGTCTTCCAGCTATTTGAATTTTAATTAACTTTTTTCCCTTTACTTTTACTTTTTTTCTTTTTCACTTCCGCGTTTACATTTGAGAAGGAAATATAAAGACAAGTAACAACGAGAACACTTAAATTGGAACTAGTTAACAATACTCGAAATCACTTGACAAACACATCTTATCATATCACTGTGTCGAAATTACAGCAAATATCAAATATCTACACGACTTTTGTTTATATTTTCATCGACACTTATCTAGTTATCGATTATTACTTATTGCTCTCGTTCTTGATAAAAAGTCAACAAACAATTGAACGTTGAAGTGGATGAAAATAAAGAATCACTATTTACTTTTTGTTATTTATACTTCCAATCAACAATCAAGTGCAGCAACTATCAACGATGCTCTATTAAGATCTTTACTTGTTTCAATGTACTGTGAACACTTCAGCATGTAAACTGAAACTTATCTGACTTTTGCTGGTAGTATCTACATAAGCTCAATACACTTCACCATATTAACTTTTCATACATGCTCCACATTTAGTTTTATTGATTTTTTAATTTCTCAGAATTTTTCATCCATTTTTTACTCTTTTTAACTTTTAAACAGCTTTTGTAGTGATTCGAGTAGAACAATTTTCCGAATGAAGCTTATAAATAAGTCATGTCGACACTATTAACTCCTATTGCAATGATGAAAATGGATACAGTTAAGTTCAATGACTATTACCCTCAATCAGTTTCCCATCGATTCAACAATAATCATTGGACATGAAAAATCCACGTCTAACCTGACCGAACGATGAACAAAAACTATCAATTTTATTAAACTTTTTTTTCCTTTGCTTCTCTGCTGTAGTTCATGTTACAATACGTAGACAATTTGTCACAACTCAGCCGGCATTCAACCTCATCGTCGTCTAATGTTCATACAGAATATTCCTCGTGTATGTCTAATGACAGTTCTGCACTGTAAAGTGACGATGACCGGCAAGTGGCGACAACATTCATGCAATGTAAGTATAGAATGTAATGGACATGTGGTTGAAATGAAAAGCAGGTAAATGATAGAAGAAAATTTCCCCCTAAAACATTGTTTCAAATCGAAATTATTAATGAATAATTTATGTGCAGAACATCACGATAAATCAAATATTTAATAATAAATAAATTTAACCGATAAGTAAGTTACGTAACTAGCGAAAGCTTTTGACTTATTTACAGAGAAGTAAAAGACTCTAAAATATTAATAGAAATTGAAGCTAATTATAGATGTTTAACGCCCTAGTGACCAATAAAAACTATTTTTATGAAAACACATGACAATCGTGAAGCTCTGATTATAATCTTTGTATGACTTACTTATTCGTTTATGGCGTCGATGAACGACAAATGAAATTGGATTCGAAATATTAAACAAAACAAATGTTTGAACGTTCATAACTTAATAGCTAAGCTTTTTTGGTTTAATGATGTTAATCAAATGGTAATGCGATCTAAGAACTCTGTTTAGTCGTCTACAAATAAATTTAATGAAATTGAATCAATCGATTCAGAATGGTTAATTCAATGATGAACCGCCTCCAGTCACCATTAACAACATCAATTCTATTTTTAGTTTTTAAACGAATTTTTTGTAAGCTCATCATTTAAGCTTTTCCATGCTGCGATGGCACTGCGTGAGAAAATTTACATGAAAAATTCATTTTGAAAATGAAATTCATGACAAATGCTCGTCGTCGACAAAAAATACAAAACGTTGCATAAAAACTACATTTTCCCTTTTAAATTCGTTTTTAATTAAATGGAGCTTTTCTTTTGACATTTATACTCTTCATTCCGCCAATATTAAAGAAAATCAAGAACTTGAAAGTTGTGTTTATATTTGTTTTCTCTTTGTCTCCCTTGCTTTTCAGTTCTATGAAACGCTAATGTAAATAAGAGCGGAAAAAGAACCATTTAAGTTGCAAAAGACAAACATACAACTGCGGTTAAAATTTTGTTAAAATGTGAAAACATCCCAGGAAGAAGCTTTTGACTTTTAGAATTTTCTCATAAGCACAACAAAATCTCATGGAAATATTTCGAGCATTCAAAGTTGCTTTTTGATTATTGGGATAATTTAAACATTCTACGCTTTGCGATTCCTTAGCAAAACATTGCAACTGGGGAGAAGAAGATCTAGAAAGCAAGTAAAATAACTTGTTTAGTTTAGGAATGTGCGATGCGGTTTACAATACAAAAGTGCAAAAACCGACGCTCTCTTGAGAGAATTTATGATTACATTCTGAAGTAAAGTGGAAAGTCGAATCCTTTCTCTTCCGTCTTTTTTTCCTCCCCTAACATTGCTTCGTTTGCATGAAAATTTTATAACATTTGTGAAGTTCTCCTTGCTTTCATATCATGGCATTGTAAATCAGATATTTTGCGAGTCAAATTGTGCTTTGCTTCATTCAAATCAACTGTTCTCAATCCGTGTTTTGTTTTATTTTTATCTTTACGCTTTCATCAAAGAATTAAAATATTTATTCACTGTGTAGTCGCTGACTGTACAGGGAATTGTAAAATCATGTTTTTAATTTTTATTCCGCGTGTTTATATTCTTTTCTGCTTTTTAAAACAAAGCTATGAAAGAGGAAAGAGCTGAAAATATAAATAAATATCATAAAAATAATTAAAACATTCTTTCCGAAAAAATTATCTTTTTTTTCTGCAGCTTTCGATGGAAAATTTCCATCCGACGAACAAGGAGAGAGAAGGAGGAACATTTAGGGTTCAAGATGAGTAGAGTACAACATTAAAATTCTTGCTGAGCGATATCTCATAGCCCTGTGCTAAATTCAAATATTTTGCACTTAATGAAGAATCATCCGAATATCTTTTTTCAAATTAAAATTTTAATAAAAATCATGAAGAGCTTGAAGGATAAAAGCAAAGGAAAACGTCGGCCTCAACTTCCGACGAGCGGAAATCAATATTGAGTGAAAGATGAACAAGAAAAGCTTCCATTCGAACAAAGATTACTCAGAAATCATGAATTTTTTAGAATGTAAGTGAAGGAGATATTAAATTTTTATTTTTCAATGTTTTTGTTTAGTCAACGCTTTCATAATCGTCTCACAGTCTCGTTCTTTGTTTCCAACTTCTTATAACTTTTGACATCTGAATAATCAATGATATTAAATTTGTTGTTTCTCATATAGTCGTTCTTGGAAGACAAATTCATGATAAATTTATGAATTCAATCAACCTGTCTCAGACTTCAAATGAGTGATTATAATTGACTGATGTTCAACCAAATTCTCTTCATTATATTTTAGTTTTCCTTTCATTAAATTAAATCTAAGCCAACAAAATATTGATTCAAATTTTAATTGAATTTTTCATCACAAAAATGCTTCAAACAAGTTTTCAATTCAAACATCGCATCGAAATGAAATTCTCGTTTTTTCTTTAAAAGGAAAAATCAAATATTGAAAAAAAAGTCAACAACAACGTGGATGAAAAATTGTCCAGCATGTGAATCAAACAACAGTAGAACAAAAGCACTTCACTCATTGCCTTAATTGAAAAGCTTTCAATCGTTTGTTAATGAATTTATTGATTTCTTGCCTCCAACTGTTCGTTTGTGGATGAAAGCAAATACGGACGTATGGGAATTTCCCTTTAATTATATTTTCGTGGATTAAATGTGTGCTTCTCTTTCTCTTTTCAAATAAACCCTCGAGTGTACGTACAGTTGAGCCGAGTGTTTGGGAATTTTCACAGCATATATGGGGCGGCGGATGAGTTGAGTTTATTATTGTTGTCCAATAACTTGTTATGTTGCGTATGTTTTGATGAGATTGAGAGCTGTTGTGGTTTATTTATCCCCCACAAAAAAGCATCATGTAAAATTTAATGAAAACTCTCATCAGAACATGATTCTTTGCTGTTTCTGTTAATTGTCAATTTTGATAGCACCACAGATTAATGTTATATTTTATGTTGAATACATAAATGAAAATCCATGCAAGTGAATGATTAAAAATTATGGAAATCATTTTTTCTACCCTTAATTGGAAGGCAATGAATAATTGATGGAAAATTACCGAATTAACTTTATTTTAACAATAAACAGAATTTATTTGTCATAAGATAACGCCATAAAATGATGCGATGATAAGAAATCAGTTTGGATTGAACAATCAAATTGTCCATTAACTGATGACAGCTCAAAATAATTTTTTTTGAAATGATGAACAGACATATTGATTTTTACAAGCGAACGACAAGAAAAAAAATTGATTAAAATTTTAATTGAAAACTAATTGATATTGAAAGCTGACGACTTCATACATGTGAGAGTTGCTTCAACCTTTTCCCTTTACATAACGATTAGAATTTTCCGATGACATCCGTACGAGTTATGTGAAAAATAAATAATGGAAAATATAATTTGATTATTGGAAATTGTTTTTATTTCTGACGATGTTATGAAAGGGTTTCTGCACTTCATTACACTTAGAGAAGGAAGCAACAATGTTAAGATGATTGTTCTTTAGAATGTTTTCCATAAACATAAATTTAACATGTACAAGGAATAAATTTCAATTTATTCAATACTAGAAACATTTTCCCCAACCAACTTAAAGAATTTCTTCCACAGACTTGAAACTGCTTAATTTCAGAAGTATATTGGCTTTTATTCTATGACCAGAGAAAGTTTTTGTTCCAATAACAAATAAAGTCTTAACGCATGAACATGGAACGTTTCCTGACATCCATGAACAAGCAGCAGATGTTTCTCGACCAAAAAACGAAGGAAAAGTCATTCGGATTTGTAACAAATAAGGAAATTGTGGAAACTAATGTCTTCCTTTCTGGTTTTTTTCCACTATTTATGAATAAAAGAAACATCAAAACCAGCACACAAAGCACAACCAAACGTTACAAAAACTTTATTATGAAGACGAAAGAAGTTTTCTTCAACCAATATTGCGAAACGTTGACAAAGCACAAACAGCAGACAATTTTTTTCCTTCATTCGAAATCACGAGACACATCGAAACGTTCAATTTCCTGCACGCACGTTTCCCTTTAAAAAAATAAATCGAAGGGAAAGAAATGTTGAAGGATTTTTTTTAATTTTTCTTTTTTATTTTTCTTCTTTAAAATCTTGATTCAAGATTATTCACCTCCAGTTGCCCTGACAGTGAGTTCGTGAATGGAAATGTGATATGGAACAGATAAAAGATAAGCGACTGTTTCGCCGATGTCATCAGGTTGCAAATGCGGTAAGTTTAAAATATTTTCAGTTGTTTTTTTCGGAAATTTGGCGGCTTCAAAAATGTTGGTGTGAACAGCTCCTGGCGAAAGGCTCGTCACTCGGACTTTCTTATTCTTTATCTCCAGCAATTCTTTTCTCATAGTTTCCGTTGCAGCAGTTATAGCAAATTTAGTAGCGGGATAAACTCCAAATTGTGTAGATGCATCAGGAACGGTATGGCCACGAACGGAGTTGATATTGATTATGTACCCGTACGAGTCTCGAGTCTGCATTGATTTGAATGCTAATCGAGAACAACGAACAAGCGATGTAAAGTTCAAATCAATAAGAAGTGAAAGCTCCGACATGGGCTTTTCATGCTCAAGTAAACCAACGAGCCTCGCAGTGCCAGCATTATTGACAATAATATCAACACCTCCGAGTTCCTTTTCAACCCAATTGAAGGCTGCTTCAGTTTCAGCTTCCTTTGTTATGTCGCAAATGCGAGAATAAACTTTCAGATTTTTATTTTCACTTTTAAACTTTTCGATTGTTTCCACATTCAAATCAAACCCAACTACAGTGATTCCTGCGGTTGCAAGCTTTTTCATGATACCAAATCCATTGCCAGCGTTGGCTCCTGTAACGACAGCGACGCTTTTGTTCCACTTTTCCATTTTACTTGTCCACTTGGATTGAAATTTTATTCTGATTTAAATGCAATGTGGAAATTACTTTTATACATTTTTCTCTTGATAAACAACTCTAAGATATTGATAAGATAAGATTAAATTAAAAATCAGAATATTTTGGAAATCCTATCAGAGTCTGCCTTCAATAAGTCGTTTCGTTTAAGGTTCTGCAATTAATTTGTTTTCATTAACTTTCAGAAATGAAAGACATTGAGAAATTGTAAATTTCCTTTCATACAAACATTTTTCATTTTATTATGAAATTCAACATTTTCCGTGAGAAAGCATAAAATGTTTTCTGAGATTATATAAAATCAATTTTCATTTTTTAATCACGATGAATTTTAAAATTATTTCATGATAAGAAGAATTGGATAAGAGTGAGAGAGAGACAACTGAAACTTTGTCATAATTTATTTAACTGCTTTCTCATGATGATGATCAAGTTTTCAGTGCATCGACCTGAACTTAAGTTTATCATTCTTTATCTGAAATATTTATCATTCTTTAATCTTCTCAATATCTTAGAGTTGTTTATCAAGAGAAAAAGGTATAAAAGTAATTTCCACATTGCATTTAAATCAGAATAAAATTTCAATCCAAGTGGACAAGNCAAGTGGACAAGTAAAATGGAAAAGTGGAACAAAAGCGTCGCTGTCGTTACAGGAGCCAACGCTGGCAATGGATTTGGTATCATGAAAAAGCTTGCAACCGCAGGAATCACTGTAGTTGGGTTTGATTTGAATGTGGAGACAATCGAAAAGTTTAAAAGTGAAAATAAAAATCTGAAAGTTTATTCTCGTATTTGCGACATAACAAAGGAAGCTGAAACTGAAGCAGCTTTCAATTGGGTTGAGAAGGAACTCGGAGGTGTTGATATTATTGTCAACAATGCTGGCACAGTGAGGCTCGTTGGTTTACTTGAGCATGAAAAGCCCATGTCGGAGCTTTCACTTCTTATTGATTTGAACTTTACATCGCTTGTTCGTTGTTCTCGATTAGCATTCAAATCAATGCAGACTCGGGACTCGTACGGGTACATAATCAATATCAACTCCGTTCTTGGCCATACCGTTCCTGATGCATCTACACAATTTGGAGTTTATCCCGCTACTAAATTTGCTATAACTGCTGCAACGGAAACTATGAGAAAAGAATTGCTGGAGATGAAGAATAAGAAAGTCCGAGTGACGAGCCTTTCGCCAGGAGCTGTTCACACCAACATTTTTGAAGCCGCCAAATTCTCGAAAGAAACAACTGATCAAGTTCTCTCAACACCACACTTACAACCTGATGACATCGGCGAAACAGTCGCTTATCTTTTATCTGTTCCTTATCACATTTCCATTCACGAACTCACTGTCCGGGCAGCTGGAGGTGACTTTTAATTGTAAAAATCGATAAAAGAAATAGTAAATGTTGTAACTTTTATCAAAAAATAATCTGTTTATTAACATCGAGTCTTAAGATTACCAAACAATATTTGATAAGAAATGTCTTTTGTTGATCTAAATAAAATTTCTTAATATAATTTATGAAAACTTTTCGCATTAAGGAAAGCAAATTCATGTTTTTCCAATGTTTCCACATGTAATGTCGAATTTAAATATTACAATGAATGAGTGAAAGAAGACATGGCGACAAAGAAAATCCCTGGTCTTACTTCTTACTTCAACATGTTGTTTAAGAAGCTTTCGCCATTGGAATGATAAATTGCCATTCACTTAACAATCTTTCCTCGTCGAGTTTTATGGATATTTTTTTTGAAAATTTTCTTTGCGAGGGTGCATAAGAAAGGAAAAATAATTTCCGTCTGGGCCGCGGTGCCGGATAATAAATCATTCATATATGAAATAGTGGGTAGGTATGAATTTATTTATTGATATTATGTACACGTGAGGTTTTCATTTTGATTTGTGGAAAAGAAATATAAATTTAAATGTGGAGATTTAAAATCTCGACATTCACTGAATTGTAATTTTTTTTGTTTCCTTGAACATCGTGAAGTCTTTCAATGACTTCTTCTTGTAAGATTTCTTTAACAGCTTCCTTTAAATCGCTTTCATGTTGACTTCTCTGAAATTGTGTTTTGTTGGGTGATGGACTGGATTGACTTTGATATCTCGAAGTGTTTATATTCATTGGTGTTCCTGGTGAAACAGAAATAGTTGGAACTGGTCGTGGACGGTAAATTGGTCGTCTGTCTGTCAACTTTCTTTCTCCTTTTGACTTCTTTTCTTGTGAACCAAGAATCCGTAAAGCATTTAAGGTCTCATTCAGACCTCTTACTTCATTCGATTTATCCATGTTTTCCAACATGTAATCGTAGCCATATTCCAACATTAGCGAAGTTAAATTCGTGTAGATTCTACAAGCATCTTCAGCAAGTTGACGTGTTGGATTCATTACAATGTGGAACGTCTTTAATCACAAAACAAACAAATAAAGTTAAACAGAAAATTTGGAAATTAAATGCAAAATTAATTTTTTTTATTTCAAAGATGAAGAGATTAAAATTTGTTTCAAAGTTTGCCGAGATTAATTTTTGATATTTTCAAATATGAAGATTTAACACCTCAACGTTGACAGATTTATTTGCGGCATTCATCAAATTTTTCACGGTCAAGTTTTGATGTTGATACGAAGAGTTTGTTTCTTCAACAACATTGAAAGATTTACTTGAATTCTGACGATCGTCCTGGTTGTCACTCCCTTGTTGATCTGATAAACTTGTGCTGTGAGAATATTCAATATCATTCTCGTCAAATGTGGAGTCAAGGAAGGTTTGCAGGTTGCTGTTCTCTTGATGATACTTTGCTCCTTCCTGGAGCTTGTCATATTCTTCAATTAAAGTCTTCAGTTCCCTGAAGTGTTTTCCATCTTCTCCTTTACTTCTGAGATGAAGATAAGCAAACTTTATCACTAGAAAAAAGACGTCGTCTCGAGATTTTTTTAATTTCTCGTGATATTCTCTTGCATTAGGAAACGCCACAATAAGCCTTTTAAAATATTGATAACGCTTCAATTTACGCCCTAAGACGGCTAACAGTTTAGGATGATCATCCAAGAAATTCATTCCGTGCTGAATCAAGTTATTGAGAAGTTTTTCCATGATTTCAATAATCATTTGCTGGCGATTTGTTTCACTCGTCATGATGGCCTAAAATCGATTCAAAATTGTTTTTCTTTTGAAAATAATACACAGAAAATTTGAAAGTAATTCTGAAAGTTTAGAAATAATGAAAAGCCATCTGAGTTAATTAAAAGAAAATTGGAATGTAAAGTTCGCTTTCTATTTTTATTTAATTTGAATCAATTATTCTTTTCTCAAGAACTTCTTGTCAACTTTGAGAGTGTAAGTTTTGTGAAGAGTTTTGAAATGAGGTTGAATGACATCACCAGGTGATCTTGCACGTGTTGAAACTTTAGTTCGGGGAACTCGCGGTGGGCAACTTATTGGAGAAAATTCACCAAAGCATTTTAAAGCTTGTTTAGGGCAGCAACTTTTATGATTCTTATAATAAAAGAATGGAAGTGGCAAAGCTTTGTTAAACTCATTTTGTTGATAGAAAATCGGATCAGCATCAGATGAAGCTCTTCTCAAATATTCCTTCATAAATCCATTCGTCAGACTAAATTTAGCTTCTTTTCCAATTCTCTCATATCTTTTATTACATTTTAATGGCTGCAATGTCATGTCAATAAATTTAATAACTGAAAATTTGAAAAATGTTTACAAGAATTAAATTCAATAAATTTTTTATCTTTAATCGATTGCTGAGAAATTTTAATATTCAAAGCAAAGTTTATTTAAAAATAAATAATCAACAATTCAGAGATTTACGTGGAAAAATATTTTCAATGCAAATTCCAGTGATGATTTTATTTTCATACATAATTTCCTCTTCAAACTTCAAGTTTAAATTGATTTTAACTTTTCCATCCGATGACTTTTGTAGCGAATATTTCGATGAAACCTTGGGAGCTTCATTAGAATGTATTGGAATAAATTCTTTTTGTTCGATTGTCCCGACATTTGATTTCGTTTTCAATGAAGATTTTGATTGCGAAAAGTTTTCCGTTGAAGACTCGTGTGGTAAGTTTAAGTCATTTTTGGTCTTTATAATGTCGTGATGAGTGCCACCAAAGCATTTCAATTTTCTCTTATTTTTTATTTCTTCCAGCTTCTGTTCAAGTTCGTCGTTAAATTCTTTAAGTATTTCATGAGTTGCCTTTACTGACATTGGAGACAAACCGTTCATAACTTTATCATGTGTTGCATCAATCTTTTCATTTAATGTCGTGGTTTCTTTAAATATTTCATCATGTTCAACTGTCCCAACATGCAAAGGAGTTCTTAATTCCGAGTAGTTTTCAAATTTGATAAATTCTTCTGATGAAATGATTTCCGAATCAGCATTAAGGGTTTGTGTGAAGTTTTTACTCTTCTTAATATTGTGACGAGTGTTATGATTATTGAAATGAATGTTTTTCAATTTTCCTTTATCTTTTATGACTTCCACTTCTTCATTGCATTCCTTAAATGCTTCATGAGTTGTCGGCTTGATGCTATTAAATGTTTTCTGACAAGATTTATAATCACAAGTCTTCTTCAATCCCAAATTTTGAATCTTTCTTTTTCTCATTTTATCAAAATCTTTCTGCAATTTTTCATATGCTTGGAAAACAATTTTAAGTTGCAAGAAATCTTCATAAACTTGTGGATGATTCTTCAAATAGAGAAAAGCCAATTTCATTAACAACAGAATGTAATCACTGTAAGCTTGATGGTAGTTTTCACGATATTCTTTCGATTGTGGAAATTTGTCAACAAGTTTTCGAAACAATTGAATCGCTTGGATTTTAAAATTCAACATTGGAATGAACTCAACATTATTGAAGAGATAAGCATATCCAAATTGAACCAATTGAACGAGTTCCTGACTAAAATTCTTAATTAACACTCGCAGACGATATTGCAGAGTTTTTTCCATAATTTATTATAAAATTCTTTTCTTCTTTATCAAAATAAATTTTTAATTTAACAAAGGTTTCTATGTCAGGTTGTGAAATTAGAAAACAAGAATTTATTATTGAGTATTGTCAAGTTCTTGAACTATTGGAATAAACCTACAAAGGTCGTATCTTCCAGGTTGAAGTGTAATTTCATTTGTTACGCTCATCTTCTTGTTAGTAAAAAATCCTAATCTGAAGTATTTTGAAATACTTTTAATGATTTCTTCAGCTTTCATCTGTTCTTCCAGATGAACTGGTTCTTGAATTTTCGGCATTACTGGTGATGATGCTGGGAGAAATTTTGCATCTTGTTGAAAGTCTTTGGAACCTTCCAAAGCAGATTTGTGCTTGTCATATAAGTTGGTGAATTCATCACTTTTATTTGAATATTCAGTGACATCGACGTCTTCATCTTCATCTTCATCTGACATGAAAAAAGTTTCATCGATCATTGCCAGATTCAAGTCTTCATCACGCATTCTCTTCTTTGACGATATCGCTGTTGACGACGGTTGAAATTTCAGTTCTTGTTCAATGTCATCAGCATTACCCAAAGCTGATTCGTCATTTGCGAAGCAATTAACAAACTCATCAATTGAATTCTCAGGATTTGGGTCATTTTCATGCCACGAGCTTTGAAATTCTTCTTCAATTTTCTGGGATAAGTAAAATGCATCATTGAGCATAGCTTGCATGTCATCATCGCGTCTCGTTTTTATCGGTGTTGTGGATGATTGTCCTAATGAATTTCTTATATCTTCTGGTGACTCAAAGTAATTGTCAAGCTTTCTTCTTACACCATTTGCATTGCTTCGTTCTCGAACTTTTGCTTTTGCCTGAGATCTTCTTCTTTGTAACGAGCTTGGAAACCAAGGACGAGGAATGTTTTTGTTTCTGTTTTGTGGATTTTTTGGTGATGATTTGATACCTTGAATAACATTTTTAATCTCTTCAACAGCTTCGTAAAACACTTGACGATGCTCTGCACTTCCATTCATTGCATTGTTGCAAAGTTCTTCGAAATATTCTTCCAAGAATTTCTTGTTTGCAGCTACATGTCGTTCACATAATTTATAAAGCTCTTTTCTACTCAACATTTCGAAGATTACTGATAATCACGAAGGAATTTTGTGATCAGCGAAAAATAAAATGGAAATTTAGATGGCAAAAAAAAAGTAACAGTCAACGAATCAAAGTTTGCTGAAAGTTTTCCAATTTTCTAATGGATGAAGAAAGCAAATAAACGAAGAGTGAAGGAAGAACTTTGTGCATGTGACACGACACTGATAACAACGCTTAAAGTTAGTGATTTTTTCACATTAAAATTCTACAACGAAGCTCATTAACATTTAAAATGGTTTCGTCTCGATGTTGGGGATGAAAGGAGAGAAGAATTAGAAATTCCTAAAGTTTCTTCAGGGGACAATTCTTGAATTTCATTTTCAATTTCATTTCAATTGCTCTCAAAGGAATTTAAATTTAAATGTCCAGGCATTCATGAACAATTTACTCAATTCGCGGACTACTAATGAAGCTTATAATGCAAAAAAAGTTTTGCAAACAAATCTTAAAAAATATATTTAAAGATTCTTTAAAGACTTTCTGCAATTTATTCGTGAAAAATAAAAGCGATTTCCAAACTTCCAGAGAAGTAAACTTTTCCCCACCATTTTTCACAATTGAATAGCTTCATTTGACTATGAGCGACATAAATTACATGACATTTTTCTAAAAACGAACGTTTCTTATGCCTTCACGTCTTACTCTCATTGGAAAACATTAATTTGAATGCGTTTCATTTGGGAAATAAATTGAGATTGAAGACATCTAGCAGGCGGGGGTGAAATTTCTTTTCAAAGAAAGCTGTCACAAAATTCTCAAGATTAAGAAAAAAATAAGAAAACAAAACAATCGATTAGATAAGTAAAAGATGTGAAAGGAAGATAAAAGTATTTTATGTGTCCCAGATGTGTCATTAAAGTGGAAAATGTGTAAGAAATTAATAGAAATTGTTTGAATTCAGAATGAGAAACGTTTACTTAATGCGATTAATTCTTTTCAATGATTTCTTTTTCGAGGAATATCTCAAGTTAATTTGAAACACTTCACAAAGTGGTCACAAACTGTTCAGTGATAACAAACAAGTTTGATTATTATCATTGCAAATAAGACAACAAAAATGATAAAAAAAAACCTTCATGAATGTTTATGGGCAATAAATTTTCCATTCATTCTGATTTAAGCGACTTTCTGTCGTCTAGTAAGGAATTTCCATTTCGAGTAGCTAAAATGTCACATGGGCCACATAAATCTTTATAATTGGTCATATTAAGTGGCGCTTTCCTTAGACTCATTTTGGGTAAAATTATTTTTGATTGTTTAATTTAATCTCTAAATACAATCGACAAACAACAAGCAGCAAAGTCGACAGAAAAATTTTAATGCGCGTTGTTTTGTTCTTATTTTTTTTCCTTAAGCTGTTATTTTATGTTCTGAAATCTTCGTTTCATTAATTATCAGTGGCGAACATAAATATCAAGAAATAAAATTCGAGCGACTTGAAGAATCGTTGGTCAAAATAAAAATGCAATTAAAATTTCGTTTATTGAACAATCAATGAAATTAACAATTAATGAGAATTTATTCTTCGAATCTTCTTATTTTGTGGTTTTATTAAAAGCGAAAGCGCGTTAAAAAGAACAAGATAAGAAATGAAAATAAAAAATTAAGAATCCTAAATCTTTTTTATTGGATCGTTTTATTTTATGAATAATGGGATATAATAAAGTTTCGGTTACTGTTTTATGATCGGAAATGAATGAAATAATTAAGCACAAGCTTAACACACACGATGAGTTTTTCAATTGATGAATAGAAGTTTCATTAGGGAAACATTTACAGCAAACTCACATTATTCAACAAAGTGATAGTTTAAATTCTTTAAATTTTAAATATGATTGCTTAGAAATCTATTTAATATGTTCGTAATTCTATGAACTTCCAGATGCTGTACATTTACTGCTAATGTTGCGTGAAGAACAGTTAAGAATATTTTCTACTTCAACATCTCGTTTCACCTTCTTTAGTTCATAAGATTCCCATAAAAAAATTTCTACATTCCATTGCATAAAACATTTCCATTTCAACTCTTATTAAAATAATATTGTCATATTTTTATGTCTTTTTAATGCCATTCTTAAATCAACAGAAGCTTGTTGTGATATGTGTTGCCAGATAACAAAGTTATGTTTACTAACGACATTGACATAAATGATGACAAGAAATCTAGCGGAAACCCGAAGGAAGTATTAACGCAACACCACTCCCGCCTTCACTCATCGACACGTAATGTAATTCAATTGTATTTTGTTTGCGTGGAAAATTTCCTAGAAAAACACTTAAATTCACACGTCGGCTTTTTCATAAAGCATCAAATTTATGCTTTTTGATACAAACATAAACATAAATATGTGAGCGAAATGTTCATGAAAAATAATAAAAGATTTACAACGTGGCGGAGGAGTGTGCTCGAACATTGCCTCAAGTAGCATCAGCCAAAGAGAGAAATACTTAGGTAAGAATCGGGTAAAAACATAAAATGAATGAGTGAGGAGAAAAAGGGGGAATTTGCTGTGCATTATCATCATCCTTTTATGAACGATTCTCATTGTGATGGAATTTTCCTTCACTTGCTCGCTTTTCTTTCTTTCTTTTCTTCCATTTCAAGAACACATGGTGGTAATAGCTGATGTGCAAAATATTTATTTTATGTAAGTATCGAAGGGTGGCCGGGAAAACTCCAGAGGATTGAATCATAATATTTTAACAATAAATTAATGCTTTTGAATTGGTTGTTTTCTTGAATAACGTTGATAGTTAGGTGCATTAAACAATTTATACGTACTAAGTAAGAGGCATTTAAAATTATTCCTTTTTTATTGGATTTGCTTTGAAAATAAGAATTTAAAACCAACTTCATTGCTTTCTCTTAACGATGTGACGTTTGCCCCTTGAAGGTATGCAACCAGCGAAACGAACTTCATTTGTTTCATAAAAATTTATTTTCCTTATTTACTCTTCCATTTCTCATCCTTTTGTTTCAACTAGAATCTAACTAAAAATATCAAACTTTCTTCTTATTCTCAATTTGGTTTCATTAAGAAACTGAAACTAAGAATTCTTCTTGTAAAAGTTTAACTTTTTGATTGGTTGCCCTCGGGATGTTTTTTGTGGTTTTATGAATGTTAAAATCATGACTTAAGCAAAATTCTTCTAACATTTTATATTCGTAACTTTAACTCATGGACGGACGAGCAGTATATGGTAGATAATTCTTTCGCTCTCTTATTATCCCTCAAGACATGAAATGGGATGGTTTAGTGAATTTAAACGTGTTATTTAGATTATTAATTAGCGTATCTGTTTCGTATTCCAACATTGTTATTTGTGACTAAGATTGCTTTCGGGGTTGAATGTTAACTTCATTAAGATTTCTGATGGATTCTTGAGGGAAATATTCTTAATCATTGTCACTCACGAAAGCGATCTATTGAGCAAGCATTGTGAAGTATTTCAAAACTTTACCTTTAAAAGTTCTTTAAACGAAACAAAGTTTAACTTTTAATTGTCGCTCGAAGTAACAACATCAAAACATAAACTTTAGATTAAAAGTAAGTTAGCGATAGATAAGCTCGAATTCTTGTTATGAAAATTCCGAAGCATAATTTTGATAATGTTTATTCCTGTCAGAACATATTTTAAGATTACAAAAGCGTCTTCTCATTCCTTTCTTTGAAAAAAATCAAAACTTATTTCAGTTCATCAATTTTAATATTCGCTTGACATAGCATTGTGGAAATCTTTAAAAATGTTATCATGACAACGTCGCGAACATGAAAGAAGGCAATTATCATGCATCATAATCACCAGGTTTAACTCTACATAAGCTTCGTTGCTTCTACATTATGTCAGAAGTTTGAATCATTTATTAAAAATATTATTTTATGAAAAATGATGATCTCGGCTTCTTTTTAACACACGTTGTTCTCTCATTAAAAATTCATAAATGCAAGAAGAAAGCAAAATATTTATATTTGGGGAGTTGAGGTCTTAGGGAGGCAGCGAAACCAAAATAAAAAACTGCAACAAATCTCAATTTTGATTTTAATATGTTTGTCATGTTTGAGGATATCGCTTCGAGGAGATTATGAATATTTAAGCGTATGCAATTTAGCTTCCTAGAAGAATGCGATTCACGTCATAAATCATTCGACATCGTGAATTTTTAATTTTTCTTTATATCATCAGTGATTTATTTTTCAAAACTTTTCCTTGCACTCGTTTTAGGATTTACTTTTAGGTGGTTGCAATGGAATTCCATCATTGTCACATTGAATGACTTTTAGACGATGAAAAATGTGCAATCGTAAGCGAATATCGACAACATTTTTTATTTCTCATATCATGAAATTGAGAGGCGTGGGTGGTGTGAATAATTCTGCTATTATATCAACGATTCTTTTCACAACTTTTTTTTTTGTGCTGCTTTGAAACATTCGTAATGCTGTAAAATATTCATACGACAATAGTTGAAGGAAGTTTAGTTATTTTTATGAATGAACATGTTCAACTTGGAGATTATAAAACTTTTTCTTTGTCATCATAAAAAAACATTTCAACAGTGAGAAAAGCTAGAAGCGCACGATGCATGAATTTATTTCACAAATGAAACATGAAAAACTTCTTTTTTTTCTGATTTTCGTCTTTACAACAATGAAAGATTTGTGAGCGAATGTTAAAGCTGAAGCCACTTTAAGATGCCTCAGATGTTATTTTTGATGAAAGAGGAAATTTTACTTGCAGTACATAGAATCAAAATATTTACCTTTCAATTTTATGCTTCAGTTGATTCCTTTCGACCCTTTGTAGAACCAAGAAACAGCTCAACTTCGAGGTAAATGCAAAGTTCACTTCTATTGAAAGGATAATCTTAAATTTATGATACCGTAATGGACGTTTTAGAATGGGTGAATAAGTGAAAAAGTGTAGAAGAAAGGAAAGGAAATTTTTATTGGTTTTCGATCACATCATGATGCTTAAATCACTGCTATCTGAACGACTAAAGTAGGCAGTTTTCTTCTTATTACAAATTCTGACACAGCCAACATAAAATTACCATTTTAAGCAACTTATGTGTGTAACATGAATTTCGACTAAAAATTATTCTTGAAGCGATCACAGATTTCGCAATGTTCGTTGCTCTGAAGCCCATCACATATCACCCCAGGTGTTCTTTTATGATCTGTCTTGTGCTTGCAGACAACATAAAATGCAAAAAAAATATGTAATCAACGTCAATGATTCTCATAGCACCTTTCTTATAGGGTAGAACAATAAAGAGGGAAGTTCAATTCAATGTTTTTATGTATGGGGAGAATTTCATGTGGGATTCTTCTCTACATGAACTCCATTTTCTTTATCCCGTTACCGTAGAAGAAACCTAAACCAGAAGTACTTTCATTCATGAGGTGAATTTTGCTTTCAAACATTCGTTTGTTCTTATGATTATCTACGGTTGTTACTTACACCTGCAGTGTTTGACTTTCAAACTGAAAAGAAATGACAAAGAAAATTTTCACAAACTAACTGAGTGGGTTGTGGACCTGCCGGAATTCAAATAATCAATGGAGAGAAAGGAAAAAGTTTTCAATCTTATCGGCATAAATAAATTTAAATTTCATTTGAATTGTTTGCATTTCTAAACAATTGAATTTTTATGTCTCGAATCTTGAACGATTGAATGGACATCGATGATTGAAACTTCACATAATAAAGTGCAATAAATCAGATGATTTTGTTGTGTGGTTGTTTCCCTCAACAGTTTCTTTCAATTGGCACTTTCGAGTTTTAGTAGTCAACGAGAAGTGTGCAAACAGCTGAGATTGCAACATTAATTTCATTCATTTATCGTTGGTTTAAAAGTCCATCGAGTATCATCGATATTGTGATGATTCCACCCCAAAATACTATCAAGTGTGTGGTTGAGTGGACCAATTCCATCTCCTGATGTTGACGATGACGTATTAGAATTGGGTCGTCCCAAATCGTGTTCTTGCATTGCGAAGAGACGACGCAATTCCCTTACGCTTGTCACAGCCAATAAATTCCATAAAAGTTGCATTAAAAATCGTTGCGAAAATCATAAGCGAAATGTTTAAAGTGCCATCAGATTTTCCACGCTTCATTTGATTACAATTGATTGTTTTCGATGGTGCGTGACATCACGAGATGAGGCTGCGAAGACATCTGTTCAGTTTGTGTTGTGTTTGCATGTTGTGCTGTTGCTTTGTGCCAAGATCATCATCGATCTGATGATCTCATCGTGAATGTAATTCATTCGTCCCCTCACACTGCTCGAGATGCAGTTGCAGTTGCAGTTTTTTAATTCTTTTTTCAACTAGAAAGTCTCAAACATATTCAAAGTTGGATGAGACTCATGTGAAGGGACAACAATGAACTAACTCAACTCACCATCATCGATGTTGATGAAATAAAAATACGGAAATGAAATTAGGGTGATTTTCGATTCCAAATTGTTTGTGTTTTCGGTTTTGTGGGATGCTCGGGATTACTTTATTTGTAATTTCATTTTGGACCTCAAATTTCTCTCTTTTAATTTTTAATGAACAAATGCAAATGTTGATGCAACTTTTTGTTGTTCGTTTTTATTTATCTATTGAAGTTTATCGAGAAATATTTCAGTAAAGTAAAGAACACGTTAGAGAGCGAGAGAAAGTTTTAATTCGTTAAAAAATCAATGAACATGTTGAATAATTTTCAATTTTATAAAATTATTTTGTAAGCATCAATTTTGTTGTTCACAACTCGGCATCGAAATGAATCAAAGAATATTTTAAAAAATTCCTCAATGAGTTTCTATTGTGAGTAACTTCGTGTTCATTCACCATCTGGTTAGTGTGAAAGATTAAAAAAGATTACAATCGATCGTAATCCAACCCAATAAAAATGACAAAAGCCAAAGAGAAATAATTTGGAAAGAGAGAAAGAAGAACTTTTGAAAATGACACGAAAGATGACGAACAGAGAAGAGCAAAAAGATTTCCAACTTGTCTTGTTGTTATTGCTGTTTAAATCGTCATCTTCGTCGTCGTCGTTTGAAGATCTTCATAATCTTCTTATTTTTGTGGTTTCCTCGTCATCTTTGAGAAACTTTGTCTCGTCTTTTGTTAAAGTTCATGGGTGCTCAAGTTTGAGAGATAATTTTGTAGGCAATTGAATCGCACGCAGATATGTTTCGAAGAAGGAATTAAGAGTTGTCTGATCTTATTTGATTCCATAAGAAAAGATTTCTAATTAAGCCCAAAGATGAAAATGTTTTTGCACTTCAGAAACTTCTTTGAGTTGGAAAAGAAGAAAAATTATTGTGAAGTATGAAAGGCTTTCGTTCATTCTTACCAACATCATTCGCATAATTTGCATCATCTTCATCTTTAACTGTCTTCATCATGTCAAACCTTCAACGTTTATTCAGATCTTAAAAATCACAAAATCTGACGTGAATGAAATTGAAACTAAACGAGACATAAGTTTTAAGTATTTGCTTGATTTGTATCGTTCGGCGCTTTAAGTTGACTCTCATTTCCACCAACATAAATCTGATGAATTTACACATCTCATAAAACAAGTCGCTCGGGATTAGCCATGATGACGGGATGATTAGATTCAGAATTTATTTTTTCAACATAAACAACATTTTTCTTCATCAGATGACGAGATAAATGGCAATAAAGAAGAGTTTACGACTCAACCCGTTGCCTAATTGCCCCGAAATTCTTCTCGTTTCTCATCACTCGCACGGGAGAATTTTTTTAATGCTTGTTCGACATTTTCTCACTGATCCAAGAGGGGATTAAAATTAGAAAAGAAAAATTTTCATTTCAAACATTTTATTGATCTCACTGTTTTATTTTTACACCTTTTTCGCTTTTCTTCTCCTTTCTAGATACTTATTGTTGATCAGATATTTAAATTCTTCTTTTTTTATTTGCTTTGATTACATGCAATGTACAAAAGGACGGTAATTATTTACAACGGAACCATTTCAGTTAAATCTAAATTTATTTTTTACATAATTATTTCTTTTATGACATTTTATTGCATTCGAGGGTCGATGAATGGGGGGGGGAAGTTTCAATCATTCTCATTTTAATTAAAATCAATCGTTATGACAATCCACAAAGTTGAAAATATTTTCATTGCCATCAAATAAAGTTTAATTACTTTTTCATTAACAGGATGAGAATTCTGATATAATTTTTTGTTTGACACAATGCAATAAACACGCAAAGTTATTTTTTACCAAAATTATTTATGCGGTTGCCACCAATGTTGATCATTTTATGTTAAGCATAAACTTCGACTTGCAATCGTTTCGATTATTTTTATTTTATTCTTATTCGACTAGCATTCACGAGAAATTCACTTTTGTATTTATCTCCCTCTTAATTGATTAATTTACATGCATTTGTTTCTTTTTTTTCTGACTTTAAAATTGTTTTCCTACATGTTTTGACCTCGTTGGAAATGTCAAATGAATCACATTCTAAACAATTGATAAGATGTGGTTCGTTGACGTCTGTTGCCAAGGAAAATTTATGAGCACAAGCTTACATCTCATCAGACAACAGTTGTAATAAATAAAGATCATGTGCGTCAATTCAGCAATCATGGAAGATTTCAGAAGCTTGAGAAAGTTTCTACAGCAATGGAGGTGGTTTCCATAGCGAGTAACACTCTGCAGAAATTACAATTTACAAGCTTCTTAAACATGCTTGGAAAATAATTAGTGTTGAGTTACGATAATTAGATTTTGTGGAAGCATTAACACTGAAACTATATTTAACAGTTTTCATCCTACATTTCTTTCTCGAAGAATTTTTCTCGTGAGCAAAGTAAAAGTTTTCTTTTTTATTTTTTTAGATTTTCCTGAGCTGTGCAAGTTTTAAACATTTTCAGGGAAATCTTTTGAACTCGTATAGCTCATTATGCTACGATTACCCGAATAAGTGAACTCTTTCTCGGGATCATTGACTGATGCTTCGTTTGTCATATTATGTAACTGATTCTCGTAGATGTTGAAGTTATGTTGACTCCAATCAATTGAACCATTTTGCGATTGTGGCGTTTGCTGACCTAAACTTGATGCTTGACTATGTGATTTGATATCACCGACTTTTACATAAAGCTGTTCACCCTGACTGCCGCCAAAATTAATTCGGAAATTTTGTGGTTTCATAAGTTTCAGACGATTACGCTTATTAGATGCACTTTTATTGGAGTTAATATGCTGTTGATTAAACATATTTGGCATCATTGTGTTCGCCATTCGATTCTCCACAATGTTCATTTTATTATTGTTATTGTTTGGATTGCAATATGATTCCGAATGGATACTTTTGTTGTAATTGCTGTTGTTGTTTTGACTTGGTACACCGACAACAGTTGAATTCGCTGGCGGATAAGCTTCCGTTGTGTAGAACATGTTGTAACGACGTCCATCGCTTGGAGCGAGTTTTGAACTGCCAATTAAAGTGGTTGTCGCGTAGGGTGCTGGTGATTGTTGTCCGCTTCGGAATGATGACACTTCAGCATAGTCAGCTGGGTAGTCAGTATATTCACCCATAAATCTGAACGAAAGAAAAATAAAACATGAAAAATTTCATCTGCAATCTCTCTCACTTGGACGATAATGGAAATTTATTTAATAAAATGCTTTTAATTATTGCACTTTTCCGTTGAAGCTTTACATCATTTCATAATGGATTTTATATTTTTTTTCCACTTCTGTTTAAAATTGTTGTAAGCGAACAGTGGACACATGTTTAATGTATTTAATTTAAAAAGAGACTGAAATTATATTTATGGTCGTCGTCAATGAGAAAAAAGGAAGGAAAGAGTCGCAAATATTCGATGCAAAAACGTTGCATAATAAATTCCTCGATTTAATTCAATTAATCACTTCAAACAACTTTAATTGAATTTAATGTTCAAACGAAGGACAAACTCACCGATTTCTGGTTTCATCCTCTATGGGAAGAGTCGTTGTTGTCGTTGATGTACGAACGGGAGCATAATCTGGAATATGATTGCCTTTTCCTCGATGATTTGTTCTCCAAAGCGTTCCAGATGGATCAAGCCAATATCCATCGCCATCGGGCATGTTCGGAATTTTTACAGCGCCGCCAGCCGTTGGACCTTTTCAGATTAAACGAGAAAAGCATTCCAAAGCTTTATTAAATATTGAAATAAAATTATCTTCATCCCTCTTCACATTCAAACTTCCACACAAAACCATCATTATCATCATCATCATCATTGCTATGCAAAATTTGTAAGCTGAAGACTTATATGCGGTAGCAAAGTAAAATCAACAAGTTTACTCAACAAACATTCTCAAAATGCACTGTGAAAAGCCGAGGAAAAATGAAAATTTATTTACTTTACTTTCATTCGAGAAAAGCGAGAAGTTGATAGCATGGTTTGAGAAAAAATCAATATTTGCACTCGAATCATACGAGTAAATGCAAAGAAAGAAAATTTGTTGATATTTGATGTTCGGAAAAATGGGAGATGAATATTCATGGCATGGAAAAGTCGGTCAATCATTTTCTCGTAAAATTTCTCTTCGTAAAATGAACATCAAATTCGGATAATTTATAAAAGATTTTCTTTTATTTACCTGCGAGACCATTGAATGGAGATTGCTTCATGATTATGTGCTTTCGTTTTATGTAAACCATGACGCTGAATGAGAGCATCATAATGACGAGAATTGTGCCCAGGAGAATGATGAACCATGGTTGAGTTAAGAAGTCATTCATGTGTTCATTGTGGAGTGGGAAGCGATACGTGAACGAAGTGTCAAGCTTCTTTGTAACAGGATCAAGTCGCATTATAATTGGCGCTCCATAAGGCCCCAAGCCAACATCAGTCATAGCAGCAACACTCACAGTATAAGTGACACCCTCGGTTAAATTCGCCAACATAATTGATGAACTCGTCGAGTCAATCGTAATGTTCGTTAGCACTTTCGAAACGTTCTCATAAATATTCACGCCACGCACAATCACGTTGTATGACTTTAAGATTCCATTGTGATGTTTGACAGCTGGAGCCTTCCATTTAACGTAGACCGTCGAAGTGTTCAATAATTTCGCTTCCATGCTGAATGGAGCTTCAGTTGGAACTGTTTGAAGATTGAAATTATGTAAAGAATGAAAAAAGAAGAATAATCAAATTAAACTCACCATCTTCGAGTGTTCGAGCGATTCTTGAGTTTGATGGTTTCCCTTCAACCACTTTGTAGAAAGGCACAACGAAAAATTCATACGTGGTGAATTTTTCTAATCCGCTAATTTTGCATGATGAAGCTCCACTGCCAGCATTAAGAACTGTCAGCATTTTATATGATGGTTGTTCGTTTTCTGATGTGGTATCAAGAACATTTCGAGCGTAGATGTAAAATCCCTCCACGTATTTTCCGTTTATAATCTGCAGGAAGCAGCAGAAAAAATATCATGAATAAAAAAAATTTAAATTTCGTGACTAAAATGGTAAAAAAAAAAAGATTTTTTTCCTCATTTTTTTTAGCTCACCTCCCACAATAATTTCATACTTGTTGAGTCAACAGATGTGGCATTAATTAGCTCAACAACATCGCCCGACAGCAAACTGGCTCGTGCTTCACTTAAATCCAAATCAGAATTTAATTCATCCTGCGAATTAAACATTCTCAGTTATTAAATCAATTTTGAATGTTTTTCTCTTTTGTTTTATTAATTTATATGAATTTGGAATCGAAATGAAGCTCATGCATAAGGCAGTAAATTATTGTTTTGGTGGAAAATTAAAGATGTTGAGAAAACATATCAAAAGCTTTTCTTATCAGCGTCAACAGGAAGCTTGGCAACGAATAACAAAAGCTTTACACTCATTAACCCTCCTCACACTTAATTCTCAAACCATTCTTCATTATCATCGTTATGCAATGTGACATAAACTAATAAAGAAAAAAAATTCCACTCAATATTTCAGAGAATGTTTGAGGGAAATTGAAACAATTTTCCATCGATTAGATGGATAATGAAAATTCTCTTGATTCTTCTTTTTGTTTTCAAAACGCTGTGATTTTCTATCCACCCCCACAATGAAATGATCTCACAATCTCCCCATTTCCCTTTGTTTCCTCACTTAAATGAATGAGATTCCATTCCTTTCAATTTTGCTGGAAAATTGTTACAATTAATAATATGATTTAATCAAATTACAGTTATTTGAGACAGCATTGAGATGACAAAGGCGGATGATTCACAATTAAGCTTGACGGCTGTGAAAAGACTGAAATGCTTTTGACGAGAATGATAATGAAAAGCGAAAATGTTTTCCCCCCTTGGAACCTTTGGAAAGCATTTTCCCATTGTTCAATGGACATCTTTTGTTTCTTTGGATCCCTTTGTGGCTCGAGGAAGATTTTCCTTTTATTTTCATAACAAATTGTTCTCCTTTCAAATCCCCGAATTTGAAGTTGAACAAGAAATGCAAGAACACAGAAAAATGACCATGAAAAGGGAGATGGAAAAGACTTTATTGGGAAGAAAAGCAGATGATGAGGCAGAAAAATTCTTTATGGCCAAACTTGTCATAGACAAAGACGAAAATGAATGATAAATGAAGATTTTCGTGGGTTTTATGAAGTGGACACATCCGGAAGTGTCGTCAATGATGTTTAGTAATTGAAATTACAAAAATTTCTCTCGTAGTGATTTATGTAAGAAATGAATTTCATTTTATTTTTAAACATAAGCACCAGAGAGTAATAAACACCAAAATATATGAAGAAAAGAAAAGATTTTCGTCTTACCACCAGTGATGGAAATGTTTTGTGACTTAAAGTCTTTCTTACGCGATTTGAAGTGTCAGTGACTTGAGGATTTGAGGTAATTTTTATCATAAACATTATCAATAGATTTTTTTTTCAAATTCATTCCTTCTCAACACAAAAATAATTCTAAAACATCTCAAGTTGATTAAGATTGTTTTCAATTCCAAAAACAGATGAAAGCCACCAGAAAATTTTCTTCACAAAAGTATCAAAATGTTTACAATTTTAATTTGCAACTTGTGTTGAATTTAACTCTTCGTCATTCGAACGCAAATTGAAATTTTCTGATGACGTGGAACTTGAAGATTCCAAATCATTTGTGAAAGAAACAACATTGCTTACCACTCCTATCGTAATTGGTTCCGACAATTGGCTCGGTCCTGACATGCCATGAGAATTTTCAGCACGTACAGCAAAGTAATAAGATACACCGTTCGATAATCCGATAATTTTATAGGTTGTGTTTTGTATTCGATTAGCAACTTGTTCCCATCCTTCTGTTGAATTCCTTCCAAACATTTCCACAGAATAACCCAACAAACTGGAAGCTCCAATTGCATTGCTTCGAACCCACGATAATGTAACGCTATTGTCAGTCTTTTCGATTATTTGCGGTTTTCCTGTTTCCGTGCGAAAAACATGAAATGAAAATTAAAGAAAATTTCTTTTCAACTTTTCACATCGAACGAGTTTTCCTTGTTAGATGTAACGATTGTTAGAGGATGGATGAAAAAGCTTTCCAAACTTGAGAAAACCAAAGAATAAGTTTAAGGATGACTTCGGAAATGAAATGAGAAGCATTCAAGATGTTTGACTTGTAGCTCTTGTTGAAATAAAACATGAAACTATCTTCAAAATAAACTTTCAAAAATTTTCCTTTTAGGAATTAAAATTCAGAAATTTTCCATGTTAATCTTTTTTACTCATATGAACCTTTGTTAAAACAATATTTAGTCAGCTTTTCAAGCTACTTAACTCATGTTTTGAAACATTGATTTTTCAACAAAAAAATATAAAACCTTCAAAAGAAAAACTTGAGGAAAAACAACAAAAAAACTTCTTCTGTGTTGTGTAATTAACGAGAAAGGAAAAAAAAGTTTCACGTGTAATTTCATTTCTTCTTCCTTTTCCCGTCTTATTCAGCTGTCTCGAAGCTTTCTTCATCCTTCTTACAACATCGAGATCTATTTTTATGTAATTCGAGTTTTTTTTTTCATTTCTTTAGGGTGAACAATTTTTTTCCTTCTTTCTCTCTAAGTTTCTTTTTAATGGTTTGAAATATACAACAACTGAAACATAAAAACTTATGTTTGAAAAGACTACGAGAGAACAAAAACTATTTCTTTCAATTAATTACATTTTTGTCGAAGCAAAAAAATGGAAAAAGAAGAAAGGAAAGCAAAAGTTTTTGTATTTTTTTAAGGGAAATGTCAGAGAAGGAAAGTTTGTTTTGTCGATTGAATTGGCAATTTTACCTGGTTGTCCAGGGAACGTTGATGACTCTGGCGCTCGATAAAATTTGATATTTGGGTTTGTTGGGTTTTCCAACTTCAAGAAACCACTCCAAGTAGATTTTCCACTTTTACTGCTTACGACACAAGTGTACAAACCGCTGTCATCATTTTTGTTCAAATCTTTGATTGTCAAGAGGCCATTTGTGTCGATGGAGATTTTCTCTGATGTTGTCACTGGAATTCCATCTTTGTACCAACTCACGATTGGTTGTGGATTGCCAGAAACCTTGCATGGCAAAGAAGCGACAGATTTGATTGGCAAAGTTTGATTCATCGGTCCTTGAATGATTAGCGGGGGGGGGGAAGCATNATCTTCATCCCTCTTCACATTCAAACTTCCACACAAAACCATCATTATCATCATCATCATCATTGCTATGCAAAATTTGTAAGCTGAAGACTTATATGCGGTAGCAAAGTAAAATCAACAAGTTTACTCAACAAACATTCTCAAAATGCACTGTGAAAAGCCGAGGAAAAATGAAAATTTATTTACTTTACTTTCATTCGAGAAAAGCGAGAAGTTGATAGCATGGTTTGAGAAAAAATCAATATTTGCACTCGAATCATACGAGTAAATGCAAAGAAAGAAAATTTGTTGATATTTGATGTTCGGAAAAATGGGAGATGAATATTCATGGCATGGAAAAGTCGGTCAATCATTTTCTCGTAAAATTTCTCTTCGTAAAATGAACATCAAATTCGGATAATTTATAAAAGATTTTCTTTTATTTACCTGCGAGACCATTGAATGGAGATTGCTTCATGATTATGTGCTTTCGTTTTATGTAAACCATGACGCTGAATGAGAGCATCATAATGACGAGAATTGTGCCCAGGAGAATAATGAACCATGGTTGAGTTAAGAAGTCGTCCATGTGTTCATTGTTAAGTGGGAAGCGATACGTGAACGAAGTGTCAAGCTTCTTTGTAACAGGATCGAGTCTCAGAATCGCTGGTTGACTGTAAGGTCCAAATCCAATTCGATTAACAGCAGCAACACTCACAGTATAAGTGACACCCTCGGTTAAATTCGCCAACATAATTGATGAACTCGTCGAGTCAATCGTAATGTTCGTTAGCACTTTCGAAACGTTCTCATAAATATTCACGCCACGCACAATCACGTTGTATGACTTTAAGATTCCATTGTGATGTTTGACAGCTGGAGCCTTCCATTTAACGTAGACCGTCGAAGTGTTCAATAATTTCGCTTCCATGCTGAATGGAGCTTCAGTTGGAACTGTTTGAAGATTGAAATTATGTAAAGAATGAAAAAAGAAGAATAATCAAATTAAACTCACCATCTTCGAGTGTTCGAGCGATTCTTGAGTTTGATGGTTTCCCTTCAACCACTTTGTAGAAAGGCACAACGAAAAATTCATACGTGGTGAATTTTTCTAATCCGCTAATTTTGCATGATGAAGCTCCACTGCCAGCATTAAGAACTGTCAGCATTTTATATGATGGTTGTTCGTTTTCATCAATATTTCGAGCGTAAATATAAAATCCTTCCACGTATCTTCCATTTATGATCTGTTTATTAAAATCATCGTTTAGCTTAAATTTAAATTTAAATATTTTATGTTAACTTACATCCCATGACAACTTTGTACTTGTCGAGTCAAACGATGTAGCATTCGTTAATTCGATGACATCGCCTGATAACAAACTCGCTCGTGCTTCACTCAAATCCAAACTTGAACCAGAATCATCCTATTATAATTAAATCAAAGAGAAGGAAGAAATAAAAGTTTAATTCAATGTTGTGCATTCGAATAATTGTTTTAAATTACCACGCCTATTGTTACGGGTTCGGATAATTGACTTGGTCCCGACACGCCATGAGAATTTTCAGCACGTACAGCAAAGTAATAAGGAACACCGTAAGACAATCCGATAATTTCATAAGTCGTGTCTTTCACTCGATTGGCAACTTGAACCCAGCCTTCTGTTGAGTTCCGACCAAACATTTCAATGGTGTAGCCAATTAAACTCGATGAACCCATCGCATTGCTTTTGATCCATTGAAGAGTGACGCTGTTCTCAGTTTTGTCGATAATTATCGGCCTTCCTGGTGTTCCAGGGAATGTTGTTGACTCTGGCGCCCGATAAAATTTGATATTTGGGTTTGTTGGATTCTCCAACTTCAAGAAACCACTCCAAGTAGATTTTCCACTTTTACTGCTTACGACACAAGTGTACAAACCGCTGTCATCATTTTTGTTCAAATCTTTGATTGTCAAGAGACCGTTTGTGTCGATGGAGATTTTCTCTGATGTTGTCACTGGAATTCCATCTTTGTACCAACTCACGATTGGTTGTGGATTGCCAGAAACCTTGCATGGCAAAGAAGCGACAGATTTGATTGGCAAAGTTTGATTCATCGGCCCTTGAATGATTAGCGGGGGTGGTGAATCATCTTGGAGATTAACAGAAAGCACGACACGAGTACTGACACTGCCAACACTGTTCACAGCACTACAAACGACAACTTTTCCATTGTCAGCTCTGTCAATCTCATCAATTGATAAAATACTTCCGCCATCAGCTGTTGATGATGCTTCAACGTTCTTCATTCTCGTTCCTGGCAAAATCAGAGATCGATTGCCTTCAATTGTCCAAAACAATGTTGGTTCTGGATAACCATTTGCTTGACACTCGAAAATCACTTCAGATCCGAGCTCAGCAATTTGTGATTTCGGTCGAATGACGAAAGTCGGTGGAGCTGTTGGAAATTTTTTAGAATTATGAAATTGAACGAATGAATTATGCAAGCGACACTTACAATGAACAAGAAGTGTTCCAGATGCCACAATTGTCCCAACAGCATTATCAGCTTCACAACTATACTCGCCAATGTCATCCATTGTTATGTCATCAATTTTCAAGCTTCGATCTTCCAGAATATGAACACGACCTGCATCGGAAGATTAAATCATTAAATTTATGATAATTCGAAATTTATCACAAACATGCATGACTTTAATTAAACTTAACTAATTATATAAATGATTTGACTATGACATGAATAACAAGAATTTAGTAGCATAAAATTTATCGCATGGTTTTGAAGTCACCGAGAGTTTCTTCAATCTTGATCCCAGTTGGAAATTTACAGTTACAAGATTCATTACGTTAGCACTAATCGAGTTGAAAATTATTGCCTTATGGGCGTGTTTTCAATGCACATTTTCATTTAAACAATAAGTGCATGTTCTCGTAAATATAATGTCGTTCATGAACGATTTGCATACAATTGAAAGTCGGCCATTGATGTAGTTGTTGTTATTGAAACATAATTAAATCAGATTCATGTAAAAAGTATTCATTTACGATAGAAATTTAGCTCACCTAAAGGCATATTTCCACCTGACGCTGTCCGCCTCCAAAGAACGTCGGGTAAAGGTTCGCCACCCACGCGACATTGGAACACAACGGAATTGCCAGTGACTGCAGTTTGATTTTGAGGGCCTCGAATCAGAAACGGTTTTACTGTTTGGTGAGAAATTCACAACAATATGAAAGGTTTTTATCTTAAGAATTTAATTTATAATCTCACCGTGAACTTTTAAATAAGCAACATCGGATTCTCTTACGCCGACAATGTTTTTAGCGATGCACTGATAACGTCCATCGTCTGATTGTCGAGCTTCTTGTATCACTAAATTACCGCCGTCGACAATGCGAATTCTGTAAATGGAAAGCACATTGAATTTATTATTTCATTCTTATTCATTCTTTCTATCGAATGAAACATAAAAACATTCCAAGTAAAATCTTCTTATCTAAATTGATTTCATTATAAACTAAGAAGGGCCAACATAAGAATACAAAGAAACTAAGAACATTTTTTTTCTACCTTTTGGAATTCGACAAGTCCATTGTTTGTCCATTTTTTCGCCAAGTCACAATTGGTTCGGGTGATCCTTTTGGTGGACCACATTCCAACATTACAGTTTCGCCTTGTGCGACTCGAGTATTTTGTGGATCGAGACGAAACTCATCACGAAGAACTGGAAGAAGAAAAATGAGAAAATTCATCGAATAAGTTCTTCTTGTTATCAAATTATGAATAACAATGAAAACACAATGAAATGAAATTATGTTTATAAATCACGAATATCTTCATCGCTATTTATCAGACTTTTATTCAATTTTCAGAAGGAAAATGAGGCAAACACGTCAAGCTTCGTAGTATTTTCATTCATACTTTTCACTGGGAGGAAATTTCTTATTATATTTCATTATGTTTTGTAAATATCGATTACCACGAAGCTTTCGAGTATTGCGGAAAAATAAATGAAAGCAGGAAGGAAAAGAAAGAAAATTTGTTGAGATATAATTTGATAATAATCCATTTTCTGTCTTGTTAAAAGCAATGAGTTCGCTTTCCTTTTTTCCGCCTTCTTTCAATGCTTCTCCATACTCTTTTTTTGCGAAAAGATTTATTTACGGAGAGAAAGAAAGAAGTTTCGCTTTCTTAAAGATCGAGACGAGAGAATTGCCTTGTATTGTGTTGATTCAACCAACCATCAAATCAATGTTGTTGTTATTATTATTTTTATTATTGATAGAGAAGTAAAATGAATGAAACCACATACTTTCTAAAAATAATCTATGCATTGATTGATTGTGGCTTATCTATGATGAATACGGATCATAAATCGTTGAAGGGTCGATAACTCGTTATTATCTTCATTCACTAAAACTTCTTTTTCTATCTTCCTAAACATAGAAATTTCATTGACTGAATTAATTTTATTTCTATTAAAGTTTCATCATGACAAAAACCAGTTCAGTTCTTATTATAGAAGAACAACAAAAATTATTAAATTATTTGAAACTAAATTCAGAAAGCTTCTTTATTAAACTTTCATTTCTTGCTTAAGCTAGCGAACATAGAAATAATGCAAATAGAAATATCTTTGAGCAGTTGTGCGCATTCAGAAAAACATACTTTAACATTGTTGTAGATAAAGTGAAACAATTTTCAGTAAACGTCGAGAATCCTTAAACAAACTTAGGATTGAAGTAAGTCTCATGAGATTCATGATGTTGTTAGCATTTCATTTTTGTAATCTGCCAGAATAAAGACGCTCATACAAGTTTATTACTTGCGTTTGACTTCGAAGGATGAAGTTTTAAATTAAAATGTTTTAATTCTCTCAAACCCTTATGTAAAGCTAACAGTTTCATGAATGTTTGTTTATTTATGTGGAGCAAATACAAAATATTGTTTGAAAAATTAAATTCTAGAGGAAATTTTAATTCAAAACTTTTACTTTTCACATCTTATGTTTGTTTCTTTATTATTATTTGTTGCCATAGAGAATTTATGAAATTAAATTAAACGAATGCAGACGTTTATTAATATTAGCAATCATTAAGTTTTGTAATAATTGTAGAGTTGAAGAATGACATCAGATTTCTGTTTTGCTTGCCTTCTTCTGCCATAAAGTTAAAGCGCTTTTGTGGTTTAAATTCTGCGCGTTTGTCTTTTGTCTTAAATTACGAAAGATTTTTCTTCTTTTTCTTCTCGTTTTATACTTCACCGCAACAAGAATTTATTGCTGCCTGCTCTCAGGCTTTCTTAAGGTTAAAATCCTAATTAAATTACACGAGTCAGTGAACGCAAACATATGTGAATTTATTGTGATTGCTGGATAGAGATGTGAGACGTCAGATATGAGTAAAACGAACTGAAACGTTTATGATAATCGTTATCAAACACCACGTAAAAGATGCGCATTGCTTGGAGTTATTGAAAGTATTTATGTATGATTTGCCGTTTCCATAAAATAAAATCTGAAAGATTAATCCCATGGAGAGATTAAGATGTATCATTCTAGTTAATTCCCTCAAGTACCTGCCGCATTTATTAGATTATTCCCAACCTTCGCTTGTTCATCAACACCCAAAATCAACTCCCCACGTCATAGCACAACATTTAATGTCGATGCTAATCCTACGAATAATGGCATAGAAAGGGATTTCATCGTCTTATTGGTTACACTCGAGAAGTACGTGATGAAGAAAGTTAAGCTCTGAAATGTTTTCATCTTTTGTCTTTTCTTTCATTTATTATCATTTCACGAAACAAGTCATAAACTTCATAAACATTAAAGAAGATGTTCCAGCGTTAAATTGCGGAAACACCTAAACCACTTAAAAACTTTTCTGTTTTGTCTTCCCTCGACAGCAAAAAATCTTAGAAAACTCCCCAGTGATCGTAAATCCCATTGGATAACAACAACAACTTTTACCGGGCATCTTACGAGGATGCGACATGATAAAAATAACTGTCAAGAACGAAAAATCACTCGCCAACAGTCTACAACAAACAAGAAAGTATGTCAATTTTAATAAAAGTCCACCTGACGTTCTCGTCTTCAAGCGAATAAAATGTCACGTTATAAAAGTCTAATAAAAAGCCCACGCTTATCGCTAATTTTCTGTGAAAGATCTTTCAAATCGTTAAAAATTATATAAATTGGAGATGATTCTTATTCCCATCATGCTGAGTTTGCTTATACTTTTATGCATCTCTTCTCCGTTTTTGGTTCAGAAATTAATGATTTCGTTTTGACATGAACACGGTTTAGTCGTCGGTGTCATTCAATGCAATGTGATGAGAGTGAGAAATTATTATACTTAGCCATCACATCATAACATTTCTTCCTCTCCCCCTTAATAGCTTTCAAATTCCATAAAGGAATGAATTGAATGAAATGTTTTCTTCTGCTTTTAGCAAGAGCGAAGATTAAGTTTCATATGAAACTGCATTGAGTTGGAAGAGTAAGAAATAAAACTGTTTGAAATTGATTTATTGCAAGTAAAGTATTTACCTTTAACTTCGATATTACAAAAGTATTTAACGAAATCTCTCGATTCAAAGGAACTTGAATTGAATTTTTATATCACTCATGTCACATATTTCACTTAATGTTGAAGTAATATTATAGATCATTAGATTGGAAAAGGTTGAGCGCTGTCGACAACAGGGAAAGGAAGAATGAAAGGGAAAAAGGTCGCAAAATGTTTTCACTTCTTTTTTTATATTCGCTACGTGAACGATCATTGCAAAATGTTTAAGGAAATAATGGGAGAGTGAAGTGATTTAGAACCTACCGGCAACTTGTAATGTAGCATTACGACTTCTTGCTGTTCCTAGCTCGTTTTTTGCTTCACACCAATAAACACCAGCGTCACTTTCGCGACGTGAATGAACCACTTTCAGGAAGAATAAATCGCCAGATGGAAGGAACATTTGATGTCCCGTCCCAATTTTAAGCGCTTGACCATCTTTGTACCATGAAATTGTTGGTGTTGGAACACCTTCGGCTTTGCAATTTAACGTGACTGGATCGTGTTTTGGCACAACAGCGTCTAATGGATGCTCCACTATCTTTGGAAGTTCAGAACCTGCAATTGAAAAGTTTAACAAAATTATTAGAAAATGTTGATAATCAATAAACCTTGAAAGTTCTTTCCAAGCTGTTCTTATTTTATTTAAAGAAGTTTAAAACTTTTATCAGTTTTTTACGAGAAGAAATAAAGCAAAATTTGATGAAAAACTTTTCGATGGAATCTCATAATGCGAAAAATCGTTCAACTTGTTTGTATCAAAAAATTTTTTGATAACGGATCAGATACTTGAGAAGATTTTTAATGTTGTAGGAACATGTGTTGAAAGCTGCAACTAAATACAAATATGAATAAAAATATTTATGAGGAAGTTTGAGACGGGAATAAAGGCGAACTTGAATCCCATCTTTGAACCTGAAGGTTTAAAAATAAACTTTAAAGAGAAGCCAATCTCGTTTTATATTTCACTTGAAGGCTGATCAAGTTTCATTGCGTTTCATCGGTTCAAAGATGATTAAAGAGAACTATAAATTTTATTTTTTTTCATCTATTTAAGCTCCATTGAGAAGGTTATCGTTCAACTTATTCTCAAACACTTTAAATTGATTTAATTTCTTATTTTTTTGTAGGGCAAACGAACATTTTTATTGTTGAGATAATTTCTAACAATTTATGAGAAGTGAAAAGTCTTGTGCGGATAATTTCGGAAACGGAAAAATGTTTTCCTGCGAAATCGCATGTTTGACATTCATATCTTGCTTTTACGAAAAATTCAAAGTGAATAATATGTTAATTTTAGTTAAAATGTCTTATAACGAGAATAATAAAGAAGTTTAAAGTTTCTTATTCTTGCTTTTTACAAATTTATTTCAAACGACGAAAATTCTACATTCCGGTGTTATTTGTTTCTATTGTTTTAAGCTTGACATAACTTTTATTTATAAAAGGGACAAAAATGAACAAGAAAACTTCCATGGTGCAGTAGAGTGCTAAGCATTTTCCCAAAAGGGCAATAACGATAAATTTTCTGGTTATTTATTTGACCTGAAAATGATTTTAATTTCTTATTTTTAGGATAAATTATTTCAAGATTTTTTCTCTCATTTGCCGTTCACAAGAGAAAGTCCAAACTAAGAAAAAAAGAAGAAGGAAATTTATATTCGTTTAGATTCAATTAAGATTCGCTTCCGAAGATTATCGGAAATTCTTTTAGTAAATGGAAAGATTTTGTCGTAAAAAAAGTCAAGCAATGAAGCATTAAATGCTTATCTTGATGCCCTGAACTTTCTCTCACCAAAACTGTGCAAAAATATTCGAAATCTGATTCTGATGATATTTCTGTTTCTGTTTCTGTCCTCTCCCCGCCCTGGTCGACAACGACAATCAGAAATTGGACCATATCGAGTCCATCAGATCAAATTTCAATTGCTGAGGTTTTGTGTTATTGAGAATCATCGTCCCCCGAAACAACATTTCACTCTCGCATTTCAGCCTCTCACAAACAATTATGTTTGGTAATTCAATCTGAAATTCCTGTTTAGATCATGTCATCTTGTGACCATTGCTAGTAATTTTATTTTTTATTCCTTTTTGCGTTGCTACTCTCATTGTACTTTCCGAAAATTCTCGCATTCTTCTACCGGAAAAGATTACAGAAGATTCCGTTCTTATATGTGATGTCAAGGATGTTTATGAGGAATATAAATGTTTTATTTCTTCATTCACATCAGCCAGACTCTTTCAATGAAATATGATATTTTGTTCATCATGAGTCTAATTAACGTCAAATACTTCTCTAGTCGCGTTTGTATTTCAATTTCGTTGAAAAACTTCTCAAAAACCTTTTGACATTACATTAGCTGTTGGTCGTCGTCCTCTTGCATCAAATGAAGAGATTTCTCTTCTTACACATGCTTTTCTGGTATGATATGCCTTATTAATTTTTATTTCCCTTCTTCTCTCTGAATGCGGACATTTCATGATACAAAAAAATTCACTCAACATTAATTGAAATCAAACTGAAAACAGAAACATGAAGTGAATGTCTTGATATTTTAATAGCAACCACCTAGAGGCCTAATAGATTCAATATTTGCGATATTATATTCGTTTTATAACAGCTTAATGGAATAAAGAATAAATAAAATTAATGTTACTTTGTGGTGTGTGCAAATGGAAAAAGAAATAACATAAAAATTGTTGGAGTTGGAGAATTTGTTTCGTTCTTTTCCCTTGATATTTGATCAATAAAATGAACCATTAAATTTAATTTATTCCAATAAATGCCAAACAAATCGGTGCTCTCGAAAAAAAAAAGTTAGCAATGAGAAAAAGCAGACGCATCAAGAATATTGACGATATTTCTGCTTTCATAAATATTTCGATACCCGACTGATAAGACTCTCATTACTCTATCTAAAAATGGATGTTTTATAAATATTTTTGCATGCATATTGTTCAAAGTTATGCATTTGGAAGAACCAGACGACAGTCAATTACCATAGGACGACAATAAACTCGACATGACTAAAAGAACTGAGGGAATATTAATGAAAGAAATGCGGTAATGTAAACATGGAAAGAAAGAATTCAATGAATTCTGTTTACGAGGTATCTCCATCTCTGAAAAAGTCAACAGTTGAGAAGATTATTGTGCTTGGTGACGGACGGGTTCTTGACTGCTTGTTTTGTGACCGATGTCTACATCTGAAAATGTTTAATATGTCACTCGCTTTTGTGTATGTTTGAAAAAACACGAAATGAAAATGCGAAGGAATTTCAAACATAGAAAAGAATGACAAAAAAAACTCTTAATTTTGCTTCCTTAAATATAAAAGCAATAGCGAATGTACAGAGTGTTTCTCTGATTAAAATTCTCATCAAAAGGCGGCCATCTAACATCGGCTGTATTTACTTTTTTAATGAAGTTTACACAAGAATTTGCAATGGTCACCCGCAAGCGAATCCCTTGAACGCAACATAATAACAAGGGATGAGAAATTAATTATCATGCGTTGGAATGCTTGCTTGAGTTTCAAACCACACATGTGAATCCCTTTCTGTCTCCCTCACAAATGAAAAACAACTCAAGCACTGTTACTCGAGAGGAAAAATTCCTGTGGTTGAATTGAACAGAAAAAAAGCAAAAGAAAAGGTATAATTGACCTCATTAAATTTTCATGATCATTTCAAAGGATTTCGAGTCGAGTGGAAAGAAATGAAAAAAAAAAGTTCATGAGAAGCAACACACAAAACAAACGTTGATGTATTAAATGAAATGTTGATTTAACAGATGAATAATTTTTTATTATGTCGACAATGTATGGCAGCATTGCTTAGCTTGTTGAATGTTATCCGATGTTTCTACTTTTTAAGCTGCTTCTGCTTCTCATACTGCCATGAATATCATCAGAAATAATATTTGAAGACATATTTTAACATTAATTTGAATCGACAATATTCTTTCTCTAATTTCGTGTTATTAAAGTCAATAACATTACATCTTCATATGATTAACTTCTGTTGAACCTAAATTTGTATAATAATGCTTCTGAATTTCTGAATACAAAGTAACTAACTACTTAGTTGTCAAAGAGATAAGTAAATAATTGTTGTAACTTTAGCTTATTGACTTATGCTTTTGACTGCTAAAAGTGATGAGAATTTTCTTTCCTTCTTTCACAAAATAATGAAAATAAAAAAAGTTTCTTAAATGAAGTCTTCATCAACACCAAAGAAGAAACAAAACAAAAAGTTTCAAGTGTCTTCTCTACGATTTTGACGTGAGCAAAATGATATAACGAGGCTTCGTTTTAATTATCATCTCGAGAGGCTTCTTTCTCGGTTTTTGTTTTCAACTCAAATGGCCGTTAAAGATATTCAACAAGTTGAAATGAAAATATTTGATTTTTCTAGTTCGCTCATTTCTAGTGCTTCAATAAATAAATTGACCGAAAGGCAGATATCTTAAAACGACTTTAGGCTAAGGTTTTTTTTCTCAAATTGTTTGTCCAAACTCGAAAGTCAATAAAACAAGAAGAAAGAAAACTTTTCTCGTTTCTAAGATGTTGTGCTTGAGTTGATTCTCGATAATTAAACATCGTTAAGAGTAAGACAAGACAAAAGCCTTTTTCTCTATCTCCGTAATTGATGAGTGTTTTGTGGTCTAGAAAACGAGTTTGCTTTAAAGTATATTTGAGTTTAAATGATAATTATTTCGAGTTAAAAGTAACACAACACATTGAATATGTAAACAAAAGATTTTTTATGAAAAATTTCAAGTTATGAAAGATCAAACAGAAACGGGATATTTTTATGAGCATCTCATGCCACCCAATTTATCGTCACTGCTTTACTTCTTCTGATCTCTTTCTCAACAGGGACAAAAAAATTCTTTCAAACACGACAGGGATGTTTGGTTTGTAATTAAATATTCTTTCATGTTGTTTAAATGCCATCCAAATATTCCCATACCCAATCAATGTCATGTTGGTTTAGGACGATGCAACGTTTTTGTTTGAGTAGAATTCTTCGAAAAAAAAAAGATTGCAAAATCATCTTTGATTGTAAACTTACCGAAAGTATTTTGAAGACGAAAGGAAAGCAGCAGGAAGCAAAGCGAGTAAATTTTATTGAATTTTTGATGCATTTTAGCAAACATTTAACCCATTTGGAAATTGTCTTCTCATTTCACCACTCAATTTAAGTTTAGTCAAAATCAGTCACAACACTCACAAAGTATCACTTGACTCATCCGAAGAAGCGACAGCAATTTGTTTATTGTTTTAATGTCTTCAATCGCTACAATATTTTTATGTCTTTCAATCTAAATTGTGATGCGCGTTTTTCTCGCTGACACTCGCCTCAAGTGTTTGTTTTCACAAATCAACAAAAGCCTGGTCGTCGTTTGAAGTGAGTTTTCCTTTTGAAAAATTTTCTCACAACTTGACTTTTTCTTTCACAAAGTGATTTCAAGCCGCGTCAATGACAATAACAAATTAACGAAGAGTTTATTTAATATCACACAATTTGTTTTTCGCACCGATGAGAGCGCTTTTTGTTTTCAAAAAACCAAATGTTTTTATAATGTATTAATAACCCTTTTCTGATGTGTGTTTGAAAACAAATTTAAGTTAATCATCAAAGTGAATGAAGTGAAGAGAAACTTTTCGTTTGATTCATGATTGCACTGTTGAGAGTTATTTGGGGTCAAGAGAATACAAATTGAACATGAAACTGATAAATTTATTTCTCCTTTCCCTCGTTAATTATCCAATTAGCATTGACGACGATGTTGATAAATTTTCGGAATTTATTTCTTCTTCTTTGCAAGTGAAACTAAACTTGAAAATTAACAGCACTTAAAAATAAATCAACACTCGACAATTCATCAACGTTTCCTCTTTCCGAAAAAAGAACAAAAATAATAAAACGATTTTCCCAACAATGTTGATGAAAAGCGGATCGTTTTCCGTCGACAGTTCTCGACTGACTGAAATGAAACTCTTCCGATGTAAACTGAAACGGAATGGAAATTATTTTCAATGAGAATAGTCAAGAGCGACAGGAAAATGCGCAGAAGCATTAAACAGTCTGGTGAGAAGAAAGTGGGGAAAGCACGTGGCAGTAGTGATAACAATAAAAGAATGAAATAAAACAAGAGAGAATTGAAATCGAAAGTAATTATTTGAGCTTGCGACATGATAAGGCAAAAGAAATCAACAGCTTCATGTTTTCATTAAAATGCGATCTTTTGTGACTCTTTGTGTACACTCTTAATTGATTAATTGCTTGTTCGGCAGCATTCTATCGATTTTCTCCGCCAGCACAATAAAAGTAAGAAAAGAGAATTGAATAAGAAGCAAATTAATGATGCTTCGATTCCGGGTCAAGTGGCATTGGCTTTGATATGAAAATTTTTTTCTTTCTTTTTCCCTTTTATGCTTTCAACGAATCTCAATGATTGTAATTCACAAATTGTCAATTTCAGATTCCACTTGATGTTTCTCTCTCCTGCGGGCCTTTGATTAATGTTAACTTTTCTCGCTAGATTTTCACATCGATTTTCCAATCTTCACCGACGATTTATTGATGATTCTCTTTAAAAATCAATGGAAGTGAATATAAAAATACTGCCATGAAGAGATATAAATTGATGTTGTAAAATAACATTCGAGCTTTGAAATTTATTGTTTGGTGGAAATCGAAAATACTTCTTCCTGTTGTTTTTCCTCAAAATTGGCTTCCTTCAAAATGTATTATGTGGTTAAGTGAGTTAGTGTGGGTGGAGTTGGGGGAAGCGTAAGCGAAAACTTGAAAACTAAGGGTGCATAAGACATATTCTGAGTTCAATTGATCGTAAGATAGGGACGATAAAGAGGTTTTACTTCCATTCATTCTCGTTTTGCGTGTACTACGACGTTCGAGGCTTTCACTCACATAAAGTCCCAAAATTTGTACAAAGTCATCAAAAAAATTTTTTTCTTTCCTTTCCATTGAAAACAGGAGGGAGCTGAAGCAAATGATGAAGTACACAGTCAACTGATTCTTATCTAATGGCAAGAACGAAAACCCTTTTTATGTTGAACGAAATTTTATTATCAATCTGCGGACGCAAATTTGACTTCGCTCGCTATCACCGCAACGATGTCTTTGAGAATATGGGATGCAAGATGAAGATTTGATTGACGTGATTAGATGAAAATTGGCATTGTTAAAGCGTGGAAGTATCCTTGAAATAAGTCAAGAGAAAAGGTTGCTTTACAATGACTTTAAGTTTTCTTTAAGAACAACTTCAGGTTGGTAAATTATTCCTGATGACTTCATGATGTTGTTTAACTTCAGGTATCGGAAGATAAAGTATTAGAATGTGGGATTATGTTTTTGCTTACTTGGTTATCTTTAAATTGTAGTTTTCTCTGTTTTTGGATATGAATCAAACCTCATACGGTGCAGGTCTTCCAGCATTTATTAAGGAAAGTTTTGCTTTTGAATTCGAGGGAACTGTGAAAGCAATTTAGCCGTACTTAAGAACTTTGCTGATGCTTCAACTTCGCTCACTTTTATTCGGACTTTTATCGCTTTTGTGTCTTTATTGTTTGTATTTTTCTTTTTCGACTTTTGGCCAATTTTCTTTCTTTCTTCTAGTGGAAAAAAGTTTTCCTTTCACGTAAAACTATGCTGAAAATTCTTATGACTTTTCGTGGCCATAAATCTTCTCGTAAACCTTTAAATTACCTAAACTTAATGTCGCTTCGCTTGACTTGGTAAGAACTTAGTCGGCGTCATAAATGTTTCGTTTTGTTAGTTTTAGAGTGAAATCGTCTTTTTGTTGTTGACAAAATCAATTGAAAATTCATGAAAATGTTAACACAGTTTTTGAAGTGAAAAACTTGTGCAAATACTACAACGAGTCTGGATTTTATGTTGTGCAAAATTGTTATAAATGTGTTTTTGATCCTTTTTCAATCGGTGAAAAGTTTTCATCTCGTGATTTCAAACATCTCTTTAATGCTCGGATTAGCATAAAATTCATACACAAACATTTTCTCAATTTTCAGACTGATTCGAGATGATTACAGACATCAATTCGAAATGATCCGGATAAACTGTTTTAATATCATTTAATGGACTTCATGTTTGACGAAATTTAATAAAATAAATTCATCGTTTGCTGACAATAAGTCTGTTGCTTTGTACAGTCGAGATTATAATTGCTTTATTGCCTGGAAATCTGTTAAAACTCTTCGAGACAAGGAACATGAAACTGTTGAGGGAGAAAAACGACTCGCATTTCTAAGGATTCATAATTTTTATGTGGGTTGATGATATTGTCACAAAAATAGAAAAAAGAAGAACCCTTTATGAGGGCTGTTACCACTTCTATAGTTTCACATTTGTTTAAAGTTGTGTTTGAAGCTGAAAATGAAAAAGTTGTTTTATGATAAATGTGGACAAAGAAGCTATGAGTTAAGCTAATTAATAGTTTCAAGCGGAGGTAAAATGAAAATCCATTCTAATAACTTTTAAACGCTTGTTACACTCATTCGTCGTCCCCTAGCTTCAACAAAACAAAGCAAGTCCTTGTGCCATGATAAGATGCGTAATTTAAAGTCACAATACACGCAACTGTAGCAGAAATCTCGGCAGTTGTGAAGTTAACACCCATAGGCTTAAGGTTGCAACTGTCGCATTCATTTTTATCGCTATTCTCGTTTCGTTTGATATATGAAACTACATTTTATGTCATTTCGACTCGCTTCTCATTACATTGTGCGATAAAAACGAAAAGAAAAAAGTTTTTAAAATTCGATCCTTCAGATGGTAATAATTCAAAAACTAAAAACTTTAAGTCGTCTAATGGCGCTATCAATGACACACATTAACTGAATAAAAATTCTGTTTTTATGACTTTGCTTCATTATTGTCAAAAAGTAAACAGAACAAAAATCTTTACGGTAGTTGCCGACTTTAAAGTTGAAAAAGTCAATAAATCGCTTCCAGTGTTTACCTAAAGATTAATTTATGACATACGAGAAATGTCTTCAAAGAATTATGAGGGAAACGTCGAGGTTCTTTATGCCATTGCGCAAGTTTTTAAAAAAACAAAATAAAACGAAAAATCTCCGGAATATTAAAAAATTCATCTTTCTTTTACTTTATTTCTTAGAGAGCATTAAAAGTGGAATGGGGAAACATTCATACATGTGCTGTTGTTATTATTATTGTGATGATGGCCTCCCCCAGATCAAAAAGAATAAAAAGAATAAGAAAAGAACTACATAGAAATTATGAGTAAATGTTGATTGTTTATTAGCTTTGAATTTATGGAATAATATTTACACAATGAACATCATTGAAACATGAACAGAAAATTCTCCCAAAAATGTGCGCGCTCGCTGCATTTTATGAACATTCTTTCTCTCGAATTTTTGACAATAAACAACAATGTGTTATTTTTGAATTTAAATTTCATAAAGTCTGGCAGTGTTGGATGCTTGAAAGAAACAGCAAATGTTTTAAGAAATTCGGTTAAGAACAATGAAATGAACTCATTCATTCGAAATATGTAAGAAGGGAACGTTCGAAACTTATTGTTTCTTCAAATTAGTTGAAGGACTTTCGTCCTGAAAAAACATATCGAGTGGTGTGCAGGCAGCGCACTTGAGCGCCTGTTGATGTCTGAGACGACAGAAAGGGTTGCCAAGATGAATATTTTAATTTGAAATGAGAGAAAACAAAAACATAAAAGTTTTCTGAGAATTGAGTCGAAAATTAAACATTTTCAATCGTTATTTGACCATCTTTAAGTTTAACAACTTCATAAACAAGTTGAAATGAAGAAAAACTTTTCATCATCTGTCTCGGTTATGTAGTTTGTCAAAGCATCAAAAGGAAAATGTGAACACAAAGCAAACAGACGCGCATCTTCCATATAAGTAAATATAGAAAAATATTCATGACTAAAGTGCCTCAAATATTTAATTTAAAGGCATCAACTCGAACTTCATTAATGAATTTTCACGCAAAAATGACGACGTGGTGATTTTGTTTGCGTACTGAGATGAATGAGAATTTAAAACGTTTTTTCCTTCTCTTCGTAGTGTGTTTGTTGTTTGACTTACAATTCTCGAACTCGATAGAAAATCATCACACAAATTTACAGTTTGTCGACGATGAAAGAAAACAAATTGAATATTTAAATTTTTTATCTTGCATTTACATAGATGAAGAGTTGAACTGTTGGTTTGTTGTTTTGCTCAAAGCTGTTAATGAATCATCGAGTGTTTTCCATGCAATGAATTTGAGATTTATGCTTGGAAAGTTAGTTAAAGATTTTTATGACACAAAAATATTTAATTACTTGAAAAGCAATTTACCGATCACCCGAAAGCAAATCTTTAATTGCACCTGACAGATGTAAAACCGATCAACTAAAAATTCATCACTTGAAGCGATTTTCTTGCATGTCAATTCCAGGTGCTCGCTTTGTGTCGTAAACGAAATTCCTGAGAAAAATTCTTATTGATAATTTTTCAGCCAAACACACAACTCACCGATTCTGCAGTTCAAAGAAGATTTCAAGAACGACGCATTCACATAATGGGAAAATCGTGCAGAAAATTTTACCCGAGGACTTTGGTGCAAATAAATGTAATTAATTTCATCTTTTATTTTAGATTTTTTTTCCTTGATGTAAGAATAGGAAAAAAGAAAAGCAAGTTTTTATTTATTTCAGTCAATTGACTTATAATTTAATCGACTTCTCTTAACATTTCCCGTTTCGATTCTTAATGATTCTTGTTGAAATCCAATTTAACCTGTTTTTGTTTTTCTCGCTCCATCTTTGGTATTGTCTCGAAGGGATAAACAATCTTCCCGATAACTAATAATTTCTTCCTCGAAAACCTGAATTGTGATGAATCAATATTTTACATTTCAGCAGCAGAATAATTCCAGTGCTTCGTTTATGTTTCACTCGTAATCTACTGCTTCACTCCACTTTTTTAATGTTTTTAATTGAATCGCTCTAGGGCCATCTTCATACACAGCACATTAACGTTCCCAACGTTCGAATTGGATGGATGGTGAGATCGACAAATTACACACAATGCAATACAAATTTATTCAACCGCAGACTTATGCATTTTGCTTCTTTTCAACCTTTTTTATGTAATTTACTTATCGTGATTTCAAATACTGCACATAAAATCACATTTTTCGTAGTGTTTGTTGAGATTGCAAAAAGAAATTGAATTAAATTTGCTGCCATGTTAAAATGTAAAGTAAAAGTAGGAAAAAATCTCAACCTAAATGAACCTCCTCGATTTAAATGAGATTTGATTGACGTAAAGATTTCTCGAGGAATCAAACGATTCGACAGCAATTATATTTGCATTTTCCACCCCAACATAAAACTACTTGCCCTCTTCAAAATCATTATTGACTGCCGACCACGAAATAAAGAAGGAAAAAAATCATCATTAATGGAATTGAATTTAAAAAGAGTTTTACAAGTCAGAATTGAAAGTCTAAAGCATTTATTTATTGAGATGGATTGCAGTTTATTTGAAAGTAAGCTAACGCAAATAAGCGAAGCACTTCCGAAAGTTGCAGTTTGATTGATTATTTCTTATTTCTTGCAAATTGCAGATTAATCTTCTCGCCGTGAAATTAGTCACATGAGAAGCAACATGACTAATGTAAATTCAATTTTTATCATCATCTCTTCTCAACTTTTCGTTTTACACTTTAAGACATTTGGCAGTGAGTAATGCGCTTTAAGTTTTTAATCTTTTCTGTCGACCAAATTTCCCTTCACCTCAACAACTAAAGATTTGTTTTTGCTTTAGCAAATATCTAAATATTCGACTCAAAGATAATTTTGCGGCATGGTTGAGTCATTTTTAAGTCTAAGCTCTTCTCCTTTTTTTTCTGATCATCTTATTTAGTTGTCAAATTCTGAACATTCACTGATCTTAATCTGTTTTCGAGGAACTGCTTCGTTACTAGCTGTGGTACATTTGTTAAAACAGCTTCCATTCTGGTTGTTTCTTTTTTTTGGGTTTTGCTTTCAATTTTATGCATTTTTAAGCGGAAAATATTTGTTAATTAAGCACAGAAGGTTTGATGAAGGAAAGAAACGGAAGACGATGATTATTGCTTAAATAAAAAGAATTAAAACTAAAACTTACCTAACACACTGCATAGTGTTATGGTTATCAAAAAAATATCCAATTTCAACTGCATTTTCGTGACCATTTCTTGTCGGAAAATAAATTCTTAAGTAATAAATTATTCGTTATATCTGCTTATCACTTTCCGCCATATGTCTATAAACATCAGGCGACAATCTTTAAACTTTATTCTTATCACACTGCTGTTAATATTTCACCGAACTGAGTATTCAATTTGTAGCTTAAATGATGCATTTCACGTAACGAGTCCTTTTTTTGCACGCATGTTAAACATAACGAATGCTTCTCTTACATATTACTGGGATCATGAATCACATTATGTTCAAGGATCCTTTTTTTATCAGTTTTTTGACTTCTTTTTATTTTATTTGTACGTTGCAATGCTGCTAGAAAAAGAAAAGAGAGAAAGAAAGAAACATTAGTGCCAAGGATTTCATTTATTTTCAAAGTTAACATTATTAATAGCTTTATTGGTTTTGAACACGAGACAGCTGGAAATCTATTAATTTTCATATCTGCATTTTTATGAGCACCAAAGAATGAGAAACGTGTCTGTGGCCCTAAAGTCATTACGATTATTCTTCTTCTTTTCGACTTTGGTGTTCCCCAAGCGATGCTTCGACTAATGCGCTATCCTTTATTAATATTATTTTCTCATGTCTTGTGTCCATGATGGATAATTTCATTAGCATCATAATTAATTAATATCTGAACTTTTTTCCATCTTTCAATTCTTTACGGATATCTTGAGTGCACTTAACTTTGCCTTTCAATCTATCTTAATATCGCGGGAAAAAAGTTTATCTAAAAATATTTTTCTGATCTTTACCGATAGCGATCGATAGAATTTTAATTCGTCTGTTAACATTCCTCGTGTTTTAATTTTGTAACAAATTTAAATTACGTAAGATCTCGACTTCATCTATCAAATCCATCGTTCAGATCAGTTTTATTGAAAAGTCTTCGTCGCTGTCGCACGAGATAAAATCAGGGATGGTTTCTTTGCCTTTAAGAATTGAAATAACTATTGGAAGTGAAGATAAAAGAAAACAAAAAAGAAACCTTTCGTTGTTGCTTCTCCGTAATTTTCTTATTTATTTTTTTGTTTCCTACTCAATATTGAATATCGCAGCTCTTTATTGGATTTATCTGACTTCAAAAATTATTTTTTTTACTCTCCGACACATTCAATGTTAACAAAAGTGAATTCTTCGACATCTTCTGGAACCTTTTTTACACTCCCACAGCTCTTCTGTTTGATAATAAAACTTTTTTTAAACTTCTTTTCTAAAACAACACGAACTATTCGATGATTTTACAAAGGTATTTAAATGATGATTTTTCTTCGCGACACTAATGTTCGATTGGTAGTTTCATAATTTATTTTTATTGACAACTTCACTTTATATTTGCATTCCACCCAGACAAAAGACGAATACAAATAAATATGTCACTGAACAATGCGTCCCAACAAAAATATTTAAATTGATATCATAAATAATCCAAAGTGGTGATTTCAATTTAAACGAATACTCGCGAGTGTTACTTTGAGGAAAAGAAAAACGAATTACATCGTCTTGAGACGTTTTGTGGTTTCGAAACCAATTTTAAATTTTCTTTCGTATTTTCCATAAGATATTTACCAGCAAGTAAATATGTTAAAATGTAAAATTATTTCTAAAAGCTATATGCGTTTATTTGGAGAAAAAAATGTCAAATTGAAAGCATACAAAATAAGAAAGAACAGAATGACAAAATATTTGTTTTAAAGTGCTGGAGCTCGTTGAAAAAGGAGAAAACAAACATAAGAACTACACTCTCAATTGCACTTTACTGACTTTACGACTCTGACTAAGAATATCTAGCTGTCAAGTTTAGAAAATATGCATTGTTATTTATACACTTGAAAATATCTTCGTTGTTCTCGCGTTGCCTTCGCTAAGAGTTTTGTCTCCATCTTCAACAGCATGCCATGAAGATTCATCTTGGTGCATCGTGCACCATAAAGAACGCGAAAGTCTAGAAATTAAGATCGCTTAACTTTTATAAATAGAATAAAATTTTTCGCGACACACACGGAGAGACTAATGGGAACTCATTTTGCTAATTTACTGTATCACATAAATTTAAAAGCTTTGAACAAATGTTGTCGCTAAACGTTTCGTCTTTTATCAAAATCATTTACATACTTTTTAAATATTTTCTTAGAATGAAGATATTCTTAATTTAAATTGAATAATTCAGATGTCATTACCAAATAATTTAACGCAGATTAAGTGATGTTCTTTGAATTATTTTTAATTTGACCAAATCTTCTTACTTTCGTTACTTTGATTTCTTTATGCTAATTGGTTAAATATCATATTGTAATCAAAGAAAAAAGTACCAATACTGGTAATAATAAACACTTCTATCTATCAAATATTTGGCACATTTTTCATTTAATTATTTTTAGCTCAGAAGTATTCAAAAATTCTCGTAATCACGTATTTTATATTTTTTTCGCAAAGAACTTCAGCATAAGTCTACATCGAAATATTGTCGCGATTAAACTAAATCGAAAAATATTTTAACAACAAAGTGGAATGGATAAAAATGCGAAATAAGAGAGAGAAATGAAATTTCTCGTGGAACGTTTTGGAAAATGAAATATGAAACAAGAAGGATGTTTCAATGTTGTAAAGCATTGTTTCAATGTTTTCAACATATCGCTAGAAACATTGTTACCGATTTAGGATGAAATTTGAAAAATACCATTTGGGGGATACCAAGGGGAGAAAAATTCATCAGTTTTATTCTATTATTGACATGTTTCTAAGAATATTGTGTTTTACAAAAGAAATCACTGATTAATGCGTAAGTAATAAACGCTCGAAACATTTATTTTCGTGAAGCAGTAATTTTATTGCTTTATTTTTATACGAATCTTATCTCGGAATTTAGAGTAGCTGATGACTCTCATTTTTCAATGGAGATCTTCGGTGACAGTAATCATTGAAGTACTTTTAAAAATGATCCTAGTGTTGAAATATTTAGAATGATAATTCATATATTTGGACAATGTGAAACATTTTCCAATGCATTTGCAGATATTCCTTCAAATTGTGTCACCATTTGATTCACACAAATATCAGTACCAGCTTTAGCTCGTTCTATATGGTGTTCCATAAGTTCGAAAAGTTCATCCATTATTACAACCCATGCTGTAAATTGAATGAAAGAATAAATACAAGTTTTATTAAAAATTTACTAAGCAAAAGAAAACATACGTGAAGCAGCCAATAGCAAATCTCTCAACCTTTGGTTAATAACTTGGTGAATATTTCTATTTAAATGGATTTTTTCTTTCGTTGACAATATGTCAAGACCTTGATTTTGGACTTGATTCGATACTCTAGATCCATCCGCGTCGAAGTAATTTAGATCATGATATTCTCCATTCAAGATTCGAGTTGCTTCACTCAAGCAAAAATTTATTCGATTACCAAACGATCGCACTTGCAGATCCCAATTATTTAGAGAATTTTCACTACACTGCGATAATGGAAATTCTTCTATCTGCTCTCTCGTATTGCGTGCAATTAATTTTATTTCATCAATACCATCAAAATATTTATCAATGGAGTACTTTGAAAGTTCCGAAAGAACTGGAACAATTCTCTCTCTATGCCACAAGAAAACACTTTGAGTGAATTCATGAGTTAAACTTAATTCTGCTTGTGATTCTTTAAAATTAACAAAAGAAATTAAATTTTAAACGTCCACCTTTTGCATAAAAATAATCCAATCAACATACTTAACAGCTCGTCCATCACTGTGAATTGCGTGTCAATACTTTGACAGCAAATTATAAGAGAAGCAAAGAAAAAAAATGAAAAACGCAAAAAAGTCATAATATCAACTTTTTAACCACTTATTCCAGCTTTGTACGTAATCTTCCGCGAGCTAATTTCAACTAAGAAAGAATTTTGTTTGAATCAACTTTTATATTCATCTCTTATCGTAATAGTTTTTTTTTGGGTCTCAAAGATAAAAATGAGCGATTACATTGCAGGCTTTGTTTTCAATTACTTCAATGGCGTTATTGAGATTATTCTTTAAAAAAACAAGAAAACCGAAATTGATAAAGAATTCAAAAACATTTAAAGTGTTAATAGATGAACTGAAAGGAAAAAAATGATTTTAATTGAGTATAAAGAAATGAAAGTCATTTTATGACAAGCATCGCATGCATTTGCATTTTGTTGCAATATTAACTGTCATGTTTATAATTTGTGAAGTGTTAATGAACAAGTTGGAACAAGATGCATGGCATTTTAAACATCATATAGCATCACATTAAAATTTCAAAAGATGTTTGTCGTTCAAAAACAAAAAATGTGTGTGCCATCAAAAGAGGATTCATATTCGAAGAGTGAGAGAAAAATTGTGCACATATGCTTGGTCGAGACATGAATTAGTAAAGTTATTAATTGGGTGGTCGGAAACATACAAAGTTTTCTTCGAACACACGTTTTTTGCTGAATATATTAAAAAAGATTCAAATTGAATAATTGGGAGTTGATTGAGCATACATAAGTGATTTGAATCCGTAAAATAACCAGTTAAAAGAAGGTTATTAGTCGCTAATCCACGTCAATTTGTTTTATTAGACGTGTAAATTTATCAGCTCGATGTTTAGCGTCACGCGATACAAATCACTGAGATCGCGGTTCTTATTGTTAATCACTGATCCATTCAATCTTTTATTCTTCTCAGATTTCACGTTGAGATGAGAATAATGGAAATCTTTGCGGCTCTTCTTTGACGTGATGAAGACAGTTAAAGATGAAGATGGTGCAAATTATGCGAATGATGTTGGTAAGAATGAACGAAAGCCTTTCATACTTCACAATAATTTTTCTTCTTTTCAAACTCAAAGAAGTTTCTGAAGTGCAAAAACATTTTCATCTTTGGGCTTAATTAGAAATCTTTTCTTATGGAATCAAATAAGATCAGACAACTCTTAATTCCTTCTTCGAAACATATCTGCGTGCGATTCAATTGCCTACAAAATTATCTCTCAAACTTGAGCACCCATGAACTTTAACAAAAGACGAGACAAAGTTTCTCAAAGATGACGAGGAAACCACAAAAATAAGAAGATTATGAAGATCTTCAAACGACGACGACGGAGATGACGATTTAAACAGCAATAACAACAAGACAAGTTGGAAATCTTTTTGCTCTTCTCTGTTCGTCATCTTTCGTGTCATTTTCAAAAGTTCTTCTTTCTCTTTTTCCAAATTATTTCTCTTTGGCTTTTGTCATTTTTATTGGGTTGGATTACGATCGATTGTAATCTTTTTTAATCTTTCACACTAACCAGATGGTGAATGAACACGAAGCTACTCACAATAGAAACTCATTGAGGAATTTTTTAAAATATTCTTTGATTCATTTCGATGCCGAGTTGTGAACAACAAAATTGATGCTTACAAAATAATTTTATAAAATTGAAAATTATTCAACATGTTCATTGATTTTTTAACGAATTAAAACTTTCTCTCGCTCTCTAACGTGTTCTTTACTTTACTGAAATATTTCTCGATAAACTTCAATAGATAAATAAAAACGAACAACAAAAAGTTGCATCAACATTTGCATTTGTTCATTAAAAATTAAAAGAGAGAAATTTGAGGTCCAAAATGAAAATACAAATAAAGTAATCCCGAGCATCCCACAAAACCGAAAACACAAACAATTTGGAATCGAAAATCACCCTAATTTCATTTCCGTATTTTTATTTCATCATCATCGATGATGGTGAGTTGAGTTAGTTCATTGTTGTCCCTTCACATGAGTCTCATCCAACTTTGAATATGTTTGAGACTTTCTAGTTGAAAAAAGAATTAAAAAACTGCAACTGCAACTGCATCTCGAGCAGTGTGAGGGGACGAATGAATTACATTCACGATGAGATCATCAGATCGATGATGATCTTGGCACAAAGCAACAGCACAACATGCAAACACAACACAAACTGAACAGATGTCTTCGCAGCCTCATCTCGTGATGTCACGCACCATCGAAAACAATCAATTGTAATCAAATGAAGCGTGGAAAATCTGATGGCACTTTAAACATTTCGCTTATGATTTTCGCAACGATTTTTAATGCAACTTTTATGGAATTTATTGGCTGTGACAAGCGTAAGGGAATTGCGTCGTCTCTTCGCAATGCAAGAACACGATTTGGGACGACCCAATTCTAATACGTCATCGTCATCATCAGGAGATGGAATTGGCCCACTCAACCACACACTTGATAGTCTTTTGGGGTGGAATCATCACAATATCGATGATACTCGATGGACTTTTAAACCAACTATAAATGAATGAAATTAATGTTGCAATCTCAGCTGTTTGCACACTTCTCGTTGACTACTAAAACTCGAAAGTGCCAATTGAAAGAAACTGTTGAGGGAAACAACCACACAACAAAATCATCTGATTTATTGCACTTTATTATGGGAAGTTTCATTAATCGATGTCCATTCAATCGTTTATGATTCGAGACATAAAAAATCAATTGTTTAGAAATGCAAACAATTCAAATGAAATTTAAATTCATTTATGCAACTAAAACTGTTAAAAATTTCATGGAAAATGTTGCGATTTCCACTCTTCATGTTTTATTTATTTGAATTCTAGATTTAAGACAGCAAAAATCAATATTTCAAACAAATGAATAAATAAATAAAACCTGTGATCAATCAAATCAATGATAAATGTCAAACGTTTGTGGCTTGCAAATCCAAATTCTTTCTCTACACATATTTTATTCAAAAACCAGAGAATGATGGAATTACTTTTGCAAGATGTGACATCCGTCATATCAAAAAGTTAATGGATTGAAAAGAACATTATTGATTTTTAATATCATTTCCTTTTTGTTTCGATTTTCATTCAATATATCTAAAAGATGTCAATCATGAGCATGAAGGTTTGTTATTGACCCGATATTGAAGGGAAAGAATGAAAGATCGAAGCTGATTTCTTTTGAAAGATAATAAAATCGTGAGGTGAAATCGCCAAGATCTTTGAACTGAACTTCAACGCTAATGAATATCTAAAAATAATTCTCACAAATAAAATTTCACCCTTTATCTACAACCAACACGTGTTGTCGATGAATAATTTCAATTTTTATTTATCACTCAACGTTCCATCTCCACGAAAGTTACGCAAATTAACCCCTGCGTTCAATAAAATAAAAAACTCAAAAACCCGTGACGCGCTTGAAGTGACGTTTCAAAAAATTCACTTTGATCAAAGTACGAACATGCGAATTAAAATCGAACGCATCAGTAGATCATAATAACTTATTGCACAAGTAATGATTGTGTTTAAAAGATTTTCCTAAAAATAAATTGCTACACAAAATCATAATTAATGGAGGCATGAATGTTGCTTGTCATGAAAGATTGAGTTACTTTATAGAAATTTTACATATCTGTAAATATAGTGCAGCAAGATCCGTTTCCATAACGAATGCCAAGATTAAAAATCTCCCCTTACTTTGCCGTCATCATTATTATTTATCCCGCCTGTTTAAAATTTGATACATTTCTGATTATCGCCTTTAGGGACAATGAATTGAAAACGTATCAATGTAAATATTCGCATCTCTGGCAAGCTCAGTGTGTCTGACAACAAATGAAAACTTAGACGCGTGTCGGATGTGATGACTTTTCTTTTGTACCAACATGAACATTACGCGAAAATGATGATTTATTGTAAGTTTCAATTTTAAAATCTTCACAACCAAAAGGAGAAGGAAAACATGTTAATTATTGTTTTAGAATCTTTTTTACAAATCATCATCGAAGAGGAGTAAAACTTGTCATCAGTTTATGATGTGCGAGGGTGAAGTGAATGAAAAATGAAAAGAAGGTTGCGAAAGGTTTTCACAATTAAAATAATTCAACGTAACAATCAACCATTGTCAGGAACATCGATTGTGATGTCTTCAAAAATTAAATTGAATCAATTATTTCAATGCTTCATCGTCAGACATTGAGAGCATGAGAAGCAAAATTGAATGGAGCAGACCCAATCATTAACTTATATTACGATAGCAACATGTCGGGACTAAATTGATTTCTCTCTAAATCTGTTATTAACACATTTTGTAGTTTTATTTTCAGAAGCTCGAAACATGCAGCAAATGTGTTAAAATTATCTCTTTTTTTAAAGACATCACAAATTGATCTTATTGTTAGTTATGTCGAAGGAAGTTGCATTGATATTCTACCTGACATGTTTGTCCTTTGGACGATGCAATTAACTTCTTCTTCGTCCTTTTTCTCTCTTTTTATATTTCAATTGGAAAGGATTCGTGAACACATGTTGGATGTTTTAATTCCGGAACTTTCTTTGTGAAGAAATTTCTAAGTTGTTAAAACTTCCTTCGATTTTTATATATTTTTTTAACTTCCATAAACATGAGATATAAAAATTAACTGCGACATCTTTTATTTCTTCTAAAAGTTTTATGATTGTTTGAAAACATTAAACTTCCGAATACTTCTTGAATCATAAACATAAATTAAGTAGAAAATGTGTTTATATCTACACTGCAAATTTATGGAGATTCGTCTTTTGTTTATTTTTATCGGCATTCGTGATGAACACTTAAATTAATTGGTAATTTTATGTATTTCTCACTCAGCCCAACAGGATTCCAATTGCGACCCTTCTTTGTGTCACGAAAAGTTGAATTTATGATTTTTTTAATGATTTCAAAAATATATTTTCGTAACAACATAAGAGAAGGGGTTAAACTAGTTCCATTATGCAACTGATTTAAATAGGTAAATTGAAATTATAATTTAGTTTCTTTTACATGAAAATAGTCTAGAGGTGAGGCTGCAACTGTTTGTTACTTATTTTTTCATATCTTTCATTGTAAAGCTGTCTAGTTTAATTTGTGACCCAAATGTGGTGCGAATTAAATGCTTTGTTATGAAAATCAAAACATAAATACAAGCAGATCAAAAATTTAAATATTAAATTTAAATTCTTTTAGTTTTTGAAAGAGACTGAAAATCACTCCAATATTCTCGTTTATGTTGCAACTTTTTATCCAGAAAAAGGAGATAAATGTTCACATGTTCTTTCACACATGAGTTGATGACCTGTTCTGAGCGGGTGGTCGTCAACACATCATATAGACATAAAATATTCATAAGATAATTTCAACGTCTGTTGCAGATCAGATGCGTTCTCATCATGATCATCATCATCTGCATTTCTCAACTCGTACGATTCTTATTCATCTTAGGAAGCTTCAAGGGGTCATCAAAATTTTAAAAACAATCATAGATTTATGTGTGAATTGCAAGAAAGAAAACAAAACAACCAGTTTTGTTTATAGATTTCTTAAGTTGTTCTCTTCTTAAATGGTAAAGGGCAGTAAATCTTCTTTGTAATAAAAAAAGAATTTTCTTCAGGGGGGAGATGATATAAGAAACTCAAATTTTGTTCATAATGAACTCTTCAATCCAACAAAATTCATTGGGTAGAAATTATTTCAAAGAGTTGAATTATTCTTCAACATATTTCATGTCTTAATATGTTGCTCAATTGCTTCATCATGAAGTGAAAAATCCATCTTAATTTTCTTTAGGTCAGCCGTGAAACTTCAATTATAATTTTCTTTTAATAACATATCAATTTTAACATTTAAACGTGAAATATCTGTTAGGAAAATAAACTTGCCAAGACTTCTTTTTGTAATGATTTGTTCAGATGTCTGCTAAACACTTTACGCTCAACTATCAGCTAAAGCGTGGGCGTAAATACAATCCTTTGAAGGTCTTGAAAATTATAGACTATCTCACGCGCGATCGTCAAAAAGAAGCGAAGAAATAAAAGAATATGAAAGCAATCATTCTATTAAAAAGGCGTTAAGAATTGGAAGAACAAAGAATGAGAAGCGAAGATATAAAAATAATCCAAAGATGGATTAAGAAGAGCCAAAGAAAAAAATCATTCTGAAGATTTGTTTAAAGGAAATGCAGTGTATTGAATAACAATCATAAAAACCTTGAGACTTGATTTCAAGCCTTGTAATTCGAGGGCTTTTATTAGTTGAAAATTACCATTTCAAAGGTTATAAATTCCATTGGCGGCATCTATCAAGTGTGAACAAGAAAGTCATCTTAATTAGTTTCTAGGAGATGAAACCGAAATGCGCTTGATTGTAATGAAATAAAATTTAATTTTCTTAATGAAATATCTTCTTAGAACACCAAAGATGCTTTTAATTATAAATTAAAATGAAAATCCTGAGATCACTGATTGAATCATCAAAACCACTGAGTTTATGAAAGACAAACGGAAATAGCTCAAAACCGCAAATTGTAGGAAAAGTTTAGAATTCTCCGAAATTGAAATTCGCTTCTCTTAATGAATTTGTTGAAACGAAATTCTTATCACGACCCGACAATCTGTCATTAAGTGATTAAATTCGCAACGGGTTTTATTCGCTTTAATTAGCAAGCAAAATTGCACTCTCAATTTCGTAACACAACGATTGATGTTGAATGAGATTTGCGATAAAAGAAATCATGAAATAAAATTTATGTTCCGCACTAATATTCTTAATTAGCACAGGAATGCAGAAGGTTATGATGACATCTTCAAATACATCAAGATCAATTTGAGTAGATATTTTACTAAAGACGACGACTGGAAGAAGATGTCAAGTTGCACCTGCTACACTTGATAGACGACATCTTGTCATTAAGTAGATAAAGCCAAAGCCATAAAGCTCAAAGCGATTATGAACATTTTAAAGTGATGTTTCGTTCATCATATCTCGACTGATCTCCTGACTCTCAATCTCGAAAATGAACTCGAAAAAATATTTAAAAAAAGAAGAAGCAGCATATTTATGTTCATGCTATAAAAACATGTGTCGGTCGGTGTCATTGCAATCTGAAGAAAAACGACAATAAAATTAATGTGCATGGATTAGTTCATTTCCAACAAAAAAAAGACGAAAGAAAGAAAGAAATCTTCGTATAATCCTTAAAAAAGATTTCCTGGAAAGCAACAACGATTCTCGATGAGAGTAAAATAAAAGACGGAAGTTAAGAACGGCAAAGTTTTATGTGTGCGTGAGTGAAATATTTATTGAGGATTTGAGAAACTCGAGCCCATAATCGCAAGCATTTGTTTCGCTTTTGTATGGCGTGAGAGGATAAACGTTTCATGTTCTACTTTACTTCTTTCCTCTAGCAACAAACAAACAGAAAAGAAATTCCAAATGAGCCAAATTATGTAAATTTGTCATAAATTCATTGTTGTTGTCTCATGAGAAACCTTTTACAAGATTGTTGCAATTTATCTTCGTAATTGTGTGGCATTTATTTGATTGAGTGATTTGGATATTTCTTCTCCATGTTAACTGAAATCTATGCCATCGTAAAATATTTCGAAACATAGATGTAGCTTTGAAATTTCGAGTTAAATACCAAACGATCTAAACGTTCCATAAAACACAACTTAATGCACAGAGAAAATTCACCTGAAGCGTAATAAAGTGTGGGACTGTAAATGTATTTACTCATCATAAAAAAACTTATTATGCTGAGCATAAATTGTGCGTTGAGATGAAAGGTTTAAGCAAATGTACGAAATATTCATGCTTAGTCCTTGAAAGCAGAATTTTTTTCAAAAGGATGCTGTTGATGAAACAAGCAAAAGTAATAAAATATTCCCCCATGAGAAAGTCGACGTTGTGGGCTTGCGCGTTACAAGTTCAAATCGGTTTTCCTTATCTTTGTGTTGGTGAAGGAAATGTTCGATTTTTCTTACTTTTCCCGATTCTCACTTGTAGTTTTTCTCGCAATTTAGCAAGATAAGTTCCTAAAAGACTTTGTGGTTGAAGTATTTTAAGTTTTAATGTAGTTAAACTCAAATTTTTTATAAATTTTATGTAAAACCTGTAAAGTGAAGCCACATAGAAGTGAAAGATGTTGAAGGTTAATCTACTTCTTCTACTTTTATTTCTAAATTCCTTTCCAAAGACTTCTGGCGCCCAAAGTCTAGAAACAATCGATTTTAAGATGTAGGTTGCTATCAACTTCTTTCTTCATCGTTTTAAACGTCAATCGTACTTTCAGGGTTCAACAACTAGCGAAGAAAATTGGCGAAGAACTTTGGAATGTTGGCGATGCAATCACAAAACGTTCTGAAATTCATGAGGTAATCAAACCATTTCTTGTTGTTTGTTTCATTCGACACGCTTCAAGTGAATTGCGCGCGAATGCGAGGAAAATGAAAAAAAAGTCACTGTGACGTCACGAGCTCGTATCTGGGCGAAGTGATAGTAAGAATGAATGAGTTAAATAACTGTGATTGTGTTTGTGAATGAACTGTGTAAAGATTGAAGGGAAAAATTGTTGCATACTGTTGTTTTGTATGAATCATATGGCTCATGACATCACAATGTTTGTTATTTTCCTTTCTTTTAAATTGTAAATTTTTCGCATAGAGCTTTTCGCAAGCACGGATAGTGAATAAAAGTGGAACTAGACTTGTAGATGAAATTGCTAGAGATCTGAAAGCGATGCTTGATGTTCGAATCAATGCAGTAAAAGTAAGTGAAAAATTTCATCCGACCAAAGCGATGCTAAATAACGAAAATTAATAAATTTCACTTCAAGCGTATTGTGAAAGTCGTGGAAGATCTTCCAAAAGTTAATGAGAACACGACAGATTTCGAGAATTATTCGTTTGTTAACACACGCGATCGTGATGAGTTTCGAGAAGAAGAGTTACGCTTGAAAAGGATTGAAGATGAATTAAAGGAAAGACTTTCACAAAGTGAAAACTACACGAAAAAGCGGAAACCACAACATGATGGAATGATTTGTTATCAATCGGATAGTCCAAGTGATGATGATGCTGATGAAGATGAAATTGATTATGGTTGTTTTGCTAAATATAATGAGACGATAAATTTAAAGTCCAAAGAAGCTTCCGTTTATCTTCCACTTGATGTTTTTGACAAAGGTATGTACACACATTTGGCTCTTATCAATAACGTGAGAATTTTCCTGATCAAGCACTTGAGCGTTAATTCGTAAATTATTTCATTTTTTATCATTTCGATTAAATATATTTGTCTGATAAAGACGGGAATATCACGAGAATTATTCATCGTTCGAGAGGCATTGACAAAGCATTTTTCGGAAATTACAAAATTGATCCAACAATTGGTTGGCAATATTTTTGCAACTCATCAGGATTGTTTCGTCATTTTCCAGCAACAAGTTGGAGCTTCCATCCAATAAATATGTACGATTGTCGAATGAGGCATTGGTTTGCTGGTGCTGCTGCATCTGCAAAGGATGTGATGATTCTTATCGAAATATCAGGGTCAATGAACGGAACCCGAATCGGAATTGCAATCGATGTTGTGAGAAATATTCTCGACACTTTAACACCAAATGATTTTGTAAATGTCATTGAATTCAGCGAAAATGCCACGTACGCTATTCCATGTGCAAAAGGCTTAATCCAAGCAACGTCTGCTAATATATTCGAATTAAAACAAGCCATAGCTGATATCGAGCCGAAAGGTCAAACTGACCTTGCTGAAGCTTTAAGAGAAGCTTTCGAAGTGCTTGCAATTCATAAAAGATCAAGTGCTAATTGTAATCAAGTTATAATGTTGATAACTGATGGAATGGAATATAATTTAACAATTCAAGACATTTTTCGTGACTACAATTGGCATAAAGGAAGTAACGTTCGAGTATTTTCGTTTTTAATTGGTGAACAAATACCTGAAGGCGATTATGAACAAGTGAAGCTTATGGCATGTGAAAATCGTGGATATTACACTCAAATTGATACAAAAAAGGAGACAAGAGAACAGTCTTTGAAATACATTCCAATCATTGCACGACCTTTAGTGTTGGCATCTCAAAATATGGCACAAAATCCCATCGTTTGGTCAAATCTTTATGCTGATGTCGTCGATTCATATCGAATTACAAATCATGATTGGAACTGCAAACAGAGTGAGACGCAACGTAGAAGAGTTGTAAAGTATTTAAGTGAATACGATTGGTATCCTTGCATAACGAGAAATGAACCGGAAGAATGGAATCCTGAGTATCGGAAATACGTTTTCATGACGACAGTTTCAATGCCTGCTTTCGAACGTGGTGTTAATGCGGTAAGACGTTCACATCAACTTCTCACTTACTCGATAAATAATGAAAAACTCTTCAATAATTCACAGTCATTGATGGGAGTTGCCGCAGTTGACGTAGCCTTATTTGAATTTGAAAGACTGTTCCAAAACTTTCGATTAGGTGTCGGCGGTTACGCATTCGTGATTGATTCAAATGGAAACATTCTGACACATCCCGAATTCAGACCTTTTGTAAGTTTAGACGTTAAATGATATCTTGATTGACATTGTCAATGATTTATTCTGTCAACACAGTTTCAAGGAAAGATTCTCAAGCCATCCTACAATTCCGTTGATATAGCTGAAGTTGAATTAATGGATGACGGATATGATCCGAGAGATTTCAACATGCTTTTGCTAGAGGTGAGCTCACGAATTATTTCTTCAATATCATCAATGAATATGTTTTGTTTTTGTGACAGTTTCGTGAATCAATCATCATTAAATCATCGGGATCGAAGTACATGCTGGCACTGCAACCATATGACGATATGGTAAGACGATTCCTTCTTTATCGTTTCCCATAAATGACAAACTTTTTTATCTCAACAGCGCCGAGCTTTTCGCCTACGCAGAAATTATTTCTGGAGGAAAATATCTCAAACACCATTCACAGTTGTTGTGACATTTCCTGAACATTTCACAGGTCGGATACAAATTCCAGAAAGTGAAGCTGATGCGATGATGACGCAAGGCTCAAATGTCAAAAGATTTTTCAAAGATGATTTTAAAATCCATCCAAATTGGATTTATTGTCGTGGTATTCGAAAAAGTTTGGAAGAAATGAAATTGGGATTGATTGATCCAGACAATTGTGAAATGACACCGGAAGAAGAGCTCGTCTTTTATCTCGAGAAGTTTGAAGAGTCGGGATGGAAATGGAAGCAAGATAAGTTAGATTCAAACGATACAATGTGCAATCGAAAGTTAATGCAAGCACTTTTGTTCGATGCGAAAGCGACAATGAATTTTCCATCTGACTTTCCTAAACGATCAAAGGAAATGAGCTTTATTGAGAAATTTCGCATCAAGACGTCATTTCTTGCTACACACAGCGGTCTTCTTCGATATAAAATCTTCGATAAGAAAATTCGAAGTGAAACATTCGGAAATAAAATGAAGAAATCGACTGATGAAGTTTGGTACAAACATTCAGTTGAATTTAATAGAGAAAACCCTCAGAGCTTTGTTTATACAGTTCCATTCAATGCATATGAACAAAATGATCCCATCATCACTGCTACACACACACTCTTCATTCGTGATGGTTCTGACCAAGTACCGCTTGCTGTCGTTGGTTATCAATTTGCACATTCAAAGCTTGAAGAAATGGCAGAACAGATTGTGAGAATTTCAATTAAGAAATGTCAAAAATTCTTTTTCAACTTCCTTTCTTTCTCTTTTCCTTGACAGTGCCCTCGAGATAAGGAAGAACAATGTTACATTCTCGATGAAAACGCTTACATTCTCTCAGATCCCGACGCTGAACATACAGGAAAATTCTTCGGGTCTGTTGAAAAGAAACTCATGCAAATTCTCATCGAAGATCGCGTTTATGAAGCTGTCAGAGTTTATGATTATCAAGCAGTTTGTTATGTTGATCGTGACGTAGATTATGATGCAATAATGAAGAGAAATTCAGCAGTTAGCACATTGCTTTGGAACCCTGTCAAGAATTTCTTCATGTTTATCATCACGCTTTTGTCGAGTGTTTATGCGCTTCCATCCTACATGGCCAATTGTGAGTAATTCCTGATTGACATAACTTAAAGTAATTTTAAATTTTCACAGTAATGTATCCCGATCCTGAACATTTCTATGATGAAAGCATAAATAGCGAATTTTTCTGTCCAAATATTCATGACAGTGTCTTCATGGAATGTTTAAAAGAAAAAGAAGTGAAAACAAATGACACAAACGATTCTGAATACAGACAATGCCTCGAAAAGAAACAGAAACGATTCCTGAAATGTAATGACGAAAATGGAACAGAATATATTTTAAAGCGACATATTAGCAGAACCAGGCCAACAAAATGTGATAAATTTAACAATGTTTATTCTTTAACCAAAGATGAAAGCAATTTTCTTAAGCCTTATGACGAATGCAGTCGACCATTTGTTGTCCAAAAGATAGCACACAGTAATCTAATTTTGCTCATTACAAATCGTAAATGTAACCAAGTATTTGCAACGGAAGGAATATTCAACGATGAACCAAAGACTATTGAATATGACAATTCTACTTTCTGTCATAAGTTGAAAATTCCCATGTTTAGAAGCCGTCCCAAGAGTTGTATGACTTATCATGAAAAAGTGAGTTGAAATGTTGCAATTTTATTCTAAAATGATGCATTAAAACATTTTAATTCAAATAGGAACCGAAATTTGATCCAAACAACAAAGATCGATCTCAATGTGGAAGTGGAAATAAAATTCAAATCAACACATTAATCACGCTTTTGTCACTTATCTCAGCGCTTTGCGATACCCTCAAATGAAACTAATGAAATATATAATGACGATGATGATAATTTTTAAGTTAGAATTTGCCAATCTTAACTAACAACAAAAGTGCCAAGAAAACTGTTGACTCAATCAACTTTAAAGTATTCTTCTTATTTTAAAACTTAAGCAGTACAAAACTTAAAAAAAAAAAGATAAAAAAAGAAATCAAAAATGTGTTCAGCTCGTAAAACTTTAAGAGCTTTTTCTCTTTCATTTCCAATCTTCGTAATTAGAAGTTTCTACATAAATAAATAAATAAATAAAATAGTTTGATAATGATATAAAAATTACACGATCAGACGACACACAGCACAAACCACAATTACTCTTTTTGAAGAATTTGTTACTTCAATCAAGCTTCCTTGTGATGATGAAGAAAAAAAAAAGTTTCTTGAATAATCTTTGCACTTTTGATCTTTAAAGTTGCAGCACTCAATGTGAAAAAGAATTCTTAAAACTTTGAATCGCTTATTGTGAACTTTTTTGCCTTTATAATAAAAAGCTTACATTTTAAATTAAATTCTTTCTAGACTGAATGTTTATCTCATCACTCATTTCGTGTCACTAAACTTTGCATTTATCGCATTTGAAGAAGCGATAAATTATTCAATTTCGGTTGAATAATTGTTGGATTTTTCTTTTCTGTTCTCGAGTTTCTCTCAATCTTTCGAACTTTCTTTCTTCGTCTGGATGTGGGAGTTGTCGTCGTTGACGTCGTTTTAGGAATGGCGTGAATTGAATAAGGATAACTCAAGTATTCATCACTCTCCCAAGGCATCTTAGAATTATTTTCATCATAATAAATATCGTCTTCTAAATCAACATTTCCCAGCTTATTGTACGGTCGTGGAATTTCATCATTTTGTATTTCATCATTTTCCACATCGTCATTGCGACTCACAACAATACCTCTTTGACCAGCTGACATTACCATTACCTAAAATAAAGTTCCTTAAACCACTTGAACTATTTTGTAATTTAAAATCAATTCATACTGTTGGGCTCACTGTCTCCAAGTGTTCTTTCAAGCAACTTTGCAAAAGATTTAAGAAGAATAAAAAAGCAAGAAGCGTTAAAGCTGACACTGCAGCACCTTTTAGCTTGCCTTCTTTAGGCCATGTCGCAGCATGGCCATGATAATTCGGTGCTTCCATTGCTGAAGGTCCAGTCATTCCATATTTCAATCCATAGACATTATCATTGAATGGAATTTGATCGTCAATTCCAAATGGATTAACAACTTCAGGTGCTGATGGATATTGATAACCTGACGGATATTTATTGACTGATTGATACGATTGAAAATGATTCATGATATGTTTAAGTGGATTTAAGTTTCCACCCAACAATCTTCCATGCTCCATTCTTCGTTGAAGATGTTCACTTCACGACACTTTTCAGTACACTGAGATAATCATAATGAAATAAAACATACGCGAAAGTTGAATTTCATTCATAGTTTCTCATCTATATGACTAGCAGTTCGCGACGAAAGAGAAAAAAACTTTTTCCACGAAAACTTTAAATTCACTTACGCTTGTTATTCCAATACATTATGCTAAGTAGAGTATTAAGATTCCAAGAGTGGAAAATTAGAAGATTTTATGATCATTTTGAAACATTTGATGCGTTAAATTGAATTGACTGCTTTCGTTGTTTTCTAGAAATTTCAGGGATAGGAATTGTAATCAAATTTAAAATAAAATTTTCATTTTGGTTCGAGTAAATGGCATTACGATAGTTAAGAACATGTTGAATATTCTTAAAACTTCCGATCCCTGCTGAAAAAATCTCACACGCCAACGACAACATCGCTTGTTCTTTTACTTACATTCTCTTTTATTATTCTTGTACACAAAAGTATTTTTATATGTTTGTTTTAAGTAAAATGATGGAAATTGTGCGTGAAAAATTAAACGAAATGGAAACTACATTTACAAACTTCTTGATGGAACGTTTGCGATTCTTGTTTCATCGTATGTGGGTGAGAAGAACGAGCGTTGTTCTATTGAGTTGTCAAAAGATTTCTCTGAAGCAGCTCGATCAAGATCAATTCCATCATGATAAAGTTGATCATTTCCAAAGAATTCATCACGACCTGTCGTGGCAAAAAACTGAAGAATAAAAAAATTAATTTCTGTAAATTTTTGTAATAAAATCTTTTGACTCACTGTTGGAAACCAATGAGAGAGTTGGGACAGCAAACATTTTGCTGCTACTAATGCAAGTGCAGCAGCCAAAGCAAACAAAATAATTCTTCGTCTTCTTCGACGATTTCTCAACCGTGTTCGTCTTCTTGTGTTGCTTTCGTCTGAACCCGAGCTGAATTCGAATTTTTTATTAAGAACTTTTTATATTTTTGTGTCTACTTACAAATCCTCATCGTAATCTTCATAGTCATCATCACAAGTAAATGGATTGAGATAATCAAACCAAGATTCATCGGAATCCTTGAATTTATTCTTCTTCTTTTTCTTTTTATCCTTATGATGAGGTGAAGTAACATAAACATGTTTGTAAAGTTGTGGTTGTGATGAATATTTCTTTGCGATTGTCGGATAAAAATCTTTGGGAAAATTATCCAATGAAAGCATTGGAGTCATTGTTGTTAATGGAACAATTGGATTAAGTTTCATAATTTGATTATCGTTTGAATTTGTTTCCATAACGACTCCAGTCATTTGCATTGGATCCATTTTGTTGTAACTTTTATTTAAAGGGATACTTGGAAGATATTTTATAATTCTCATAATATTCACTTTGTCAAAGATTTAACTTTAAAAATTTCCCTTCATCTCGTTTTAAACTCTAGAAACTCACTGATGCTGATTTTTTTTGGTAATGTTGAGAGTGAAGAGGGCTTGTTAAGGTTGTTGAGTTTAGATGATTAACAGCATAATAAAGTAAATATCTTCTTTACCGTATTCTTCTTCATCTTGCACTAGATTATGGTACTTGATTTTTGTCATAAGTGAAAACATTTCATTACAAGTCTGAAAATTTAAGTTTATCGACTTTTGACTTTGTTGACAACGAAAGCGAAAATTTGTTTGATGAATTATCAGTTTCGTTAGAACTTCGAACAACTTAGCATATAAACTGGAAGTATATTTAGGGAAAATGTTTCGATTACTTTGACATGAATTTCCCTGCTGTTTACACTTCATTTTTCACGTAACCAATTTTAAGTTTTATTTTGGGGAGATCAGTTGAGTAAGACATAAATAATTTGACAGACGTAGATGGAATCTCAACAGCTAATTGATTTCTATTCCTAATGCTTGTTCCCTTTAGATGACATGAAACAAAATTTTCGTTTGAATTTGTTTCAATTTTTCATTAAGAAACATTTCTTCTTCTTGTTTTGAGCGATTTCTTGATTTCGTTTTTAATCAAATTGATAAACAAAGTTTTCAACGTGCAATGAAATTTTCCATATATTTTCATGATAAATATTATTTTGATTTCCTGTTGATAATTTACGCTGATGGAATTTCACATCAACTTTCATTCTCACCGCATCATGAAATTTGGGTCACAAAACGATGATTTCTTTTCACATTTTGAATCATTTCATTTAAGTAATTTAGGAGGAAAAATTCAATCAACAGTTGCAACTTCACCTCTGATGTTTCAAATTAAGTAAACATTTTCCATTCATTTCCCATCGTTAAAAAGTTATTTCTCTGGCGAGATGAAAGAAAAATTAAACAAAATATCTTTCATCGGAGAGAAAAAGAAGTTGGAAGGTTTCGTAACGTAAGATTTTTATTTTCTTCGCTTTTTTCCTGATTACAATTGACTGCGAGTATTGATTTTAGTGATCGCGTTTACTTAATACTGCAACTGTTAAAACATCATTCATTTAGTCGCACAAATATACAAAGTGGGAAATTGCTTTCAATTATATGCTCCACTTGACATCAAAATTAGCAAGTAGGCAATCCATGTCAATCCATGTCCAACAATACGATTGCAAAAACAAAACAGCAACGAAAAATCCTCGTAATGTCAAATTAAATTAATGATACATAAATGGGGAGCGAGAAGCACCATTGCTGATACTTTTTTTTTTTACCGTCTACCAATGTCCCCTCTTCGATACGACATGAAAAACTTTAAGCCATAAATTTTTCAACCATTTACACAAACATAAATTTTTTACATCTGATTCGCTACATTTTGCACAGGAAAATTATTATCTCATGTGACATGAAGAAAGCAGATTGTTGTGAATTGTGGAGTTATGGTGATTGTTGTATAGAAATTTATTGTAATTAAAGAACAAAAAACAAGAGAGTTTGATAACAAACAAAATTGTTGTTCATGCATCCCATCGACTATTTTTATCCAACAACATAAATTATGTTCAATGTTTCATTTAGCTTCAAGCAAATATTTTCACAAGTGATTGAATTTTTTTAATGATCACATCTTATGTCAATATTTTTCAAGTTCACGACCTTCGATAGTTTTATTTCACGCATTAAATTGAAAACTTTCACAAACGAAAATCTCATGGGAATTGTGCAACATGAGATTAATAAGCTTACACCCTCTCTGCAAATGTCTCACCCTTCAAAGTCTCAGTTTTCAGAGTTGATGATGCATTCGATCAATATTTACTAGGATTGATGGTTGAAGCTTCTACAGTTGTAATTATTATTTTTTTTTCCTACTTTTAAATCATACGAGATGAAAAGGAAAGTGTGTTAGTAGTGTTATTAAAGAATTCCTTTTATGACCCTTTATTGATTAGTTATCGATGGTCCAGGGATGGCGAATAGAAGAATATTCTCATTCAAACCTTCATGAAGCGAATAAATCCCTGACTTCTGTATTAAGTTATGCACAATTGTTCTCTGCCACTACGTAATCAACAATCAACCCTCTAATAAAAAACTACAAACATTGCGTAATCATGTGACACGAGAAAAAATATTGAAATCGTAATCTGTCGATGGAAAGATTTTTGTTTTTTATATCTTTCAATGTTTTAATAAAAGCCGAGAAATGTTTGTAGAGATGAAAGCTGTTTAGATTTTCATTGACAAGAAATTAATTGGATTTTTCATTAGAATTTATCACGCTTGCATCTAATGAAACAAATTCCAAATGAGGGTTTGCTTCATAAATCAAATAATTTCAACATTTTTTCTTTCGTCTTAGAACTTAAATTTACTTTTTATCAACTAACAAATCTTTTAATAATGCACTCAAAGTTGAGATGTGGAAAATTTCATGTGTTTTCCATTGTAAATCCCAAAAACGAGATTAGATCGAATGGAAACGAGCAAACATATTTTTCCGCCACATTTCAAATAAATGTTTTGTGATTCAAAGCATGTGCATGAGCTTTAAAAATCTTTCTTCTTCTTCTTTAATATCAACACTAAATATTCAAATCAAATGACTTTCAGATTTCTTATTCTTATTCTTTACGTTCGTTGCGACAAAAGAGGAAATTTATGCTCAGCAATATCACATTAAATCCAATTTCATCGAAAATCCATTTTACTTATTTATGGCAGTTTGTGACAGGATTTTCGATTTCCTTTTCATTTGCTCCATTTCGTCTGTTGAGTGGTGGGGTGTTAGAGCTTGTTTAAATGGGTCATTAGGTTAGAGGTTTAGTGTGTTAACAAGACGTTCGCTTAGCTTTTTGTTGAACTCGGCGACATTCTCTCTTTTCATATATTCGACATTCAAATAAAATCTGATATTTATTGAAGTTCATGACGACTTATTTCTTTTATCAGATAGAAACGAAATAACAGTGAAAAGAATTGTGTCGAAGACATTCAAGCAAACTGATCTCATTAATAATGTTTAAACAAATGTTTTTGCGATTTCAAATCGCCGTCATTTGATGAATATTTTAAAACATGTTTAATAAATTAATGTCATGTCGAATTAAGTCCAATAAAAATAGACACATTGAAGACCTACACCAATGTCAGCCTGAATTATGAATAAGATCAGACTAACATATGTTTGCATCCGATTAACACTTCCACAGATTTTTTTTCTCTTCTTTTTTTCAATTGCCCTCTTAAAAGAGATGAGAAGAAAGCAAATGGGGAAGTTTAAAAATAAACTGGAAAAAGAATCACATTCGATTTCCTTTCTTCAATTTTATTATTTCTCCTTTTATTCTGCTTTTAAGTGGATGAAAATGTTCCATCTCAAAAGCTGCTCGTCTCTTGTGGAATGTTTGGAATTGATTTAGGAAGCATAAAAAGCATTTTCAATTTCAATAGAGAAGATGAAAAACAAAAAGAACAGCACAAACACAATAAATCACTAAATAAAATGTCAAATATCTACGAGGATAAAAACAAAAGTAAAAGTGAAAAAGGGAAATTCTTTCATGCCGAACTTATCAATCAATTAGCTGTGGAGAAAGTGTCAAACATTTTGGGGGGATTCAGCTTGATATAATGTGGGTCGATTGGAGTTGTCAGTTTGAGGTGATTCTATTATCCATCCATGTTATTCGTGGACAAAAAACGAAGTCGTAATCTATTAAATATGTCAGATACAATCACAAGTTAAATTGTCAAAATTGACGACGAAGTTTTCATCTAAATGATGAATAAATGAAATGCAAGATTTTTAATAAAGTTGTCTCGAAATCTTTAATCCAATGAGAAATTGATTCATGAGCAGTGATATCAAATGAAATGTAAAATTCAGAAGGTGTTTCGAGTTCCTCTGTCTTAATGCAATTTCCGGCATTAGCAGAACAAAACGAAGACGAAATGTATCATTACCAATAGAAAACAAAAGTCACGTAAATCGCGTTATAGACTTTCAAATTCCTTAGATTTGTATTATTGGTTTTCAATAATACAATGAGATTTAGGGAAACATATTTTCCTCTTCTTACACTTTTCCTCTTTTCCTTTTCTGCGGATGACTTAAATTCGGATGAAGGAAGAAAAAGCGGCGATGTTGAAATGGCTCCATTAGTATTCATGACATGTTTGCAAACTTCAAGCGATAAAGCCAACGATTCAAAATAAAAATAAATTTTTGCCTTTTCCGTTTCCCCTTTTTCCGCATTCAATATTTCCTTCTTCGACAATTTTTCTTTTCCCGTGAAAAACTTTTGGATGCGAAAGGACATGACGCAAGATGTGACGAAGAAAAAACGCGCGTGAGAGCAAACAAGACACGCTATCGACATTAAATCCAATTCCGATCTGATTTCATTTTATTTATTTATGATTTGTGTGACGAGATTTTTAAGCTTTTTTTTTTCTTCATAAAATCCGAGAGTGTTGGTTGAACATGTTTGTCGAATATGTAACGGGCGATTGGTTAGATTACATTACATTGTCATGATCTGAAATTCATGTTCAATATATTGTGATGCTGGTTGTTATACAAGCGTTTTCTTTAATGATATCATCAAATGAAAGGAAATATTTATGAATAATCTACATCGCTGAAGCGAAATCACTTTTTACTCACAAACATGTCTCATGCATGTTTATTTTCTTCGTTTTCTTTACGCCGATCAAAAGCAATTTCATGTGATCCATCTTGTTCCCCCTGACGGTATTTCTTACTTCATCTTCACGCATCCAACGTTAAATGCAAAAGTAATGCGTCATCTTTCAAAATCACTTAAATAAATTCCGAAAGCGTCAAGACACATGCCAAAACCTTACAAGACTTTTGTCTTCTTCTTCGCGCCTTTTGATCGAGTTAAAATGCATTTCGGAAAGTTTCTTTTTGATGTCAGTTAATTTTTAAATTACATGTCTAAACTAAATTAAAAATGAGTTAACAGTGTTGTTGTCTGTATCTAAATTTTAAGCATTTCTTTGATAGTTTTATGAAGTGGAAGAAATAACTAAAATATATTCAATTGCGCAATCATTTCAACCTAAAAAGTTTTTTTTGTCTTCTTTCCTAGAAACATCCAATAAATCACAATCAAATTTACCCTATCAGATGATCCCATTACCATTTGAATAGATCACGAAACGCACATCAGATATTCAGAGACAAACCCAAATGTCACTTTTTCTTCGTTCCTTGTTCCCAAATTTATACTCTCGATACAGAAATGTTGATTGCAACAATGTAATTGAAAAAAAAAGTTTGTGTCGTAGTCGTGCGTTGTGGCAGAATTGTTGAATAATTCCGGGATAGAATCACCCCTTGTCACATTAATTCCATAAATAACAAAAGCGATAGAATTCAATTTTCATGTTTCCATGTTCTTGATGCAAGTCAGATGGAAAGCGACGAAATTATTACTTCGTACTCGAATAAGAATGATAAGTTTAAGGAATCCGTGAAGAAATGTTGCATGGTTGAACCCAATTTGGGATGCCATACCCTCCACTTCCTGTATAAACTCAACTGCGTTGTAACTTCCACTTCTATAAGTATTCATATTCATAAATAGTTTGCAGCATAGTTATTAATTTATTGAACTTTTTTTTCTTTATGGGATATTAATCCGTAGAAAATTGAATTTTCGTTTAAGGGAATGCATGTTAACTTCGTCACAAATGTGATGAACAAACTCTTGACTTGCTTAATTTAATAAAATTTGTGACACTATTTTGGAACGTTTCCATAACTTCTCACTAAGAAACAAACTTTACGCATTAACAAATTTTTTAATGAGACGAACAATTGTGTGAACTTATAGAACATAAAAAAGAAATTCTTTAAAAAATAATTTGTAACATTGAAGTGTGAGAGATGAACATGAAACAAGCAACGTTTGATGCGGCCAAAATATTTTTTTGTTTCTTGTTCTTTAAGGATCAATTCACACATAAATGTGAATTTGATAATTGCAGTGTACGAACATAAACATCCGTTTGGAATGCTCTTGTTTTATGCACCATGTTATTAAACTATGTTTATTATTTCAGTTTCGTTAAATTATCATTCTATCTACTGAATGTTACCTGCTTTTATTTTTTATTGGGGAAATAAACCTCCAATGAAATTATTCAGTTGAATGGATGAATGAATGTGTGAAGACAAGAAGAAAAGTGTAAGAATAATAGAAAATTAAGCATCAACATGAAAAATGGCAGTAAAGTTTATGCTAGGAAAGTAAATAGGAAATAGAATTTTTGTTTTCCTTCAGGCCACTAAAGATGATGATGACTCAGAAGAACAATACAAAGTGTTTGGTCATTAAAGCCACGTTTTCTCTCTCTTGTTGATAATTCGATTCGATACATCGTTTGATAAAATATTTTATGGCCCAAACAGACATCCGTCGCTTAATTTCAAGGGTACTTTTCTCTCTACAATTGCTACAAATCGTCTTGTCTCGAAGGAGTTGCTCGAACACACAATTAGATGCAATAAAAATCAAAGCAAGACGCAGAAGAGAATTTTCATGGTGTGATGAATCGAGCAATCTTATTTAGTTGAAAGTCATGCATTTGATAATCTTGTAGCATGTTTTCGACATAAATTAAAAATCTTTTTGTTTCCAACTCAAATTCAATGTACATAAATAGAATGAAGAAATATTTACTTCTTGAAGGTCTCGACATGATGAACAAATGTTCTGAAAACAATTAGTATTAATGGTACTTTTGCGGTTAATTTGGTGTTAACAAAAAGTTAAAGAGAATCGAGATTAAACGATGAAAAATGTTACGTTTCAATTAACAACACAAACAAATTGAAAATTAATTGGGTGAGCACGGAAATGGTTCATCATGGTGTTTTATTTTTGTCGACTGAAAAAGGAATAAATTGTTCTTCTTCGTCCATTGACTAATTTTAGAAAAGGAATAAAAATCTATTTCTGTAGCTCACAACGAACCCTGATTACCAGTGATCTTGAAATTGGGAAAGAAACTTGCAAGCACACGTGTTGACGATCGTTATCGACAACACGCGTTGTAAGGGGGATGGTGAAGAGTTCTCAGATATCGAGTAGAAGATGAGGGATGGTCGATGTTTGTAGAGGCAATTCCATGGTTAGTGATTTCATGAAAAAAAGACCTTAATTGATGTCCTACACAAGTCAGTAATTTAATGTCGAAGAGATAAGAGATTTGCATAAAATAAAATCCCAGAAACTTTAATGAAGCATAAAGAATGAATTATTTATATCTTTAAAATCCTCCCGTAAAATGACTTTAAGAAATCTGCTTCTAACTCAGAACGATTAAAAACCTTAGAAAGAGAATTGGATAATTTATAGCTCACGTAAAAGTGATTTGAATGAAATCTCTTCCATTTCTAAGCGTCACTTTATTACCTGCTGAAAACATCATCATTTGGATTTGAAAGATTTAGCTTTCGCGGAAGCTGTTGTTGAAGATGTTTGAAGCATGAAAGGAAAGACGATGAAGAACCACGAGAAACAGAAATTATGACACCATTAATTTAAATATTCGTGCGGTTTTTCCGTCTGTTGAAATGTGAGACAAAAGGAAAAGTTTTGTTCGTGATATTGCCTAAGATTGATGATCCCGAATGAAAAGTTTCTCAAGAGACGCGGACGAATTTGACAATCGAAATCGGATATGAAAAGACGAGTTGTAGTGAAAACCTTTTCTAAATAATTTATGGCTCGTGAATTTACAATGAATAAGAATGAAATTCCTTTTTTTCAAACCTCTCGATTTAATGAAAGGAGTTTTTTTATTGTGGAAAATTAATGAGGTGGAATTGATTGAAGTTCTTATTTTCCATTTTAATTGAGCCTTGGGCGAGATTACTTAATTAGCTTTAGCTTTTCTTTTTCTGCGAATTACATCAGGGAGAGTTTAGTGAATAGACGGACGATGAAAATAATTGCGGTTTTATTCGGCAAATTTTCTTTAAAGCTTGTCGTTGAATTTTCATGATGTTTGAGAATATTTTTATGGAATTTTCAATAAAAGCTCTTCATTATTTCTTCATTATTAATTTTATTTCACAAAATTTACAAAAAATATTAATTACAAAAATTCATACACAACTTTAGAGTATTTACAAAATTAAACTCGCTTAAATTAATCACAGTTGAGCGTTTTACTTTCAGTCTCTGTCACCGTCGGTTGCACAGAGTTTTGTGGCTGATCACGTCGATGCAGATGATTCTCATAAATGTTGAAATTCTGTGGGTTCCACGTGTACGATCCGCTTTGGATTTGTGGTAAATTTTGACCCTGATCTGATGCGCTCATGTCACCTACTTTCACATAAAGCTGTTCACCCTGACTGCCACCAAAGTTAATTCGGAAATTTTGTGGTTTTATAAGTTTCAGTCGATTTCGTTTATTGGATCCTATTTTGGTAGAGTCATTATGCCGCTGTTGAAGCTGTTGATTAAACATATTTGGCATCATTGTGTTTGCCATTCGATTCTCCACAATGTTCACTTTATTATTGTTATTGTTTGGATTGCAATATGATTCCGAATGGATACTTCTGTTATAATTGCTGATGTTGTTGTTCTGATTTGCCATGCCAACAACATTTGAATTCATTGGAGGATAAACATCGGTAGTGTAGAACATGTTGAAACGATTCGGATCGCTGGTAATTATTTTCGAGTTCCCAATCAATGTTGCAGTTGCATATGGCGATGGCGATGTTTGTCCGCTTCGGCATGCCGTCACTTCAGCATACTCTGCTGGACCTTCTGAGTAAACAGCCATGTATCTATTGAAACATTAATGAAGATAGAAAAATAGAATTTAATTAAAATTTATTCGAAAATGCTTTCAACTTCTCTTTTGTATTTTTTCAGTGCATGTCGATTGAAAAAATGCATTACGGAAATTTGATTTCATAAAAAAGTCATCGCTTTCATTATCTTCTCATGATTCATCGACATGTTATAAAAAATGTTTAATTTACGGTCAAATAATGTAATTGAAAATCCATTACTGAAAGAGATTTTTCTCTCAACCCTCCCTCGACATGACGACGGATATTTTTAGATATAGAAATATGAAACTAACCGATTACGAGCATCATCATCGATGATTGTTGATGTTGGTGGCATAACAGTGCAAACAGGGGCGTAGTCGGGAATGTCTTTAAGTCGTGGATTTGATTTCCAAACCGTTCCCGCTGGATCCATCCAATAATTGTTGACTGGTGGAACTTTGACCGTTGTTAATGAAGGCAATCCAAGAACTGATTGTTTCGTCATGATATGCTTTCGTTTTATGTACACCATGACACCAAACGAAAGCATGATAATGACGAGAATTGTGCCCAGGAGAATGATGAACCATGGTTGAGTTAAGAAGTCGTCCATGTGTTCATTGTTAAGTGGGAAGCGATACGTGAACGAAGTGTCAAGCTTCTTTGTAACAGGATCGAGTCTCAGAATCGCTGGTTGACTGTAGGGTCCAAATCCAATTCGATTAACAGCAGCAACACTCACAGTATAAGTAACACCCTCGGTTAAATTCGCCAACATAATTGATGAACTCGTCGAGTCAATCGTAATGTTCGTTAGCACTTTCGAAACGTTCTCATAAATATTCACGCCACGCACAATCACGTTGTATGACTTTAAGATTCCATTGTGATGTTTGACAGCTGGAGCCTTCCATTTAACGTAGACCGTCGAAGTGTTCAATAATTTCGCTTCCATGCTGAATGGAGCTTCAGTTGGAACTGTTTGAAGATTGAAATTATGTAAAGAATGAAAAAAGAAGAATAATCAAATTAAACTCACCATCTTCGAGTGTTCGAGCGATTCTTGAGTTTGATGGTTTCCCTTCAACCACTTTGTAGAAAGGCACAACGAAAAATTCATACGTGGTGAATTTTTCTAATCCGCTAATTTTGCATGATGAAGCTCCACTGCCAGCATTAAGAACTGTCAGCATTTTATATGATGGTTGTTCGTTTTCATCAATATTTCGAGCGTAAATATAAAATCCTTCCACGTATCTTCCATTTATGATCTGTTTATTAAAATCATCGTTTAGCTTAAATTTAAATTTAAATATTTTATGTTAACTTACATCCCATGACAACTTTGTACTTGTCGAGTCAAACGATGTAGCATTCGTTAATTCGATGACATCGCCTGATAACAAACTCGCTCGTGCTTCACTCAAATCCAAACTTGAACCAGAATCATCCTATTATAATTAAATCAAAGAGAAGGAAGAAATAAAAGTTTAATTCAATGTTGTGCATTCGAATAATTGTTTTAAATTACCACGCCTATTGTTACGGGTTCGGATAATTGACTTGGTCCCGACACGCCATGAGAATTTTCAGCACGTACAGCAAAGTAATAAGGAACACCGTAAGACAATCCGATAATTTCATAAGTCGTGTCTTTCACTCGATTGGCAACTTGAACCCAGCCTTCTGTTGAGTTCCGACCAAACATTTCAATGGTGTAGCCAATTAAACTCGATGAACCCATCGCATTGCTTTTGATCCATTGAAGAGTGACGCTGTTCTCAGTTTTGTCGATAATTATCGGCCTTCCTGGTGTTCCAGGGAATGTTGTTGACTCTGGCGCCCGATAAAATTTGATATTTGGGTTTGTTGGATTCTCCAACTTCAAGAAACCACTCCAAGTAGATTTTCCACTTTTACTGCTTACGACACAAGTGTACAAACCGCTGTCATCATTTTTGTTCAAATCTTTGATTGTCAAGAGACCGTTTGTGTCGATGGAGATTTTCTCTGATGTTGTCACTGGAATTCCATCTTTGTACCAACTCACGATTGGTTGTGGATTGCCAGAAACCTTGCATGGCAAAGAAGCGACAGATTTGATTGGCAAAGTTTGATTCATCGGCCCTTGAATGATTAGTGGGGGTGGTGAATCATCTTGGAGATTAACAGAAAGCACGACACGAGTACTGACACTGCCAACACTGTTCACAGCACTACAAACGACAACTTTTCCATTGTCAGCTCTGTCAATCTCATCAATTGATAAAATACTTCCGCCATCAGCTGTTGATGATGCTTCAACGTTCTTCATTCTCGTTCCTGGCAAAATCAGAGATCGATTGCCTTCAATTGTCCAAAACAATGTTGGTTCTGGATAACCATTTGCTTGACACTCGAAAATCACTTCAGATCCGAGCTCAGCAATTTGTGATTTCGGTCGAATGACGAAAGTCGGTGGAGCTGTTGGAAATTTTTTAGAATTATGAAATTGAACGAATGAATTATGCAAGCGACACTTACAATGAACAAGAAGTGTTCCAGATGCCACAATTGTCCCAACAGCATTATCAGCTTCACAACTGTACTCGCCAATGTCATCCATTGTTATGTTGTCAATTTTCAAGCTTCGATCTTCCAGAATATGAACACGACCTGAACCAAACAAAGATTAATTCATTAAAGATTCTGTTCATGTCGTAAAATCACTTGATAATTTAAATCCATGTCAAACATGAAGCATATGACAATAAGTTTCATCTGATATATGCGTTCACGAGTAAACTTATTGTATGCGCAATTACAAATTCATTACAATGCACATGCATTAATATAATCATGGGCTGCATGCTTGTTAGGCACAACAACCAAAACACGAAATGCTTGTCGAATTTGCATACAATTGAAAGACGACTTTCGTTGTTTCTGAACGTTAATTAGATCAGCATTACATTGAAAAGAATTTTTTATGCAGAAATGAAACTCACCTAAAGGCATATTTCCACCTGATGCTGTCCGCCTCCATAGCACATCAGGCAACGGTTCGCCACCCACGCGACATTGGAACACAACGGAACTGCCAGTAACTGCTGTTTGATTTTGAGGGCCACGAATCAAAAATGGTTTCACTGTTGACAATGAATGAATATTGAAAATAATGTTCAATGAGTCGTGTTAAGTTTTAATCTTACCATGAACTTTCAAATAAGCAACAGACGAGTCTCTTTCACCGACGATATTTTTGGCCACACACTGATAACGTCCATCGTCAGACTGTTGAGCATTCTGAATGACTAAATTTCCACCATCAACAATGCGAATCCTATTAAAGACAAAACATAATTAATTAAATTTTGTAAATTTCAAGCATGCATGAAAGCGCATGAAATGAAGATCTAAAAAAGCTTTGAAATAATTAAAAGCTTATCAATGTGCACATAAACTCCGTAATGAATACAATTGTAAGTTGAGAAAACTAGAACACATAGAGAAGCATTATATTGGTCATAATGTAGACTATCTAAGTCAGGGATTGGAGTGGAAAAAGAAAGAAAATTTAGTGAGGCTGAAGGAAATTAGAATTTAAAATAAACTTCCAAACTCTGATTTAATTCCATGTACCTAGAACAGAGAGAAATTAATTTCGTAAAGGTCTTTACTTCAATGCACTTCACTTTACTATCAGCAAAAAGCCAGGGAAAGAAGAAAAGCAGAAAAATGAAATGCCCTACGGAGACATATAAGCAGGAATTTAAATTCAGTATTTTATGAATAGTTTTCTCGTTTCCATTTTCATCTCTCTTATTTGCAAAATCTATTGAAATTTATTTTCATGGAAGAACAGAGATTTTGTGTTCGACATCGACGTCATTAAAGTATTTCTAGTGGAAAATTTTTAACAATAAAGTATAAGCTTCTTCTCATACCTTTTTGAACTTGTTAAGTCCATCGTCTGGCCATTCTTTCGCCATGAAATAATTGGCTCGGGTGATCCCTTAGGGGCTCCACATTCTAACATCGCTGTTTCTCCATGAGCCACTCGAGTATTTTGAGGCTCGAGGCGGAAATCATCTCGCAATGTTGCAACTTTCAAAGTTGCATTTTGACTTCTTGCTACACCCAATTCGTTCTTTGCTTCGCACCAATAAACACCGGCATCGCTATCACGACGTGAATGTACGACTGATAGAAAGAATAGATTACCCGATGGCAGAAGCATTTGATGACCTGGCTCGATTGTCAACGGCTCACCATCTTTATACCAATCGATCTTTGGCTCGGGTGAACCTTCTGCTTTGCAATTTAATGTAAATGGATTGTTTCTTGGCACAATACTATCTCGTGGATGTTCAATTATTGTTGGAGCCTCGAGACCTAAACGAAGATGAAGAAAAAGAGAAAATCGAGATGAGAAAAAGGAAACAAAAAATTATATTAAAATTGGAATCAACAACAATTCAATCTTCCCCAACTTGATACATTTGAATTGATAGCGAGGCATAAAAGCAGATATAAGCTTATTGTATTATAAATTGCGACTGTAGCCAATATTACTTATATAGTTTAGTTAGTTGTTGCTATTCAACCGTTTACTGTTTGCATGAGTGGCTAGATTTTGATATATTTTATTCCGGGACATTTATCATATTTAAGACATACGAAATGTTGATGATTCATGCCCTTGTGACCAATTTATACAAGTAATCAGATTAAATTATTCATTCTTCTACATGGTCAGCCATTCTGAACTATTCTCTTAACTTCTTTTACATATAAATAAATTTCGAGAATACAATTTATTCCGTGGAAAGCCCTGCAGATTTATTTGCGTATTTTCTGCTAGATTACATTCTTTATACGGCTTACTTAGTATTTCTCTTCTTGAAACTGATTCTTATCTTGCAACTGGCTCCAAACAAATCATAAATACTCTTTAGCTTTCATGGAAAAACTTTAGTCATTTTGCTTTCCTTTCTGCCGCCGATTGTTATTGAGCAATTTTCGCTTGATTAGATAACCCGTATTGTAACTTTTCCCATGCGAAATGTTTTCTGATCAATTTCAAACTTTTCTTCTTCTGGGGTTGTTAATGAAGTCGAAGAACTGTTGTTTTATGGCGCTTTGATCAACAAGAATTTATTTATTTTTATTTCTCTTCCTTTTCCATGATTCATCAGTTTTATATTTTTGCGCAATGCTTCAAAAAATATTTCTTAAGATCAGAAAAATCTTTCTTTTGAAATCTTCGCATTTCTCATCACTTTCAATAGCGAAATGAAACATGAAAAGATTTCTTTTCAAGTATTAAACGAAACGACAAACAGATGACGTGCTGACAAATAATTTTAAAATTAGATTTCTTGTACGAGAAATTTTTTTTTTTGCCTTTTTGATGATTGATTGTGGAGGAGTCGCTGCTATTCGCTTCTTTGGCTTTTTAACTTAAATGAAAAATGACAAATTTTCTTCTCACTCGACTTTTCAATTAGCGCTTTTCAAAACTTTCAAAGTGGAACAAAATATTTAACAAACAGTTTTCCGTATGAGTCGCACGTCGACATATTTAGTAAATCGGTTTAAGAGCAAATTTGTTGATTAAGATTTCATGCCCACGACACATTCTAAGAATACGTATAAGAGACAATCTTAAAGGTAGGGCAATGTAATGATGAAGAAAGAAAGAACGAAAAAAAGACTTAAAAAGACGTTCCATAAATTATATTTTCTGATTTATGACTAACTCGGTTTTGAACGATTTGTAAAAAGGTCGACACGAAGCAATTCCTCAACAAGTGACTTTTGATTAGATGAATGATTTGGAAGATTTCCTTTATTGATGGCAATAATTTTAGAACGTTAGACTTAGAATGTTCCTTTGAACACCAACAATCGATGTATCTATGATTCCTAGAAAGCAATTACGAAGCATTTCGATCCATAGTTTGACCTCGTCATCGTTCGACAATTTTCTAATTCCATCCGTTCACGTTCACTCAAAGAAATGATATAACGAATAATAAAATCGATAAAGATGATGGACAAGATTTCTCGAATTAAAAGCCAATTCAGACATAAAGTTATTCATTTCGATTTCTTTCTTATTTTATTTTATTTTTTTATCCTCTTCTCCCACTCTTCGTCTTTGTACAATTCCATAATTCACCCATAATTACAATTATTACAAGCTATTCAACATGATTTTTCGTTATTTCCTCAATGAAAAAAAAAAGAATTCCATGCTCTTTGTAGAGTGAGAAGCTTAATCGGACTTAATGAAACAACTATTGACATTTAATAAAAATTACATCAAAGATAAGACGAACGTGGAGTTTTCTTTTATGAATAAAACTTTGTAATTAGTGAAATACTTGCGTGGCTCAATAGAGACATATTAACCATTTGTTAACTTGTCATATTTCACGATATGCATTTACATAGCACATGGCTTCAAACATATTTCGTGGGGGCAACAAAAGCACTCTCAAATAACATTTTTATTTTCTGTTTGCTTCTCTGAAGAAACGATACATTAGCATAACAATGAGCCAACACTTTTTGTGTGATTTTAATCTATCAAAATGTTTCCGCTTAGCTTCATACATAACTCTAACCCTGCTAGAAGGTTCAGGGGGTTTCTTTGTCTGGATGATTGAAAACTATTGCGACACAGAGCACCACAAATTTAATTGACATCGTCGTTGCATGATAAACGGGCGTCGCCTTCTCTTCTCTAAATTTTATGTTCATAATGCATTGTATCAAATCATTTAGTCTAGTTAAAAAATATTTTCTATAATGACACATTTGGGACGAACAGAAACTTTATTAAATATTCACTGAGACGTAGCAACGCTTATTATGTTTAATGATTCGCAATAGTTTTGCATTTTATTCGCACCCCTCTCGTCTGTAAGAAATAACCAGCGGTATGGCATCGAGTCGAGTCAATTCAAAGCTGTTGTGCATTGCTTATAGCTTAGAAAGGGCTCGTAATTATGACATAGAGAGAAGTTAATTCTCAAACTTTTGATGTCGTAAAAAAATGTTGAATGATTTGTCAGAGAAACACTTCTTGGAATTTACTTCCAGTCAATATGTTTGACATCATTTTCCACACATGACCGATCCGCCTTGCCTCCCGTCCCGTAGAAAGTTGTTAATAAATCAATTTTTTATATTTCTTATGTTTTCTTTCTCCCGTCTATCCAACATCTATGTTTTAATCTCTTTTTGGAAATTTTATGCTTCAAGAAATTTTTTCTAATTAAAATGTTTCTCATAATAACGATTTTGAAACGGGGAGGATTAAAAATAAATTAAATTTATATTTTCTCACATAAAAGAGAATTGAATGAAGATTTTCCACTTACCTAAACCAATGCTGCAAACGGACAAAGTTATCAGTAAAATATCCAATTTCATATCCATGCTTTCCTCTTGTATTTACTCTTTACACACAAACACACACAAAACTTGGATATTTAATATGACGCAATTATCACTCAAATATCTCCTTAATGAACGAATCCCTTTTTATGTTTCTATATGGGATGTCCTTACGCTTTTAATCATATCCAACTAAAAAACTTCAAAGTTAAATCACTTTTTCAACATTCTCTCATTTCTAATTTGTAGTTCCAGCTATGCATAAAATTTCTCTTCCTTTTTAGCAAACACAGAATGTTTTATGTCATGAGTTGAGTGACGTTAATTCTCAAGGTTTCTTTCTAAACTGTCCCAGGATGGTGCACATTTATCCTTGTAGAAACTTGTCCCTTCTTCCAAAGAAACAACTCCCTGTGATCATTGACTTAATTGCTGTTATTGCTTTTACACGAGACAGGAACACTTCTCTCTTCCAATGTCCGTTCTTGCTTCTTTATTACTTTATAACATTCACACGGTCGGTCTCCGAGAAATTTCTTTTATATTTTTCAAATAAAATAATAAAAAACTTTCACAATTGATGAGTCGAACACTGACTGCACTTCATTGCCATTCACAACGATGCCTTCTTAATTAATTAACTTTGTTGTTACTTCTTCTTTTATTAATCATTCATAAGCGCATTTCCTTGTGAGTATTAATTAAATTATTTTTCTATTCACACTTTCGGCGGAACTGTCGAGTCGTCGTCTTCGTCGTCGTGCGGCAATTCACTTTGGCTTTGATGAAAACCCTTTTTTCTTATTTAAAATGGTAATTTTGTTTTATATTCCTTTACCGAAACCGTCGATGAAGAGAAGAATTTGGATTCGTTGTTTAGGCTGCTTTTATATTCGTAGAGAATAATTTTTTATTGTTGTTTAATTTCTACTCCATATGTTTCCTTCAACGATCTTTATAGAGATAACATCGAGACGATAACTGGTTTTCTTACTTCTTCTCCCTTTGAAGTTTTCTTGCTTTTTGAATTTCTGTCGAATGCGAATGCGAGAGGCGAAGAATTTTATTCTCTGTTTTGTGTTTTTTTTTCTTTCATTCACTTGTTGCTTCTTATGCTTCTTCGTTCAATCTTCTCTTATGCTCTGACTTGACTTTATGTTTTTTTCTTTAATGAAACGATTATTCGTTTGCTTGCTTATAAAGTCTTCCGTTACATTAAAGTCTCAACCTTCCCAACTCCTACATTCGTCTGATAATGAAGCGATGCAGAGTGCTTGAGAGAGTCGTCACAATAACAGAAATAAATTTTATTCTTTATTTATCATTTAATTTTCTTATGACGACTTTTATGTGTCTGAAGGTTTCTTATTCTTGTTCGTTTTTATGAAAATTGTCATTTAAACTGAATTTATTTTAATGTAATTTATTATCATTGACACTATGCATTATCAGTCAATGATGATTTTAGTTTTTGTTTCTTATTTTTTTTTTTCTAAAACTTGACCCAAGACGACGACAGTCGTTAATCACTAAAATTTCCTGGCGTTTCAAAAAATGTTTTAATTCAATTTAAAAGTTTCAATTTTTTTTGTCTTTCAAAACAACGACGATTCGAAGAAATAAATTCACTCGTGTCGGAAGTCGCGTTTTTGTTGTGCTTTGCATAAAAAGATTTCACAATAAAACTTGTCGTGTGTTGGCGAAAAAAGTTTTTGTTTTTCCTTTCGCTAATTCACTTCTATTACTGCGTCGAGCATAATTTAAATGCAATTGCGACTGCCAAAAGAACACTCAACATTAATATTTCAACTAATTAAATTTATTTCTCCTTTGTCAAGAGAATGCACATTTAACCATTATAATCCTCGACTTTACGCGAGCGATATTTGTTGTGCAACATACGAATAAATGTTCTCGTGATGTGAACAAATCTGGTTGCGAGATTTCTTTTATTTTTTTATGCTCGCATGAATTGACTGTTGAAACTTATAGTTTTTCCTTGCGTAACTTTGATTGTCTTCCTATTTATTTCACTCTAATGATTTTGAATGTCTCAACCCCTTTTTATCCTTCGAAATTGAACAAAACTCAACTTTTTTTTGGGATTCAAACGCAATTTTTTCCCTTCCTCTTTTTTACTATTCACCAATATGAAGCTAATGCTCTTCACGTGCAATTCAATAACGGAGAAAAGAGCAGCGTGCTTCTGTTCTCAACGAATGTCCCGATGAAACTGAATTGAATTTGAAAAAGCAAAGAGAAGTGTATGAAGTTTTGGGATATGCAAGAGACATGGAGAGAAAGAACGAGAAGAGAGTTGTGTACAAAGGAACAGTGAAAATGAAAACAAAAATAAATGTTTTATGTTGCATGTTGTAATGCGAAGAATGCTACGAACAAGATTTTGTTTTTTCTTTCGCGATGAAATTTCTTCGTTGACTCGTAAAAGTCTTTTTTTATTGCTAGACATTTATTACAAAAATTCCTTCGCTGTAAAGATAAATTTGTTTGGAGGCGCTTTTAAAGGCGCGTAGAAAAACGAGTTTCGCAAAATGGACAAGCGACCACCCAAACATTTTAAAAAATATTTTTATCTTTTTGATGACATCTCCCGAGGAAACATTGACATATGTTTGTAATCATTTGTTTCTGTCCGCTACAAAAAGGAAGTTTGCAAACTTGCAAAACACTTCACACTTCACATGAAGCTATCGAATGGATCGTTTGCCTTTCACTAAACATATTCTTCATGCATCTGCTTAGTTCTCGTGCTATTGGATCATCCTTAACATGTCTCTTCACACAATTTATTTATTTCAACATTCTCATTCACAAGAACCTTCGCACAGCGACTTTCCGTTGAGAATATTTTCTTCAATGAAAATAGCGTCGTTAATATAAAATATGATTTTTCATTATGTAATACGGGGCCGATCATTTAAGCAATTTATTATCTTTAACGTTCACTTTTTTCACGTAAGAATTGTTGTTAGAGGACGAAGTAGAAGAATGGTGAATGATCATCATCTCTCCTTTTTCGTTACACAAAGGAATTGAAACATTCCTTTTGATGCATTTAGATTAGTTACAGTCTCAAGATTCCATTCTTTTACCAAGGCCCGTAAAAATAAACACACAAAAGATTCTTCGAAGATTCCCATTTAAAGAACAAGAAATAATGATTTTTCTTATGTCCTTTTTTCTCTGTTTCGCATAGAAAATAAAATGTTTTTATGTCGTTATGTGCAGGCCAAAGAATCGTCTTTTGTGTCATTTGAAACGAAGGAATCGAATCGATAGTAATGTATCGAAGGTCAGAGATTATAAGTATTTCTCTCATATGTAAGCATTCAATTCCACTATTGTAAAACGCATGCATTTATGCGACAATACAGAGACTGCTTTTCAATGATCTTCAACAACATTTTTTCCCATAAGCGAACATAGAAGTTTTCGAAGAAAAGTTAAAAGTGGAGAAAGAAAGAAAAATGTTTTTTATTCAGAACAATTGTTTGCAACAATTTTTTTTACGACATAAAGATAAATCTCTTGAAGCTGCTTGGTACACAGAAGGAAAGATACAAGTAAAGCGAAAAACCTGCCTTTAGTATTATGATACAGACAAACAATGTGGTCAGGTAATCCAGAAGAGCATGAAATCTTAGTCTGAATGTCTGTGACAATATAAAGCGCCAAATAAAAGTAAATTTTCAAATTTTTGTTGATGTTTCGAGAGTTTCAAGGGAATTTTTATTCTTTTCTTTAACTTCTTTTATTACAGAACTCAAGGGAATGAAAAGATTGATCGATTTGTTACAGAGAAAAGTCATAAAAACTGACGGGAGATTAAAAGCAATGCAAAAAAAAAGGAATTCTAACTCAATTCACATAGCAATGCGCAAAAAAAGAGATTCAAAGTTTTAAGTGACATCAAATCAGCGCGTGTTGGCAATAAAAACTCATCAGCGAATTGTAACAAGGAAAAAAATTGAAATCAGTGATTTCTCGTCGCTTTGGGATTAAATGGATTATGAGTTGTTTCTGTTTGCATTAACAGCTTCGTTTCGAACCAAAGTGAAATCTTTTCTGCCAACAGCATTAAAGTCGGGGAAATGGATCATTAAATGTATTGAATTACCATCGAATTTGGTTTACATACATTAATTTTCTCGTTCAACGGCACGCGACTGTCGTGTTGATGAAATCAGAAAGAAACGAACTCGTTGATCATGGCGCTTTGTTTGTTACATGAAAAAACAATTCCGAGAATTTTATTCAAGAGAAAATTAAATTTAAATCATTATTTATTATATTGAGTGAGAGAAAAAGAGAAATTAAAGTCAAGTTTCTGAAATCGAGAAGGGTTTCCAAAGACTGGTTGTGGTGTTGAACAGTTCGGCACAGTGTGCAGTGACCATAATCATAAATTGTTGCCAACATTCAATTAGGACGCGCGTTCAACTTTCCGTTCTGCTGGTAGTGACATAGAAACACCCAAAGAAAAAGAATTAATTTCAATGAATTTCTATTTTACCATAATCATTGTGTTGTCAATTGTGTTTTGTTGGAACCAGATGATACAACAGAAAAAAAAAGTTATTAATACTTGCCCAAATGGTATAACACACAAGCACTTAAGAAGTTATTGCGCAACAATTGAGATCTCATTGGAGAGAGATTTAAGATAAGCTTGAAAGAATTTAATAAATTCTTCTATTAACAGCAGGGAGTTTGGATATCATTGAAGGGTGATGATCACCCATACGATGTGTTTGTTGTTGCTATGAAAGATTTTCCTCTTTTTTTTGGCAATATCTTCAAATTTCCTGAACACATAAAATTTATCAACGACTTTTCACTCGCAATGACGATGCAGAAAAAAAAAAATTGAAATCTCTTTAAGAGGAAATTTAATAAAACTGCAATCATAAATCGGAAAGTTGTTGACAATGTGGGGTTGGGAAAGTTGAGATATTTTTTATTGGCAAATAATTTGCTTGAATCTTTTCCATAAGATGAGAGTTGAATATTTATGTAAATATTCACCCCGTTCAGTGATTTCTTTTTATCCTTCTCAATATTTATGTATGCAAATTAAAAGAATTAAGTTCTACAAGGACAATTCACTTTGTAGACAATAAACGAACCATCTGTGATTAATGAAACAATTTTTCCTCTCAGCTGAATAACATTTGTGAGACTTGTAATTATGTTTTAATGAAGCTTGATTCATCACCGTTCGAACTACGAACAAATGCTGCCTCATGTTGCATTTATTAGCCGTATTCGCTCAACGTGATTGGTAATGAAAAAAAGCAAAATTAGTTTTTAAAATAAATGTTCGCTCTCTTGTAGTGATGCCAATAATTTTTCTCGAAAATAATGCTTTTCAATGTCCTTGATGGGTGCTTAACAATGCACTTTTACGACCCTCATCATCCATTATTTTTGAGCATGACACCCGTTGTGTTGTTTAAATGTTTTCAAAAACGAGAATAATTGAAAAATAATGGCAAGAATCTTGAAACCCTTCGTGGAAGTGTAAGCAGTTTGAGAATATTTTGAAATCAGAACATGAAGCGCGCGCTCGATAATCGAGTGACGATGAAAATGTCTAAAGATAAACTTATCCATTGTCCAGTTAGTTCCAATTGAGAGATCATAATTGGCGTCATTCATCACTACGACTAAGTGGACATTAGGGAGGTCATCTGTGACTTTATGAGCGAACGACGAATGTGCTCGTAAATTTCGGTTAATTAGAGAAGAATCGTCAAATTTTTCAACTCTTATCAACGACGACAATCTGTAGAAAAATTAATAAATAAGTGCGAGTTTATGAGACGTGGAAATGTCTATCGAGGTTACACATTTACATTGTTGTGAATTTAGTTCATTTCATTTCTGACTCTGTCGGTTAGAGTAAAGGAAAATTTATTAATCATAACAAAACGCCATCAATTCCATAACTTTATGTGTATCGAAAGCTTATAAACAATCTTTTCTTCTTTCATTTCCCATCGTAAAAAAGTGAATATTTCAGACACGAGTTGAAAGAGAAGTTAAACAGAAAACACAAAATTTCTGATGAAAATGGAGTGAAAGGAAATCGGATTTAGTTTCGAAGAAAATAATTTAGTAAATTAAATATTTTGATGTAAACAAAAATCGTTTGAATTCGATGTTTCCCGGAGGAAAATAAAATCAAAAAGAAAGAAGAAAAAGGGCTGACAACATATTTAAATTTACTTACTTATTGAATGTGGAAATAATTACTACCTAGTCACCCTACTTGCAGAATCAATCTCGATGTTTTGATACAACAAATATAAACGATTTTTCTTTCTTTCTTTTTGCGGAAACAATTTTCTAAACAAAGTCATTTCGTTGTCACTATTTATCAAAAGAATCATCACACAAGTTATGCGTGACTTTCTTCTACGGAGGGTCCAAAAAGTCAAAATAAATTAAATTAATTCGCAATCAAATATAGAAGATGAAAGATTCTTTTGATTTCAAACAAATGTCAAAACATGAAAATGCCTTTTAATTTAATTCACTTGGATTTCAGTTTGAAGATGGAAGAAGAAAAAAGCCAAAACATTAACAACATTAAGTGATTAAAATCGTCATGAATTGACTTCAAATTTTTGTTAAATGAGAGAAAAAAGACAAAAGATTTTCGTTAAAGGAAAACTTCTTCATCCAAAAAAGGGAAAAATTCTTTTGAAATTCAATTAGTAACAGATTAACATTCCAAAGAGAAATTTTGTTGATGTTATTTCTAGAAAACAGCAACAACTGAATTGAAATTTCTCATCGATGCCTTTGGCGGGGGAAATTTTATAAATTATTAAAAATTGAAATTGTTTCATAAGCTTGAGGGGATGAATTGAGAAAATGTCGGGGTGAAGAATTCAAATTGGGTTCAACCATGCAATTGAGCTGAGATATTCGCATTTTTATTCATCATAATCATTAACATTTATCTTCAATACTTTTTAAGGGATTAGACATTTAAATATCGCCTACAACCATCTCATAAGGTTCAAGTTTTCTTCGACATTAATTGGAAATTGTTGTTGTCATCTTTATTAAGAAGTTCTGATTCATGTTATGCATAACAAAATATTATCTTTGAACCGTTGAGCAATCTTTGATAATTAGATGTTTAATGCACATTTTTATGCTCGATTGATTAGCAAACGCATTAAAATCTCAGCGATAAAGCCATTTCATGTTCAAACACAAAGAGTGAAGTCAACAAGAAGACTCACGTGATAAATGCAGTTAAAGAAATGAATGATCTGTTTTGCGAGATTCTTCTAGGGATCAAGACGAAAGGGAGAGAAAAATATTCGAAGGGATTCTCTTTCAACATCAATGATGCCCAATTTGGTGTTAATAATTTTAATGCATTTTTACATTATCAATTATGATTAAGGACATGTCTTCTTTCCATCCCTTCTTCTTTTTCTGTCTCTCTCATTTCTTCGATGTTTTATGACAGTTTGACGTTCTTTCATTCACACAAAGTGAGTGGAATGAGAAAGAGTTTCGTCAATGGAGACGTCACATGTGTCTTCCCTCGACATGAAAACAGTTTCTTTGTTAGTTTCTTTAAATCACAGAAGGATAAAAAATTAATTTTCCATAATTCCAACAATTGAATTCCAAGAGATTCATCTGTTTGTAGTATTTATTAAAATGTTTAAAATAAGTAAAGCAAGGTGGAATGAAATAAATTATTTATTAAGATTTTAATATTTCCTGCTGATTCTTTGAAGTGTTCTCAATAAAAACTTGAAAGTCTAATAAATTCATTAGACATTTATTTATTATTCTGATGGTTTTTGGAACATCAATTAAGTTGAAGTTAAATCTTAAATTTTATTCATTCAAAAGTTGAATTTGCATTCAAATGCACTCCAAAATGAATTGTAAATATTTTAAGAAAAAATAATGAACCATAAACATCACTTCTTCCGCTGCACGAGAAATATCGAACATCCTGTCATATTTATTTATTCTCATCTTTGTTTAAAATTTATAAAAGAAATCTTTCTGAGAAGCTTTTGTTGAGATTGAAATTTTCCATCTGAAGAATCCTTGAAGATTTGAAATTCAAATTTGAAAATATTTTTAATATTTCATCATTAACAACACTCGAATCGTCATCAGTAGCAGCACGCGCTATCGTTATTTGCAATTACATGTCACCATGTTCACACCCTCAATTCTCAGCTTCATCGAAATCGTATCAAATTTTAAAAGGAAAATGAAAGAGTTTCATTCGAGTTGTCACAATTCAGTGCGTTCTAAAGCGAGGGTGGAACTTTAAAATGAGAAAGTTCAATGTTTAATCCTAATACCGTTTCCAAACTGCATTTATGAGATAAAAGGACTTTTAAGGGCCCAAATCCTTTTGTTGCTAACATGCAATGTGATATTTTGTGCTGCAACTTGACAATGACTCGTAAATTCTCGTAGCTATTAATTACGCTATCACAGGAATAATGATCTGAATTTAATTTCAACATACAAATTTTCAAAAAGACGCGTGAGTAGTCATCGCAACCTTCCCCAAATATTTTCAGTTCACGCAAGGCGGCAACGTCACTTCCATCACTTAAGCAACGAAGCATATTTAAAATGCATGAAAGAAGAACATGCAAGTCATGCTAAGCATTAGACGCGGGAATGAAATCCTTTGCGGCGTAATCTCAAAAGCATTTCATGAAAACAAAAGGAAATTATGCGACATTTCAAATGATAAAACAAAAATAATTTAAAAGAAACACGTGTCGACATGGAAGGGGTTTTGAATTGAAATTGGATGCATGAGACATGCGATTCTGAAATGAACCGCAATAGATTTAAACGAGAAATTTTATGTTGTTGGAGATAAAGAAATTAAATGAAGCGAAGAAAATTTGATAAGAACAAATTTATCCAAAGCGTCATTGTGATGACGCACGCTTAAAATCCTTACCCTAGTTCATCTTCCTATTTTATGATCAACAAAACGAACATGAAGAAGGAGAGTAAGAATTCTAATCTTGTTCTCATGACATGAAACACTTGTAGAAATTTCCAAGTGACTACCAAGTGCATGCAATGCACACGATAGAAAATTAACTGAAATCCGATTACGATTGAGAAACGTCTTAAGAACAACTTTGAAATGTGATCGCATTCGACCCCTAAACTTGAATTCTAGTGATGTTATTTGTGTGTCATCTGGATGGAAACTCAAGACTTAAATAGGGGAATTAGCAACTTTTCGTTCTTGTTGTCATTGAGAAGATTTAAAATAAATATTCCGCATTTAATTAAACTCTCATGCTTGATATTGAACAAATAATTTTTCTTGTTTTCTTTGTTACTTCCACAACTGGAACTTGAAATCCGATCTACTTCCACACATTTGTTGTAAACAGAAGGGAACAGGATTTTAATTATCCTTGATTAAATTCTTCAATCATGTTTAGCAAGCAGCTATTGTCTAGCGAAATATCATGCTGATCCATCATTGGAAGCGGCTTAGAGCAGCATCATGAAGTGAACGTTGAATATACCAAACGCATGAAACCAAGAGATATTTGAACATGAAAAATCTGATTTTAATGAACGGTAGTTTGATGAAAATTGATTTCTCAAATTACAATTCATCATACTAATAACTTTTAATGCGATTGATGCATCGTCGGGACAAAGGAAAAGATTTTTTTTATTATGTTGATCAAGACCGGAAAATATCATCAATTTAATGGAATCATGGAGTGGATTGTTGAATTTCTAAATGGACAAGTGGGAGATTATTGAATGAACACAATTCATGCGTGATGTGAGAAATTTAACGAATGAAGTTGATATCAAAGACCAATACGTAAAGAAAAGATCCAAAATAAGAGAATTTATAAATAAATAACAACAGAAAAGGGCTTTTGAAAAGAAAATTTAATTCAATTTTGTTATTGCTTTGCGTATGAAACTCGACAAAATCATTTCATGGAATTTCAAGCATTGACAATGATTATGTTGGAAGTTTGAATTTTCAGCTCATTTAAAAATCTTAAAACTTAAAGCTCTGTGTAATAATTAACAGAATTCTGAGTAGTAAAATCACAGACGAAGCGGAGAAATTATTTCATCTTAAAACCACAAACAAATATCAACAGAAATATATTAAAACTTTCCCTTCTATGATAAATAAATTTCGTTTCTCTCTTGTGATGGAATTAAATGAAATGTACACATCACAGCAATTAATTTCTTACGACCAAGTTTTTATCATAACATTTTTGAAATTGAAACCCTTTCAGCTGTAGTTGTCAATTGCGCTTCATCATTGTCAAATGATTGTTGGGGTTTGAAGTTGATTCGTGACGATGAAAACGGAATGAAGGCGAAATTTTTGTCATTAATTTGTTGCGGCTTTCAACAGTTTTTCTCCTTCACAGTTGAAATACTTTTATGTCGAATTCATAACTTTCCGTCTTGAAGCTTTTCCCTAAAATGTAATCTTTATCACTGAACGTCTTTGAACTTTCTATTTCATGGAATTTTAATTCCATTTTCAGAAGAAGCTGATAAAAGATGGAGAAGAAAGGGAAGAAAGTTATTTTGGAAATTGAGTTTCTCTTCTCCCGCATTTACACGCCATTGTGAATTGAATTTCCTTAATGTATCAAGATAGATTTGATAAGAATCTTTTCGAGTTCTTTCTTACAAAAGTCGTAAGGAAATTCTCTTGCTTTTAAATTGAATTTCCTTTTTTTCCTTCCGGGACAGTTTTCTTGGGGTTTGCAAGACTGAATAAACTTATCGTAAAGCGACATAAATTTAATTTGGAAAATCTTACCGATTTTCTTTTACGATAACTAACTCAGGTTGGAAGACTAAACTCTCAATGAAATGAAAGGTTAATTAAACAAATCGAAAAGAAAAGAAAGAAAAATCAAGAGCGACGAGAAAGTTCACCTAAAACTTAATCCTAGTTTCGAATAGTTTTCCAACACGTTACTGTATTGATTCCTTTTGATCAGCTATCAAATGTTAGTTAACTTTACAATTTTCATTGGAGAAGAGTTTTCTAAACGTGACAATGCAATCTGATTACACAATTTAAAGTCTTGTGCAACTTGAGTCATTAAACAATAATGCTTCAAACGAAAACTTCTAATGGCTCTCATGAAAGTTTCTCCAAAAATAGAAATTCTGCAAGATGCAACGTTAAGAAGTGCAAAGCATTTCTACCTAGATGGCTAGAAGAGAAGGAAAAACTTATTAAAAGAAGATTAAGCTTAGAAGTTTGTCGTCCACGTTCAACAAACGTAAACATAAGTCGAAGGTAGCAACACAAAAGAACTGCACAAATTTACTTCGGAATCAATATGTTTATGAGAGATGCTTCAACATCGATAACTTTCCTTTCTTCTTCAACTTCTCATGCACATAGTTCAAAGGAAAAAAGACATAATTGCATGTGATATTTCAAGAATTTCCAATTTATTCTTCTATGTACGAATTTTCATTGAATAAACAGATTTTCCTTCTTTCTATTGTTATTTTATTCCTCAATAAGGAAAAAATATTTCCATATGTTTTATCTCAAAGCTTTTTCACTCAATTTGTTGTGATAAATGTGCCATGAAAATTCTCAATAATCGACAAGACGAAAATTATTCGATTCGCTTTTCCAATTTTTCTCTTATTTATGTTATCAGAAAAGTTATGCAAACAATGAGAATTTCGCCTTTAAAATGAACTCTTCGGTTAGTTGATGATGTCAGGAGGATGGCAACAATAATAATGGGAGATCTGAAAAAGGTTTATGAACAGTTCAAAGAACCTTTAATCTTCAACATGAAAATAATCTCTTAGGGAAATCCCTAAAATAGCAAACAATCGTCTCCAGTTATTTACTTTTCATTGCGTTTATTTTGTTTTTAATTGCATCTAGACTGTGAAATAAGGAACTAAGCTGTCGGGTGATCCGAAAGATACAAGCATCTAAAACAACATCACTCGTTTCAGTGAAGTTCGTTCGTCATCTCATAAAACACGTGTTTCGACTGATCTTTATCGAGATTTGAGAGATGCAAGCGGCAGATCGACAACATCATTTAAGCAGAAGAGAAGAACATTGCAGGAGACTTTTAAAATGTAATAAAAATCTAATTTTCATTTAAGAGCGTTTCTCGACGTTATTTTTTGGGTAAAAGCATATCGAAGTGATCAGTTTCATGGTTGTTTGTTTTGCCGCGTGTGCGTCTTTCCATCGATCATCTCCGTTCAATGTTTTTAATGAATGTCACATGCATGAGACCTTTTAATTTTAAAGATAAACATGAAGATTACATTTGTTATTAAAGGCTTTTCCACTACACATGCAGAAGCACTTTAGAAATGTCTTTCTGAAAATAAATTACATTAATTTGAATCGTTATCAGCGTTTCGATTTTATTACAAAACAAACGCATTTCATAGTTTTTATTTTAAACTAAAATCAAAGACAAAAACTTGTTGTCTGACCATCTAAAGAAGACTTGATTGGCCTTTTTTATTTGAATCCTGAACCCGCATCATTACATTTTGTAATTTCTGCCGATATCCTTTTTTGTTTTTGTCTCGTTCATCTCCAGCATGAACATTTACATAATTCTCGTCTTGTTCACTTAGTGTTTATCTTACAGACATGGATACAAAAGTAAATCTCTAATTTATGAGCCTTCTACATGGAAGATGGAGTTGAATGTGCAGGCTGTAAGAATCTTTTTCAGCAGAAAACTTTTTCTCTTCTTCGCTTCGTTTTTAAGGTATTTTCGTAAGCATGATGATGATAAAAGACGAAAAAGGGAAAAGTACTTTTTGTTCTCCTTTTCAATTTTATTTCCTTTTGTGTTCACGTATTTAAGTGGCCTTTAGCATAAACATATCGAGATTGTTATGTTAGAGAATAGAATCGAACTGTTTGTTTTGATAACTTGGAATGTATGTGATGTTACCTTGAGGATTTATTATTAGCCTTTTAAATGCTTCAAGGAGCATCAACAATGAAATTAAGGAGATTTGACGCTTAACTTCGTCCCATTTTATTTCGTAAACTAACGATGAGTTTAGTAATGTTCTTCATCTTGAAATGACTACCTAGGGAAAGTTTCAAATCATTTCATATAAGATTTATGATTTTACATCATAAAAGACAATGCCTTTCATCACAATTGTATTTACAGACATTTTATAACGTTAAAGATTGAAAATATTTCCAGTGAAGCTTTTATTAGCAAACAACAAAAGACGTTTGTTTGCTTCTTGTAGTTTTTATATAAATACTTAAATGATAAGTGTGACGAAGACAATTTAATGTGATTCCTTTCATTTCTATGAAAAATGATTTTTGAAGTGTTTTTGTGCAAGGATTGAAAGCTGAAAAGATTGATAAATTTCAAGAATTTTATTGGAGATATTTCTCATCAATTTTATTGCAAGAAAATTTTGTATGAAGAAATAGTTTTGATGTTGTAAAATTTTGGTATGTAGTTGAACCGTTGATACAGCTCATGGTTTGCAACTTCATCATTAATCCTTAAACATAACAATGACGATTATTTATATCTTGGATCATTCCAGAATTTTATGATCATCGTGAATGCTGATAAATTTCATTATAATTTTCTTCATCGTTAGGCTCACTCGTGGAAAATCTGCTTTGTAAATCATTCGAAGGAAGAAAGAAAAATGTGCATGATTATGATATCAAAAGCATAAATACACATATGAAGCATATTTCATGCATGTACGAGAACAAGAAAAAATGTAATGTCGACTTGAAATATCTTTAAAGATTGCTTTTATTTTATTTTTTCTTAATATCGCAACGTACAATGCGTAAGTGCGTAAGGAAAATTTTGGAATTGGATGAATGTATCACAAGAATCTGCAGCTCAAGAGTAATAACCGAAGATGAAGAAGAAAATCCACCCTCATTCATCTTTCGTCATATATTTAATGGTAACACATGTTCTTGTTACTCAACATAAATTCTCATGATTGCCGTTGAACAGTTTGGCGTGAGGGAGTGGAAAGAAATGGAAAGCGGGTCGTTTGTCGGCGAATGGTTAAAGAAAAGTTAAAGCGTTCAAGTACCAAAAGAAAAACACCATCCACTTGTGCTAAACGTTAATAAAATCGTTTCGAAAGATTTTTATGACTTTAATCTTTATGTCTTGATCTATTTAATGTCATTCCAGTTCCATCGACAATTGCTAAGCAGGTGTTAATGCTAATGAATTTTCTCACTGCTTCTCAAAGGAAACAAACACTCACATTGGTTGGGGAAAATTCATTTTCAATTGATACATATCCGCGTCTATTCATTTGACTTAAAAGGCACTCAAGAAGAAGGAAATTTAATGAATTTTAATCTCGATAATGGATTTTCTCGACGTTCGTTTATTGAAAGGAAATTTGAAATTTCTTTCTATTGAAAAACTTTCTTTTTCATTTGACTATTAAATCAAATGACATTTCTTCTTTTACAAGATTATTTTAATGAATGTTTCTTTCCTTCTTTCTTTCTTTTTTTTGAAGTTTCTTTATGGTTGAAGTTTTAATCTTGAAAATTACACCGGGCCTGTAAATAATATGGAAAGAGCGAGGGTTACTTAAGATAAAGGAAAAGAAAAAGAAGTTTCGATAGGACGTTGAGTCCATTATTATCGGGATGAACGTTAATTAAATTAAAGTTGTTTCTCTTACCTGTTTATTTTTAAAGATCTTCTTAATAGCTGAAAGAAATGAAATAAAATTGTAATCGAACTTTTAAATGGACTCATAATGATTATTCAAGGCGTCAAATAAATTAGTCATCCAATGTTCAATATTTTTGAGAAAGAAATCTTTATTTAATCTCACTTTTAGAACTTTTATTTCTCATACATTATTTCGATAAAAGTTTCTTGTGAAAATCTTTAACACTTGGAACGTGTCAACTGTAAAATTTATCGCGATAAAACTTGTACAAGTTTGCATACAAAAATACTTTCAACCTGCTTGTTATTTCGTTCACATTGCAAGAAAATATTTTCAGTCACGTATCGTTTCACTTCACTCGCATCAGTTCCATATATTTATTCTCGAAATCAATTGAAAAACTATAAATTTTCTCTATTAGTTTTATATTAAGGAAATAAATTATTTTTGATATCCTTTTCATCCCCAAGTCGTTTCCCCCCTTTCAGATTTCGTGCTCCATTTGATGGAATTTATCATCATGAAAGTAACATCTGGTGCAAACGTGATTATTATGAAGATCGATTCATAAAGTGCCTAAATGATTTCTTTCCAAGATATCTGAAGTCTGAAGAAAGATTCCCGGGAAAATCGAAAGCTTTTAAAAGAACAAAAAGCGATTCATCAAAACATACGAGTTGAAATATTAATCGCACTATAAGTTTCTCGAATTTTCGTGACAAATTGGAAGTTTCTGTCAACAACTTGGAGTTAAGTTCACGTCCCTTTTCATTGACACCAGTGTGTTAGCACATTCTCTGACATAAATTCTTAACATTTGTAATATTTCTTTAAGATTTTGTGGCATAAAAGGAAAGGGTAAAGTAAACTTTCAAAGAAACCAGAGAAATGACCAGTCGTTAATATTTCAAATTGTCCACCCACACCCACCACTTTTTTTATAATAAACATCGCCTTTTCCTAATAGATTTTCGTTTTGAACATCTGGTGACTCCATTTGAACTCACCCTGTGACGAAAGGATCGTTTTCCTGTTCCATTTATTATAATTCGATTTGGGGAAACGAATTCACTTCTTTGGTTTGTGATTATGCGACATTTTGGGGGAAGTCCGATGAAGCTTTGATTAAATTTCTTCGTTTTTTTCTGTCAATGATTTTGATTCGATAGATAAAGAATTTTTTTGTCTTCGTCTTTTATTTCTTAACAAAAATTCCAATCACGATTGTAATAAAAAATTCATATCGAGCATCTGTGGACAGATTGGCAATAAATGTTAATGTTTTTGGTGTGGACTTTGGAGAAGTGTCGTTTATGTACGCATTATGAGTGTCATTAGACTCAATTTGAAGACAAAGTTTCTTCCTAGGACATAAAAATTAACGACTGCTGAAGCTGATGGTTTTAAAAGAGTTTCTTTCTTCTTAACTACAAAAATATTTCTTCAATATCTTCATAAAAGAAGAAATCGATGAAGTTAAAAGTCAATTTATTGTTTATTTAACTTTATTGATTAATTGAAATTGAATTGAGTCTGAAGATTTTTTACTGTCACTCGCTCAACCATAAAATGTCGTTAAATTTTATTGAATCGAATCTTAATTAAAGTTAATGACAAAATCAATGATTCTCCGATTTCAACCCAGAGATGAAGCAAAAATGTTGTCTGTGAAGTGTGAAATTGATGATACTTTTGATCATTGAAGCATAACAATTAATTTATGTTCTTAATGTCTCAACTTCCATGGGAGAAAATTCACTCAATTTGCTATCGAACGAACACACATCAAATGACGTGTAATTAAAAGGTGCCATTCGTGTTCAACGATCAATTAAATTAAATTAAATTACAAACTTACTGTAATTTGGGCAATGAATTGAAAACTTGTCTCTTGACCTCATCCTTTGAAGTGATAATTTTAAATAATCGCACCACAAATCGATGATTAGACAAAGAATAATGACTCGAGCCAAAACGAACAAACTTTAGTGATTTATTTTTTAAACTTCTTCATACAATTTGCATGAGAAGGAAAAAAAAGTTTGAAACAGTTTGAACGTCTGGCTTAAGTTATTTGATCTTTGCAACTTATTCACTTAACATTTTTTTTTCTTTCTATCAGAAACACTTGATGACACTTTCGAAGCTAGATAAGAACTGACTCGAAGAACTTTTGCTTACTTGCAACTGAAATTTAAAAATGGTTCCCGATATCTGTTTTTTGTTTGCTCATTAACTAAACTTCGTCAGAGTTATTAATATGGCTGTTGGTAACAATAGTAATTGTGACAGGAAAGACCGGGAATTATTGTAAAGAGGTTGGATGATGAAATTTACTCAAGTAATGGTGTAATGTTAGAAAAAATTTAAAACGTCAATTGTTTTGTGACATAAGCTGTTGAAAGTTCTTCATTTCTATATTAATTTTAATGTCCGATGTCAAGCGACTATGCATAATACCGATACGCTAACAGCAACTGCAATATTGCGGTTGAACCTCTATTAGTTTTTAAGCGAATTTATGACAGAAAAATGTCTTTACACGATTCTCTAATCACGCTTTAAAGTCATTCACGCTTTCAGAGATATACAAATGCATATTTAACTCATTAGATAAGTCTCGATCGTGACGTTATAAAACGAGAATGAGTAAATGATTTCTCATATCATAAAATGAAAGCTTCGAATTTTCTTATTTGTTATAAGATGAAATGTAACTCAAGTCGTCAACGGATCTAATGAGATACCCTCGTTAAGCTGTTTCTTGCTTAGCTGTCATTAATTAATCATGAAATTTTCCAACAATGAGGCATTGACGTCAGATAAATTGAATGTAAACATCTCTTCAATATGAGGTGACATATTAAATATTTTATTTTTCTTCCGATCTTCACCTGTTTCAATAAAAAAGTAAATTATGAAAAATATCTTTCGACATATATTAATGACATTTTCTGGAGACGAAACTGTTTGTCTTTATCCAAAATAAATATTCTTAGCGATGCATGAAGAAATGAACTCATTAATTGGCAGCACATGAGCAAGCAGAACTAAATATCTACGACATGACATGATTGAACGACATGATCAATGGAAATTTCCCAAGTATTCGCAACAATACTTTATTCTTTGCTTCTAAGAAAAAAAGTCTATTAATATCTCATTCCTTCGATTTTATACATGCTAACATTTGAAATCGAGAAATAATGCAAGAAGCTGACATTGTGTGACTTTTGACAATTTCTTTCTTCAATTCTAAAGCCACTTGAAAGGTGGCTGAAGAACTGTTAAAGTAAATTTATATACCAATCGAAAATAAATTACGAAACTCCTAACAAAAGACATTTGAAATGCTGCAATAGTTTAAAGTTTCATGCGAGGGAGGGAAAATATATGATGAAAATATATTTAATTTATGAATTTATTTCCCTTTGAATGTTGCAATTAAAACTGCAATTTATGCATTTTTAATGAAAATTATTTAAAGAAAACTTTCCACCCCCTCACATTCACTTCATTCTTAATAGTGATTGTCATAAAACATGGAAACAGTTTATTAAAAAATCATTTAATTCCTTTTTCTAGAGTGTTGGCCTTTGTTCAAACAAAAACCTTTTTTTCATTTCGACACATAGAAATCTTTTGTTGCTATCATCACCTGCGCTTAGCAAACATAAAATATTTTCTCTTTCTCACTCTTCTCGAGAGTCCTTTTTCACAGAGGTTCTAGCACACTCTTTTGACATATTTCATTCCAGAAATGTAAAATTCACATGGCAACCGAATAAAAATCCAAACAAACAAAAGGAAACATCAACTCGAGAGAGCGTAAAAAAATGGTTTAAAGAAATCGAAAAACTGTTTCTTTAATAAGCCGACATTTGACAAAAATTCTGAAGTGCTACCTAGTTTATGCTATTGAAAAATCATTAAAGACACTAATACCGACGGGAGCTCTTGAAAGGAAGCGCATCGAAGTGTAAAGAATCATAATGAATGCCAACATCGATTTTATAAGAGACATCAATGAAAGATATTGCAGTTTGGAATATGAATTGGATAAAAATCTCAAGAAAATGTCGGATCACAAAACTTCTATCCTTTTTTCTATTTAATTAAAGTGACTTCTTTTCTTATCTTAATTGATTTTTAGTGAAGCTGATGAATCGATATTAGAAGCAAACAAAACTTCAGATGGCAGAAGCATAACAAATGAATTCGATTCGTATCCTTCATCATTGGAAGAAGCAAGAAAGCGAAATCGGAAAATTCTTGACGTATATGCTTATTGAGATTATGAAGTGGAACTGATGTGATTAATTCTTTTGTTTAAACAGGATCTTGAGCAAGCTCGAGCCTTTTTAAGATCGCGTGTCATTTATTCTCCCCTTGAAGCGATTTTAGAGAAAGCACAGAAAAATTATTTTCTTCCACAAAACACAACAAGAAAGAAGAAATATGGACCAGTTTTTGTGTGAAAATGTCCAGCTGAGGCAGTTTGTTACCAATTTGCTACGGTGAGAAGATAATGAATCAGTCGGTGTAGTTTCAAAAACAAATTAAATGAGTGCGGATATATTAACGGAAAATGAAAATTTAAAATTATGTCACGGATAATTCAAATCTCAATTAACCGTTATTTTCAGGGTAATTTTGAGAGAACTTTTAAATGTTTCATTTAGTTGATCATTTTACATCAATTTATTGATTACTTTTTCCCTAGATTACATCCATGTATGAAAAATAAAAAATAAGATTAATTAAAGCCTAATTAATTAATTTAACATAGCCGAAAAATAAAATTCTTATAGTCACAGCAAAAGCGTGTTGTTTAGAACAATAGCCAACCATTAATTACCATAAAAAACCATACACCATAATTTGTATATGTCACAATATGAGCTACTTAATTTGTATTGAATTAAAATAATTCAAAATCAAAGTTTCTAAAAGAAACTTCAAGTACGGAAACGAAGGAAAAAAAATAAACAAATAAAACTTTCAAACACATTGGAATTGTTTTTTTTTCTTTCCTCAGAATAAATTTAACGAGTTTTGTTCCATGGAAAATTTCTTAATCGTCAAGTGCAAATGAGTTAATATTTTTTTTAACGTGTGAACTTTTGAAAATTATGCAAGCAAAAATTCCGTGACGATATCTTTGATTCTTTCTGGTGTCACAAGATGAAGATGATGAGTTCCTTCGACTTCTTTAAATGTAACACTTGAAGCATTTTCTCTCATTGCTTCAATCACTTTCTCATATACATTTGGATCATCAAAATTCATTCCAGGCTTTCCTCGTATGTTGAGAACATCACAGCGAATTTGTTTAGCATAAGTAAGAACTTGTTCTTCGCTAAACATTCCCATGATACTGACTTTCAGTCTTAAATCTCTTGCGAAATGAAAACCTTCTTTGTGCAGATGTGGAGGTGCTGGTGCCATCCCTCTTCGCATAAGAACTTTCACAGATTCTCGATCAACGGATCCAGCATAAGCGTCAAGCACTAAATCGATCATCTCTTCATATTTATAGCAAGGCATCTTCGTCATTGGAAGTGTTTCATAATTCAACAATTTGTCAATGCAATCGCCTGTTTGACCGGCTCGTTTCACATGATCTCTCACTGTCGGTCCCGCAATGTCAATTGAGATGAATTTTGCTGTGTCTTCCTCGGAATTAAAGCAACTTGCATACATGAAACTTAAAGCACCGCCTAATGAATGTCCCATCAACACTAATCGCTTCCATTTGTGATATTTCACAATTCTTCTAATCAATGTTATTCCATCCCAAAATATAAAGTACTGCATTCCTTTTGGATAATGCGATGATTTACCATGTCCTGGTAAATCAATTGCAAGCACTGATATTGATTCAGGTAGAAGTGGAATTAATCGGTCAAAAGTTCCACAATTATCTTGCCATCCATGAAGGGCAATGACCGGTTGCTTCTTTTTATCGCCCCACCATTTACCTAAAATTTCACGAAGAAAGAAAGAAAGAAACAAAATTGGATAAATAAATATTAATTAAAAGTGTTTTGTATTGAACTTGTATGGTCGAATGACGTCATGACGTCATTAGAAAATCAGCTGAGTACGTTATTGGGCAAGGTTTACATTTTCTTCTTACTCGTGCATCATCATCATGATGTCGAGCGTTTATTCAAGGTCGCGGTACATAACTTTCAAAATTTATTGATTTATTAAAAACACTAATGACGCAACATACCTGCAACAGTGCCCCATGGAACTGGAATCTCATATTCCTCCCATTGTCGTTCTATACTTCCATCTGGATTATCCAATATTAAAATTGTTAAGGATTAAAACTTCTCTTCATTAATGTTAACTTACTTGATGTTGACAGTGTTCCATTTGTTGTGGTATTCATTTTAAAGGAATTGAACTAAATTTATTAATATGAGATTTAATGCAGCAATCAATAATTTCCTGATTTATTGAAGAGAACGACTAAACTATCTACCTCACACCACTTAAGTTCTGAGAAAATGAACTGAGCAATTCTAAACAACGATTTTAATTTCGAAAACTTCGAAAGAATTTCGAAAGATTTTTTAATTCGAAAACAACAAAATAAACATAAAAAAATATTTTTTGACTATATTCGGCTTGAATTAATTATTATAAAATATAAAGTATTAAATATGGACAATTCAGATCAATTTCTATCTGATGGAGGTGTACAAGAAGACTCAGAACCAGGTATTAGTGAATTATGAGAGAATTAATTCAACAATTAGATTTATGAATTATTTAGAATTTTTACAATCTTCAGAAGGAAGAATGCTGAGAGAACAGGATCGATTTTTGCCGATTGCAAATATAGCGAAAATAATGAAAAATGCCATCCCAAATAGTTCCCAAGGAAAAATAGCAAAAGACGCTCGTGAATGTGTGCAAGAATGCGTATCAGAATTCATTTCCTTTATCACCAGCGAAGCAAGTGAACGTTGTGCAAATGAGAAGCGAAAAACAATGAATGGCGAGGATATTTTATGGGCAATGCAAAATCTAGGATTCGATACTTACATTGAACCACTAAAAGTATTCCTCCAGAAGTACCGAGAATCATCCAAACAAAGTCTTTTCTCTGACGATTCAGGGAACCTGCAAGGCGATGAATCGTTCAACAAATTCATGAATGGCGACAGTAATATGTATAATCCTTAAACAAATAAATAAAATAAACTCTTCATTACACATAAATATATTTATTATTCACTTTCTTTTTAGTTGCCAGTAAATGATCATCAAGTGCTAGCAGGGATGTTCATTTAATTCGATTTACAACGCAAAACTTTACGTTAGAAAACATAAATTTCATCCCTTGTGCTAGGTGGTGCTAACATAAATATCTAAATAAAAGTTTATGAAAAAAGATGCACAGGAATGTTCTTAAATAGACCAAAAACGGATACAAACATTTGTCACAAACATTTCTTTAATTAAAATTCTGTCCGCTATGCTCTTCTATCTATTAATTTTCATTAAATGATAATATTATTAAAATATAATTAAATTTGATGCTAAATAATATTTAATTAATTGTATTAATGAGAGATGAAATCAATACTTTCTTCTATGATTATATCAGATTTTTCTTAACTTGTTTAAATTATTTAATTTTAATTATTCATCAACAGCTAAAATCATGAAATTGAATGGAAAGAAATAAGAAATTACAGACTCGTGCTTGTAACTGTGTTTAAGCCATGCACCAAAATTGTTGGAGGAAGATCATATGTCAATTCGCTCAGAAGATCCTAAAGAAAAGAAAAAAGTTAATTAAATTATTTACAAATCGAAGTTGTTTCACTTACCAAATAATTAGCACATTTAGCTTTAAAGTTAGAAGAATTATTTGGAGGTGGTGGAAGATACATAAATGTCACAGCGGTTGAGTTGGAATTGTCACGAATTAGTTGATTGATTCTTTAAACAAATCATTGATAAGAATTAATTAGTTAAAATTGAAATATCATCAAATCTCACCTTTGCATGTAAAGCTTCATTCGATTAAGATTCTCTTCGGTCATGGTAATATTTTCATTCTCAGAATTTCTCGTCAAGTTCTTCAACAAATTACGATTTCTCGAAGTGTCAGTGCTGTTTTTCCATTCAGGTATTTGATGGATTGTTGCCGCTATTCTTAATTGCTTCAATAATTGATTCAAACGATATTCTGCTGGCCTTTCAAACGGCTGCTGCTCATTCTCGCCAATCTCACAAAGGAAGACTCGAAGTTGAAGATTCTTCCAAACAGGCAACATGTTGATGATGCACGCCAGTTGCATCATAAATTGAGAAGCAGTGTCGAAAGGATCGTTATTGCTTGCGTCAAAGACATTTATAGGCCAAAGGTCAATGAACTTGATATGATTCGATCTGGAGTACGAATTAAAGTTTAATAATTTTACAGAAAATCTTGACGTGGTAATGAAACTTACTTTGCTATTGTCGTTTTATTCAATCGATGGAAATGACGACAAAGACAAATATTCTTCCTCATTCTAAGAATATCGCTGACAATGTTGACATACTCATCGGGACTTAATGATTTATATTCGTTTTTCTTTCGATAAGGAAAGAGAATTCCAGTGTTGCTGCTGTTGAATTTGTTCGTTCGATATGGTGAGTTTTCATCGTCAAAGAAATCGTAACAAGCTTCTTCATCGTAATATCCAAGAATGATTGTGTTCGGTTTCATCGCACCCATGCCAGAAATTCTTATCAAATGTTGAATGCCTTCACGAACACTCTTCGCTAATGTCAGTTCAACGAAAGCTTTCACTTTCATATGATCGATCAATGACAACCATTGGGTGTATTCTTCAACCGTTGGATCAATCTCATTGTCTTTGAATTCACCAACCTTCACATGGCCGACGACATAAAGTCCACCTTTCTTCATGTCATTCACAAAATGAATTAATGGACAACATGATCGCGGCGATGCGACAAGAAGAAGCATTTGGGGACGCCAAAACTTGACATGATCTTTTCTCGAATCTAACATAAGCAAATATTTTCTCACTTGATGGAACATGAGAGCTGTAAATGATTAAATTATGTGAAATTAGTTGACAAAAATTGTTGTTTAATTCAATTTATTCTGAATTTGTTTGTTCATGAAAGTGGAAGTCATGAAGTGAGTGTTCGCATCTTAATTTCTTCTCTTTCTAATCTTCATTTGTTTTTATTTTTATTTCTTTAAAGGTGTGAAATATTTTTAATCATTTCCATTCTTTCTTCGATTGCCGGAGAAGAAATTTCTTCAAATGAAATAAAATGTGAAAAATATGAAGAAATTAAAGTTGAAACTTCGAAAGATGAATTAAAATCTTGCAAATTTAATCAAAATATTTTGATTAATGCAACTAACATGGAATTAAGTGATGAGATTGATGAAGACGTGAAAGCTTTTGTGTTTGATGGAAATAAGAAAATTTCTTTCCTTCCCATCGTTATTGAAAATGAGACCAAATACAGCGAATTGAATTATTATTCAGCTTGTTCTTGTTCCATTCAATTCATCTCAGAAAATAATTTCCGGAAGTTTAGAAATTTAACTTACATCGCTTTAAGTGACAATAAAATTGAGACAATCAGTAATTTCGTGTTCAAAGGCTTAGTTAAACTTGAATATGTTTTATTGGGTGAGAAAATCTTTTCCGATTATTTCTGAATAAATTTAACTAAAGTAAATTTCACAGATAGAAATGCAATAAAATATGTCGGACCGTATTTGACGGAGGTTTGGTGGTTTCCAAATTTAAAACTCTTAAACATGAATTCAAATAAATGTGTGAACTTCAACGCAACAACTGAGAAGGAACTCGATGAAGCGAGAACAGAACTTTCTCAAAAATGTATCCCAAAGTTGGATGAAATTTGCATTAAAAGTGAAGAAGGTGAAAAAATTCTTTATTGTGATGACATCGAAGTGAACTGCACTTGTTCTTTGAACGAACACAACAAGATTTGTTCACTTGGCTATGGAATTTATAACCAATCTGATGATTACATCGTCTTAGAGTTCAATTTCAATAGGAAAATCTTTTTTCTCCCGGAAAATATCGGAAAGAATTTCCCGAAACTGGAAGAATATCGAGCGTTCTACGGCTCCATCAAAACCTTAACTCAATCAAACTTCAAAGACATGAAAAACTTGAAACAATTACTTCTAAACGGAAACAAAATTGAGAGAATTGATTCAAATTTATTTGATGAGTTGTCATCGTTAGAAACTCTAGGACTAGGTTTGTGTGAATTTATTTCGTAAACATTCAATTTATTCATTCTTTTGTTAGATGAAAACAAGATTAAGTTCATTGACTCAAAAGCTTTTGAAGTCATCACAAAGAAAAGTATTCTGATTAGCTTGTTGGGAAACGAATGCATTAGCAATGTTGTATCAATAACTGAATATGATGTTCCGAATATCGAAATAATTAGAAATGATTACAAAGAACTGATTGATGATGAATGTGGAGTTCCTTTAGACATTTGTTCATCAACTGATTCGACGAAATTAAACAACGAAATTGACACATCATGTAAACAAATAAGGTGACGACTTCAAGACAAAATTTATTCAAAAAAGTCTTAAAGCTTTTTAATATTTTTCAGAGAAGGACAAACATTCACAAACAAAAAAGTCGATTTGTGTGTCATGAGGAAAACCGCAGCAATTTGTACAATAAACGTGACATTTACAGGCAATCCAAATGTCAACAACGCTTTGATCTTTGAAGATAACAAAAGAATTCAATTTCTTCCTGAGAACATCAGCTCGTGGTTTCCAAATTTAACCGATTACATCGCAAGAAATTGTTCAGTCAAAGCGATATCAAAGATAAACTTTTTGAATCTCACGGAACTAAGAAGTTTGAATTTAGATTTCAATGAAATTGAGAGACTTGATGGGGACATCTTTGAAGGGCTTTCATCATTGAAAGCGTTTTCAATTCGTAAGAGTTTCATTTTCTATTCGATTTCTTTTTAATTATATTTCTCTTTCATTTTAGAGAATAACAAAATTAAATCTGTTGGACAAAACTTTGTCAGGAGATTGCCAACAATGTCATTTAGTAACTTTATCGGAAATGTTTGCATTGACGACAATTTCACACGGGAAAACATCACATCGAAAGCGATTAAAGAGATTCAAGATAAATGTGAAACGATTTCTACGAAAACTATTTCTGGATTGACTTGAATGGAATTTTCTTTCTGCTTTTAATTTTGTAAATTTTTGAATATCAAAATAAAATTTTAAATTTATTGAAATAAAAACTAAAAAGATTTTTTATGACTCACCTTGCGATATCGACCCCCATTGTGCCCCTTGTGAAGCTGGCGAAAATAAGTGAAGTGCAATGACGAGAATCAAGCAGAGAATGATGCTCAATGAAGCATAAATTGCGTTGATAACAAACATCATGATGAGAGTTCCAAAAAGTCCCAAGAAGGCTGTGTGCCATGTAAAGTATTTAAATGTTGGTCGGAAATTTATAGCGCCAGTGATTTCGATTCCAAGACATGCGAGATTCGTTGCCATGTAACTCAACATAAACAAAACTGAGTTGATTTGTGCAATTGTGTTGAGTGAACCGATGAGAAGAATCAACTCAACAAGCACCCAACTTGCGATGACAGCAGCAATTGGATTGTTATTCCAAGTTCCACGAATTATAAAGTTGAAGAACGATCCATAGACTTGATCCTTTGACAAAGCTTCCAACACACGACTTGATCCAATTAAATTGCTTAAAGCCGTTGAGAAAGTTGCAGTTAAAATGCCAACAGCAACAAATGCTGGAATGATGTTTATTGGCATTAAGAACAGGAAATTGTTACGGAGAAGTATCGAAGGCGTTGTCGCTGCCATCAACACACACAATCCAATGTAACAAATGAATGTGAAGAGAACAGCTGAGAGAGTTCCACTTGGAATACTTCTCGATGGATTCTTTAATTCACCACTCATGTTAGCACCTGCCATAATTCCTGTCACACCCGAAAACAAAACACCGAAGACAATCGAAAAGTTGACAAAAGAACCATCTGAAGTGTAATCTTGACCATAATTTGGATGAAGGTTTTCTAAAAATGTTTCCTTTGATATTCCAGTGTAATTAAGAATAGGAAATTCCGTTCGATTCAACAGCAAATTTTCAGGCGGAATTTGAACTTCTTTCGGTCCTTGAACAATGAAACTTATGTAAGTTGATATCAGACAAATAACGACAATTCCAAGAATCGATGCTGATGTTTTAGCAAACATTGTGGCGCCAATGAGAACAACAAGAAGACAAAAAGTGTTGATGAGTGTGCAGTAAGCGAAGCGATACCAACGGCCATCTTCGAGAAAGCCTTGAGATCCTTCTGATAAAAGATATCCACCAGGTCCAAAGTTCTGGAGTAAACCTTCAACACAACCAGTTATTGCAAGACCACAGCCGACGACATTTGCTAGGAAGAAGAGTGAACCAATCGCACCACCGAATTCTGGTCCAAGTGTTCGACTTATCATGACTATAAATAGAATGAGAACGTGTGAAAATTATCGATTGAAAGTAAGTAAGTAAGAGAGTAAACAACTCACAATAAACACCACCGCCTTCGATAGCTCCATTCGTTGAAATCGCACAAACAGAACAAACAGTGAACAAAAGGATGAGATAAGCGATCACAAATTGAAGGAGAGTCACATAAAGCCCAGCATTTCCAACTAAAAATCCAACACTAATCACAAACAAATTGATTGATGAGTCAATTTTTTACTTCGAGATAAGGATTATCAATAAGGAACTCACCGAATAAAAACAAGAGCTGAGAACATTGAAAGCGAAACCGGCGCAAAACATCCAGCAAATGTTCCAAGCGATCTTTGTTCTTGTGATGATGATGGAAGCTCACTATCAAGTCCGCCGAATTCAACATATCTTTCAGCATCTGATTGATCTAATCCTCCTCTACTCCGGAAGAAATTAGAAAAATTCCGAAGCACTGACGGGTTTTGTCGATTCGGATTTATTGGAATCGTTTCATTGCTTTCGGGATCATTGTTGGTGCTATTATTGTTCGCAGCAAGCATCTCCAGCTTTAAATATATTTAATTCCTCTACAAATTGTTTCAAATTTTGGAAAGAAAGTGGGCGAGATTATATTTTTTTTGTTGTAAGATTAAATGAGTCATTCAACTTGACCGATGAAGTTTTTAATGAAAACTCATAAAACTTGAGTTTTGTTGACATTAAAAGAAAGCGAAAATTAATGATTAACTTACCTATTTACCAAAGCTACTACGAAAGCAATTAAAAATTTAATCTATAAGGACATTAGGTAGTATTTATTGTATTTAATTTGTTTATGAAGCAATTTTTTTAAAAAACAATCGACTAACGTCTTCCCCCACTTGTTGCGCACAAATCAGTTCTATGGAAAATAAATTTGAATTTCAAAACGCCGTTAAATTTTTAAGAAGATAATGTTCTAATAGATTTATTAATTTATTATTGCCAAAAATCATCTAGGAATATCACTAAAGTGTCTCAAATACTCTTCAAAATAAAATATAGAAATAAAATTAAAATTATAATTTTTTTGGACGTTGTTAATGTGTTCGGAATGAATTTTTCTTAAAAACGAGGCTTCAATGTGTTGAACTTCCATTGTTGGAAGGCATTGTTCGGATCGCAATGCATCAATGACAATGCAGATGAAAGCGGATGAACAGCAATACATTTCTTATGAGTTCGATGTACAATTGTTGATGAATCTTCTTCATATTTCCAAGGACCGTCAACTGTTCCAAGTCGACAGAATGCGAGTTTAATTCCTTGGGAATCGGCTTCAACACATCTTTCACCAATTCCTATCTGACCAGCTGCATTCAATCGAATAAGTTGGTTATTACCATACCCATGACAATGTTGAATTCCAATTAAACTTGGAGGTTGCCGCCCCATCGCATCGAGACACTTCGATGTCGCAGAATTCTTCAACTCACCCCAATGAATGTTTGGCGGAAGTTGTGGAAATTTATCATAAACATCATAAGCGACATTTTCCATGTACCATTGAAAACTTTTACATTTTAGTTGATCTTTAAGTGCAAGTTGTGAGCTTATATCGCCCATGTCTAAATATCTGGCCATTGGTTCGCGTGTATAAAAATATTCTTTATGTTGATCATCAAACCAAACTTCAATGACACGTTTATAATTAATTGTAATCAACGGCCCTTTCTTCTTCTCAGCAAGTTTTCCGAAATTGTAAGGCATAAAACCTGTTGTAATATATTTATTACTTTATTCTTTGAATTGTTTTAAACGAATGAATATAATTTAGTTTTCTCTAATAAGGAAAACGATCAAAAGATTGTTTTGATTAAAGAGAAAACTGAAATCAATAATAGCATTACATTACCTCGATAAACATGACCAACTCGACTGCATGGCACCTAAATGGGAACAAATTATGAAAAATTGAAAAGAAATGTTTGTGAGGGATTATTTTATAATTTACCCATTCAATTTTGCCTCCACATTGCCAAATCTTAAATGAAAGTTCGAAATTTTCACCTCCCCAAACTAACAATCCCGGATCGTATGCTCCAAGTGTCAAGAAATATTCTCGATTTATAGCAAATAATCCACCAGCATGTGTTGGACTTTGATAAGGTTCACTGTTGTGTTGACGTCGTTTTTGTTCTCGTTTTGGAACTTCGTTTTCTTTGTAAAGCATTCCCCATTCAAAGATGCCTCGGTAATGATGGCCGTCGGCATAAACTGGCCGATATTCGAATGTTTTATGATCAATTCCATCGATAATTGGAACAGTCATAACAGTGTGATCGCGATAAATTGGAGCTAGTAACGGAGGTAGCCAATTTTTATTAACTTCACAATGTGCATCGAGATACACGATGACTTCACCCGTTGCTTCCTGTGCGCCTCTTGAACGAGTTCGAATTAAACCTTCTCGCTCAACATTTCTAATTATTCTAACTTTTCCATGGAATTTTTTGATATAATTATCCAATTGATCTTTTAAATCTTCCTTATCTGAGTAATCATCAACTAAAACAACTTCATGAAGAAATTGTGGTGGTGTTCGGTTAATCACTGAATGAACTGTTCGCATCAGCACCGACAAGCCTTCATTGTGAAAAACAATGATGACACTTGCACTTGGAAGATCTTCTGGATAATTCCAATGTTTACATTCCTTTAATCTTGTATCTTTCACAGAACGATCAAGAGAAATGATGTCTGACACCACCATATTCATCCCATACTCCATTTCTGAATCAGCTCCAGCATTTTGTTGTTCTTGTGGCAAGTCGTAAGCTTCTCCACCTTCTCCAGGCCCATCATTGTTATCATCCTCTTTCGGCTCAAAGTTGCCAAGACCTGTAAATACTCTTTAAATAAAAATATTTTCCCACTGATGTCATTGACTTACCTTCGACTAAAACCGGAACTTGACGTTTTTGTTTTGCAGCGAATTTCTTGTGATAAACATCATTAATCTTCTTATGCGAGTCGGAATAGTTCAACAGGAGATAAATAATTGGCAACGATAAGCATAACACCAAAGCAATTCGTAATATTCTTCCAGTTCTCAAGTTTGTTATTTTCATTTTTATATTTTCACAATAAAACAGCCTTTAAATAATCAACAAAAGTTTTAAGCACCTGATGGTCATGAGAGTAATACTTTCATCGCTTGGTGACCTCACGCAACTCAATTTTTAATAATGACTCTCAACAAGTAAAAGTTTCATTCAATAAATGAAGAAATTTGAGTTTTAATTAATTTAAAGAAATATTTGTTGGCAAGTTGCTCAAATCGAGAATATTTTTTGAACCGGGGGTTAGTCACGGTTCAACTCAGAGGGGGCTGCAATGGTTCAAACTCAATTTGAGCAAAGGAATAACAAAAATTTCGGATTCAATTTTCACGTAAAAAGCCAAAGAAAAACACATTAGAAAAAACAACGAATAGCAGGGCTTTCTTAATCCTAGTTCATACTACAGTGATGTGTTGAAATAAAATAAAAATAATTCATAAGAATCAAGATTACGATAAAAACAGAAATTTTCACTCAACACAACAACAAATTAATATTGAAGAAAATTGAAAATTTTCTCGAATACTCAACATTGTAATCTAGAAATCGAAAGTGACAATCAAGATGAGTCAACTAACAAATAATCACTCAAATAGTATAGCAAATCTTAGTCATAATCCTGAAGGAACACATAACAGGGCTCGCGAGAGGTAAGTTTTGAAACGATATTAAAACGCATTTTAGTTAGTTTTGTTTACTATGAAAAGACATATTTACGATCTACACAAAGAAATGAGAAAATATTGTTACTTAAGCTTTAAATATAAATTAAAAAGTTTCATCTTATAGAATGAAAAATGCGCAAAAACGAAAATGTCTGGCGCGGTCTAAAAATAGTTTTACAAAGAAAATCGTTATAATCATCAATAAAATACAATTCGATCTTAACTACATTTGATAAAAGTGACTTGTAAAGAGTAATTTATTTAAAAAAAAATCATCTTTTGACCTTTGAAGTCACTAACAAACAATCTTATTTGTGTATAAACAGAAATGTGCCAAATCTATTTCCGTAACTTCTTCTTTTTGTCTTCACAGCTGTTTATTGCGGTGTGCGAGTCAAAGTTCTTTAGATGAAAGCTCACAAAAAATTCCACGACAACGATCAACAACTGGAACTTATAAGAACGATGCTCATACAAATCGTTCATTTGATACAATGAATGAGATGAGAAAGTGAGTGAAAATGGAAGAAATTTTTAAGTTAATCTCCAGTCAATAATTACATGTTTTGTTTATAGACAAAATCTTCTCTGTGATGTTGTGTTGGTTGCTGAGGGAATGGAAATTCCCGCACATAAAATGATTCTTGCATCTTGCAGTCCATATTTCTATGCGATGTTTACAGGATTTGAAGAGTCAAAACAAGATCGAATAACAATTCAAGGCGTAGATTTTCATGCACTTCAACTTCTTGTTGAATATGTTTACTCGTCTGTTGTTGTTGTGACTGAGGAGAATGTTCAAGTTCTTCTCACAGCTGCAAATCTTTTACAACTTACTGATGTTCGTGACGCTTGTTGTGACTATCTTCAATCACAACTTGACCCAAGTAATTGTTTAGGCATTCGAGAATTCGCCGACATTCATGGTTGTATTGATCTCTTCAATTACGCTGATTCTTACATTGAACAACATTTTTCGTAAGTTTTCCATTGAAATGAAGAAGATTTTTAATTAATTACCTTCAATTAATTACAGCGAAGTTGTACAGTTTGATGAATTTCTTACACTTTCATCGGAACAAGTTGAAACATTCGTAAAAAGCGATTCATTGTCAGTTCCATCTGAAGAAAGAATTTTCGAGTGTGTCGTCGCTTGGATTCAATTTGAACCATCATTGCGTCAACAATATTTAGGTCGTTTGATGCAGTACGTCAGATTGCCACTTTTATCCCAAGATTACATTCTTCAACGTGTCGAGAAGGAGCCGCTGCTTCAAGGCGACATTCAATGCAAAGATTTAATCATCGAAGCTCTCAAATATCATCTGCTGAAGAATGAACAAAAACTTGTGTTCAGCTTCAACACGCCGCGAACAATTCCAAGACGACCAATTGGACGACCGAAAGTCTTACTCGTCATTGGTGGACAAGCACCAAAAGCCATCAGATCAGTTGAATGTTACGACCTACGTGACGAGAAATGGTACCAAGCAGCCGAACTGCCTTCAAGACGTTGTCGAGCTGGTTTGGCAGTTCTTGGAGATAAAGTTTATGCTGTTGGTGGATTCAACGGATCGCTTCGTGTTAGAACTGTTGATGTTTATGATCCGTCAACAGATCAATGGACAAGTTGCTGCAGCATGGAAGCCCGACGATCAACACTTGGAGTCGCTGTCTTGAACAGTTGCATCTATGCTGGTAAGAAATTCTTCTCAATTTAACTTCCACAATCAAGAATTTAATTAAATAATTTACAGTCGGAGGATTCGATGGCAGTACCGGCTTAAACAGTGCAGAAGTCTTCGATCCTAAAAGTCAAGAATGGCGTTTAATCGCTACAATGTCAACACGACGATCATCAGTTGGTGTTGGCGTTTTAAATGGTTTACTATTTGCTGTTGTAAGTTAAAACAAAACATTAATTTGATTTAATTCATTAAAATTTGTATTTAAATAATTTTTAAAGGGAGGCTACGATGGATCAACACGTCAATGTCTTGCATCGGTTGAATGCTACAATCCACTGCTTGACAGTTGGTCATGTGTCGCTGAAATGTCAGCAAGACGATCTGGTGCTGGTGTCGGTGTTGTTAATGGACTTTTATATGCTGTCGGTGGTCATGATGGGCCGCTTGTGCGGAAGTCTGTTGAAGCTTACAACGCTGACACTAATCAATGGCATCAAGTAAGTGACATGGCTTTCTGCAGGAGAAACGCTGGCGTTGTCGCACATGGTGGTTTACTTTATGTTGTTGGTGGTGATGATGGCAACAGCAATTTGGCATCAGTTGAAGTTTATCATCCAGAATCAGACACATGGCGGATCTTACCAGCTTCAATGACGATTGGACGCAGCTATGCTGGCATAGCAATGATTGATAAACCGATAATCTGAAATGAGGAGCAGGGTGCGTCAAGTGGCGCACCATTTAACAACAATGGCAACAACAACAATAACAATAACAATGATGATGAAAACAGTCAAGCAGAATCGAATAACTTCGAGATGGCACCAACAGTTCAACAAGACAATGTTCAACAGCCAGCTCAGAATCATTATGCGAATGTTGATGTTGCACAACAACAGCAGCAGCAACAACCGCTTGCACTTGGCGTCCCTGCTCCTTTGAATGAACCAAACGTTGCACAAATCATTAATCTTCAACATCATCGAGCAAATTATCATCAATCATATCGAAATGATGTTTATGACGTTCCACGTAATGTGAGAAATAACAACAACAATAATTTCTATGTTAACGTGCCGAATGGCAATCAAAGACGATCAAACTTACATTTGGATTTTAATCGTCCGAGATATCCAACAAATTATCAGAAACATCAAAGAAGCTTCGACGATACTGAGTCATGTTATGGATATGTGACGGGTTCGGGGTCAGGATCATCGAATCAAGGCTATCCGATGTATGAGAGGATTGGCGGCACAAGGGAAGAGCCGCTTTATCAGAATTCTGGTATGTATGGACGTTTGGATGTGATTGGACATGGCATTGGACGAATCGAACGTCATCTCAGCTCATCATGTGGAAATATTGATCATTACAATGTTGGTGGTCATTATGCTGTGTTGAGTCATTCGCATGTTGGTCAAATGGTGATGAATGCAAATGCAAACAATTCAAGTTCATCAACAACGGCTCAGAATTCTCGCGATGGCGTCAAATCTTTCTTCAGTTGCTTGAATGGTGAAAGTTCTCAATCTTTGAGTAATATTAATGGCATTGAAGGAGCTGCCGCTTCATCAGTTCAGACTCAAAACCCACCAACACCGTCACTTCAACGATCAACTGGCGCGATTCCAAAGACAAAGAACAAACAAAGTAATAAAGTTTCACCGAAACCTTCAACTTCTGGATCATCGGTAGCGTCATCATCAATACCGCCGATACCACCGCCAATGCCGACAAACAATCGCATTTCAAAGTCGTCACTTCAATATCTTCTACTCAACAAATGGCTGCCACTTGGACCAGACTACAAAATTATTGATTTTAATTTTATGTTTAGTCGAAATTGTTCATCGACTGGACAATGTGATGCTGGTGAAGGTGTTGTGCAATTTAATGGACAAGCTGAAATGGTTGATCCTGGAATTTATCAACCACAAAGAGAATATCCAACAATGAATCCAACGAATTATCCGAGAGTGATTCGCAACACTCCGCAATTGTCAAGATTACGTGAATCTGATGCTGAAAATTTGCAGCATGATTCAGCACGTGGTGGAAATGCATTTAGAGCACGTTCTGAAAGTCCAAGTTTTAGTGGTGGACATCCAAAGAACCCACAAGAAGATCCTTTCCGAAATTGGTCATTTAATTTTGAGAATAATTCATTCCGACCGGCAGGTGGCGTTACTGCTCAAAAAGAAATTAAACGAATAACTGAAGGAACTTTGGCGATGAAAGATTTTCAAGAGCAACCCTTAATGAAAGATTTGCCGTCGATTGTTATTGATAATCAGGATGGAACATTACAAGAATCACAACAACAACAGCCAACGACATCAAAATCAACAAGTCCATCAACGATTAGCGACAATTCAGGTGCATCAACATCAGCTTCAAGTTCAAGTCAAGGTTCAAAGCCTGGTGAGATGAAAAAATCTGAAAATTATGACAATCTTGCAAGTTTACAACAAGATGCGCCATGCTCCAGTTCAACTTCAAATGGAATTCAAATGAAGCAAAGGAAAAAGAAATCAACTGAAAGTCAATCGAGTACTGATTCAGTGACTTTAGCGGAAGAAGATGAAGATGTTGAAGATGCTTTTGAAGAGTTGGAATCAGATGTTGATTAAGATCATTCACCTTAATAATTCAAAGAACAAAAATATCGCATTTAGTTAAACTTTTCTTTTTCTGGTAAAACATTTTGAAACTTTGAAACAACGACGTACTTTTGTGTCATTAATTAATTTAATTTTTTGTCATTCGAACAAAAGTCAGAGATTCATTTTTTCTTTCATTAATTTATTTCAATAAATAGCTTTTTACAATGTTCATTTAAGTCAGTGATTCACAACTTTTGTCTTTGTTCCATAATACATTAAAAATTATTTGAAATATCGCATCAAAATGTTTTACGAAAAACTGAACAAACTGAAAGTTTACTTTCATGATGGTTATCAGATTAGCAACGAAAATTTTCGTTCTTAACCGAGAAAGTTTTTTCTCGCCGCCGAATTGCTTCGGGGATAAAGTTTAAAGGAAAATTAAAAAAAAATAGTTTAGTGGTTTGACTTTCTTCTTCTTCTTTCTTTTTTGTGAGGATTTATTAAATTTAAAGAGTAAATTTTATAAAATGAGTCTTTAGAAACAAAGTTTTCTTCATTGTTTGTAGCTTACAATATGTACGCAAAAAGCTGTTAATTCATTTTTGGAAGTTGTGTTATAGAAATAGTTTTTCATCTCTTTTCTAGTTGAAGTTTTACATTAAAACCATAAATTACCATTGAAGTTCATAATAATGTTACTTAACCCCAAGTTTGTGCTCAACAAATACTTCATCACAGTCTGGAGATAAAGAAAATTGTCTCATTTCAGACATTAAGCAAATGCATTATTTTAGTCTCGTTTTAATCTAACATACAAATGTACACTTACCCACCACCCACACCATCATCATAATTCTCTTTAATCCAATTAAAAAATGTAATCAAGTCTCTCTATCTTGTCGATGGTTCAGTTTTTTTTGAACCTCAACTCTAAATTATTGCCGTGAAGATTAATTAAAACTAATATTTAATGAAGAAAAAAAAATTATTTCATTCCATGTGATAAAAATAAAATTAAAAAAATATTTAATCAATTTCATAATCGAATATTGGAAACATCTAAAGAATAAATTTTGGATTCTTGTCTGATTGAACTAAGAATAAGAAGAAGGAAAATAATTAATTTGTGCAAGTAGAAAATGAAAAGAAATGAACTCGTAGGAAAATAAATTATCGAAAAAAAAGAAACTTTGAAGTTGTTTTTTCTTTTAATTTGTTTTCAGTTGAAAAGCTATTTTACGGCCTTTCCATTCTCGATCGCATTTATGTGGATATTTATTGATTCGATGCTGAACGTCTGTGCAAACATGAATTACAGAGGCCACATGATGGGTATTGTATCATTGATATATGAATATATTGGTACATACTGTAATAGAAGAAAACTTAAATGTGTTTTTACGGCATTTTTACAAGAAAAGTTTTCGTCTTAATTCGTAGTTGATCGCGTCATTTTTATCATTAAATTGAACTTTTCTCATGTATGTCCTACTATAAAAAGGAATGCTTTTAATTAATAATGCCATTTCGACTGTTTTTATCAAAGTAACGAGAGTTGAAAAATAATGAAACATAGTATTTTAAAAGTTGTATTCGTTTTGGTTCTATTGTGGGCACAGCTGGTCGTTAGTGCACCATCTCTCCCACAAAACGATTCCGGGGGTGTATCATCTTTGAAGGTAAAGTCTTCGTGTCAGTTGTAATTATTCAATTAAGCATATTGCTATCTGACAAATTTCTGTACAAATTCTTGACTG